GAAAAGGCTCTGATGCAAAACTCAGGAATTTCGGTGAAGTCCTTCAATAAATAGGGGCATTCCTCCTCACGCACACCCCACAAACCTGAAATTTATGTGAAGTTCTCCAGAACCAGAGACATTCCTCGTCACACACACCCCACAAACATGAACTTTCGGCTAAGTCCTCCAGAACTAGACATTCCTTGTCACACGCCCCACGAACCTGAAACTGCGGCTCTCACAACCAGAAACATTCTTCCCATAGCCCCCGCAATCCAAATTCGGCTAAGTCCCTCACAGCAAGATACCCCCGCAAACCAATTTGCACAAGTCCTCTGACAGCCAGCCAGATATATCACACATTTCCCTTCCCCCCTCACCCAACCACGAACAAGTTTTATTCCCCCAGCTCCTGCCCCTGCAATTTCGTTTCCACCAATCATATTCATTTCACGCGCATTTTCGGTGAAACATCAGCCCTTCGCCACGTGGAACTTTACCAGTGTGACACCAAACCGTTGTTAGAATACGTGAATGGTTTACTAGAAGGGAAAACATGACACATATGGCAGTTGGGTTGTACTCACTAGGAGCACACACCGATATTAGCCTATAACTTCTACATGGATAAGATGTATGAGTTGACAACCGTACCAGTCACACACGCCCCTCGCGACTCGCACTAACAGAAAGGCCAATAGCCAAGCAGGGTGCACAAGAATTATCACTGACAGCACAGGCTTAGAATGTTTTTACCCTGCCAAATCAGACTCCGAGAAATTTTTACTCTAGCCATCAGGGTTTTTTTTTTTTTTTGCCTACTCTGATTCCTAAGAGTGGCCTAAAACCAATTTATGGCCCTGGACGGGAGCAGATAGGACTCAGCGATGCCTCTCAACAACAGCTGGGAGCTCCCCCGGGCTCTAGAGAGCGCAGAGAAGAGCAGCACCCAGAACAAGCAGTGCCATGAGCAAGCGAGAGACAGTAGCAATCGTTCCTGCAAACAGAGAGAAACATGGGAAATTGTTAAGGAGAGGAAGCAAGCACTGGTAGTGGTAAATACAGGTGAAGGCTTACAAGAGGTGTAGAGAAGATATTGTGGTGTATACGCGGCGTAGGAATGTCATGTGATGATGATGCATTAAATGCGGTACTGATCATGCATAGGCACATGCTTACGAAACCACAGGGCCTTACCAGGGAGACTGTAGATATCGCTGGGGAAGATTATCCCATTGATATAGAAATAATCCATATCCTGCTGGTCAATCTTTGCAACAGCCCAAGCAGTGCCACTGGTGGCGTTCCTTGCAAGGGGGTCCGAGCCAGAAATGAACCCTTCCTTGGCATCGTTGCACTTGAAGTTCATCTTGTTGTTGAACGCGGTGTTGAAGGATGTGCTGGTGGCAGAGCACTGTAGAAAGTTAAAGTTCCAAGGGAGGGGTAAGAAAATTGTGTGTATACCGAACATGAAAGTAGGGCTGGTACTCGTGGCACTTTTAACCAAGTAGTAGTAAAGTAATGAGCGTTGGTGAAAAAAAAGATCAGACTCATTTGCGAACAAGTAGGCAACACAAGGAATCGGATAACGCACAAGCGCAAAGAGAGGGACACGAAAGCATGTGAGCACATTGGAGAACAATAAACAGCACAAGCATGGTTTAGAAGAGCACTAAAAGTAGTGAACTGTACCTGGGCACTCAAATCCGATTTTGAGACCCTCGATGTTGTCGCATGGAACGACATGAGGTTGAGCAGCGCGGTACGCCCGGCCTCGCTAAACGGAGAAGAGATGATCTTCGTATTGCACTTGTCCTTGCGATCCGTATAATCCTTCAATGTGTTGCCATTCATCTTATCCCCAATAAATTTTGACGTCGAGATTTTGTCGGTAGCGACGACGTCCAGCGCCTCATAAAGGCCACCGCTGTTCTTGCTTTTCGCGGCGTAGGCATCGCGCGCGTCGACCCACGCCTGGTTAGTCGGTAGGAAAATAGTCTGCGCGCCGGCCGGGAAGTTGCACATGCCGTTCACGAAATAGCGGAGCACGTCGAACGATCGGGACATGTCGCTGAAAGCGACCCCGCCCTTGATCTGAATGTCCGCGGCCCCGTCTTTCGGCGGGGAAGGCGCGCCCGGGGAAGCCGCAGGCGCATCGGCGGTTGAGGGGGAGGGTGCGGATGCGGCGGCCTGCAGAATCCGACGGCTCGCAGCCGCTGCAGCCGCCGTGTCCAGATCCAACGGCGATCCGAACGTCGCCGGAAGGGCAGCGGCCAGGAGGAGAATGGCTGCCGCGAGTGGGACGGTGTGGATTGCCATGGCAAAGGGCGGTAGTTTGATAGAATCAAACTAGTGAGTACTAGTGAGTAGTGCCGCTGTCTTAGAGGCGCGCGAGCCTCTACTAGATGGCCTTAGTCCTCTGAGAACGTCGGAACGAGAGGAGAGGAGACGAGAGGAGATGCGGCGGCCTGTTGTTGCTGAGAATGATGGTTGGGAGAGGAACGTGGGCAGTATTAGTAGTATTTTGGTGGTCTGGCAGATTGGTCGTTTGGTGGCTCGGTTGTTTGAAACGGAGCGAGGAGGGAGGGACAGGCTCGAACGCAGTACTGTGATACGACGATGCGACGACGATGCGACTGTGATGCGATGATGATGCGACGGCGATGCTACGGCGACGGCGATGCGGCGACGATGCCAGGAGGGACTTGCCGCGGCGGCGGCATCGTTGGTGTCCTCTCTTATAACATCCACCGGTTTATAACAACACCGGTTTATAAATGGTGGAAATACAACAAAATAGCACTCCTAAATTAGAACTAGGAGTAGGCTGGAACCTCAAAGAGAACTTGGAGATGACCACAAAATAGCCAAGATTTGGCTAAGTCCTTTGTGGTAGAGATAGCAGTTGGAGGACTTAGAGAGGAGGAGGATCCTTCTTCCAATATTGGATTATTGGGGAAGGAAAGTGAAGAATGAGCTCCAAGAGCCCTCCCACTTCCTAGACCCCTTGGGGTGCAACCACCTCCTCCATGGCCAAGGGGGTGGTGCACCAATTGTGGGCCTTGCCCATGTGGCATGGGTTGGGTTTTCCCAACCAAGGAATTTGTAGTGAGCTGGAATCAGTTTGCTCAGGTGTGCAAACTTATCTTGGGTTGCTAAATGTGCATTGGTTGGAATTGCAGCCAATAGGAACAATTGCTGCCCAACCCAAATCCAACCTGTCACTTGGTGATGGAGTGGTAACCACCACTCCAACCCTATCATCCAAACCTATCTTCCCAACCTTCAATCCCAACCCTATCCAAACCAACCCAACATTCCCAATATGTTCCCGCAACTTCGCGCGTAAGGGGAAACTAGGAACGTCCAGATTAGTCGCGATAGTTAGACTAGGAGGGACGGTTCGTATGGCGATATGTTACATCTCTCCCATGGGCCACTTGGTGCGCGCGCCGGGCGGTGCATGTGTGGGGGGCGAAGGAGGTGGGAGAGGAGGATGCGGGGAGTACTGAGTGTTAACGCCCATGGCCGACCGTGCAACCAGCGATAAGGCAGCGGCGGTGCGATAGTCGTGGGGCAGCGGAGCGGTCGTCCGTGCAACCAGTGATAAGGGAGCGGCGGCTGCGGCAGTCGCCCGTGCGACCAGCGGTGGCTACACATGAGCGGCCCTGATTCCAGCCGCCAGTAACGGGAGAGGGGAGCAGCAGCGATCGCCCATGCGACCAGTGATAAGGAGGAGGCGGTGGCAGAGAGAGGTCGTCCATGCGACCAGCGCCAGCGGCTACAGCAGTCCTACATCCAGCTGGCTGATCAAGGAGAACAGCCCAGATACTTAAAGCCCGCCGGGCAGGTTGCATATTTGTAATGTTTAGGTCGGTGGGGCGGCAGAACCTGATTGGACGATGAAGGATTATGGAAATGATATAGTTGGCGAAGGTTGGACTTCGCAGGGTCAGCGTCTGTTTCGCGCGAGCTAGCGGGGCTGGGCTGGAGCCTGGAAACTTGGCAGGGCTGCCAGTTTTGCAGCTCACAATCTGGCGGAGAGCCACCTCGCCACCTCTGCCAAGTTTGCAGGGCGAGAACTGTTTGACTGTTTCGATCACAACCAGCCGTTTGACCTGACCGGTTTCGGAAAAACAAACCGGATGTTGTTTGACGCATACACAGTTCGGCATGGTGCGACCCAAAACATACAAATCACATTTTTGTTTCGCGATTCCCACCCACACTGCAAAATACAAACCCTCCACCCAACCCGTCCCATTTTTTCCTCGAAGAACTTGGCAGGTTTGCAGTGCCAAGTTCGGAGAGGGCCCCAGGCCTGCCTAGTTGGAAATCTTTCGCGAGCATTTGGCAGTTTGATGCCAGCTGAGAGAAGAGGGCCTCAAGGTGCAGCAGCTTGAGATAAGAGGGCTTGCAACCTGCCGGTTGGGTTTTAAAGGGGAGCAACTTGTCATGGGGGGACAGCCACCTGTACAGTCCGCTGGTTCGGAAAGTAGGGACGTGGGGAAAGGGGAAAGGAAAGCCGCCGATTGAAACCGCCCATACAGACTCTCGGCGGAAAGTATGTGACGAGGGGAAAAGGGGTGGGGGAAGGGGATGGCGATGGGGCACGGGGAAAGTTGGTTTGGGGGAGGCGGGGGAATGGAGAGAATTGGCGATGTGGTGCGAAATCATAGTCCCCTTCGGAAACGTTTTCGCTGAATTTTGGGAGACTAAGGGCGTGTATCAAGTGTAAGTAAAAGGACGTTACCTGACGTCGCAACACGGTACAGTGCGTTCTATTTTGATCGGGAAGCTTCCTGTGCGTTCGGAAGCGGTGACTCGACGTCACAGGCTTGACATCGTGCTTCGGTATTCAGCTACTTGATACACCCCCTAAACGAACTCAACATTGTTTCGTCTTTCTCCTGATGGAATCTCTTCACAGTAGTGATCGAATGTCCGATAAGAGTTTGTTCGTCTCGTCTTCCTGCTTGGAGAAGAGTTTGTTCACCTCATCTGCTTTCAGTTTAGTCCAAATTTTTTACATGTTTCTAACTCCTTACAATGGGGCAACAATAAAGCAGAGGGACACACAGTGACAACAGTGACTTCGGGATGACTTTTAATCACAGAGATAACCAAAGAAGCTAAAATATATTACCTAGCCCTGTGAAGTCAACCCTAGTGGCCATAGCTATCACTTGGTCACTTCTTGCAGAACAGTGTGTTATGATACTGTAGTAGCTTTCAATCGAAGACACGTCAAGCAATCTCTGATTGCTTCGGGCGCACAACAATAACAGGGCAGGAGGCGTGGTTGACACAGTAGTCCGATACACTTCCGAGCACAAGCCTGGAGGGGGGAAAGATTGGAGTAGGGGAGGATGAGGGACTTCACTCAGTCTCTGATTGCTCTCGCCGCACGACAGTAACGGGCATAAAGCATGGGTGACAGCATGGGTGCATTATTCGCCTCTCTTCATCTCCTGTCACCGCACTGAACCTCACCTCTTCACCGCACTGAGCCCTCTTGAACCCATCACGAGCGTGTGCGCCTTTATCCTCTCCACCTCGCTGCAGATGCGCTCCCTGGGGTCCGCATCCTGCACTGCCACTATGTCGTACTGCACCTGGGGACCAGTGGTTGAGAGGGATGGGTGAGAGGGAGATGGCACTTGCTGTCTCCACCACCTCGCTGCAGATGCGCTCCCTGGGGTCTGTGTCCTGCACTGCCACTATGTCGTACTGCACCTGATGGTTGGATGGAAAGGGGGAGTGGAAAGGGGTTGGGTTGGGTTGGGCTGGATTTTGTGCGATTCATCCCTTACATCCCATCCCTGGGGTCTGCGTCCTGCACTGCCACTATGTCGTACTGCACCTGGTGGCAGAAGAGGGGGATTGCAGGGAGGAGAAACAATGGGATTGGATTCGGGTGAGAAAGTTGCCAGCTGTCAATCGCTGGGGGCCGCACCCTGCACTGCCACAATGTCGCGTGATAAGAGTCTAGTCTTGAGGCGCCTCAAAACTGTGCACTGCCACTATGTCGCACTGCACCTGGTGTTGTTTGGGGAGCAGATGGAGTGTGTGGGGGGGGGTGTTGGGGAAGGGAGAGGAGGTGGGAGAACTCAATTTGGGCTGTTGGGAGGGGTTGGGGTGGAACAACGGGGGAGGGAGAAAACATCTTGGGCTGCTGGAGAGGGGGTGGGGTGGAGCAAGGGCGGAGGGCAGGTAAAGTTGGCAGGAGAAAGGGTTTGCTGCATCCTGCACTGCCACTATACCGTACTGAACCTGCTCTACACCGTAAGGTGTAGCGGACCCCTTCTCCACTCTACCGTACTGAACCTGCTCTGTACAGTACGGTATAGCGGATCCCGTCTCCGCAATACCGTACTGAACCTGCTCTATACCATAATGAACCTGCTCTATACCGTACTGAACCTGCTCTATACCATATGGTATAGTGGATCCCTTCTCCACTATACCGTACTGAACCTGCTCTATACCGTACGGAACCTGCTATTTGTATGGTTGTCCAGAAGAAGAGGGGCCAGGAGGGGTTCAGGGGGGGTGGTTGGGGGGGGAGGGGACGGGACAGGTTGCTAACAGTTCTCCTCCTTGCACCAGCATAGACCCACTCACCTCAACACACCTCAACACACACACGCATGCACGCACACACGCACGCACGCATTTACCTTAACCGTCTTTACCTTAGCCTGGTCCAGCTGCCGTGACAGGCTGCTAACGAGTCTCCTCCTCACTGCGGCATTAGGCTTCTCCAGTGCAAGTTGAACAGCATCCCAACAACCTTCACCTCTGCCCGGTCCACCTGCTGCAACCGGTTGCTCAAGAATCTCTGCCTCACACCAGCCGTTACCCACTCATTCAACAGCGTTACCCACTCATGCAACAGCCAGCGTTGTGCTTCCTAGTAGCAAGTACGGAAGCACATTAACAGTCTTTACCATAGCCTGGTCCAGCTGCTGCGACAGGTTGCTCACGAATCTCCTCCTCGTGCCAGCGGTTACCCACTCACTTAACAGCCGTCACACACTCTCACACGATGATTGGTACCATAATAGCCGGTACCTTAGCCTGGTCCAGCTGCTGCGACAGGTTGCTCACGAATCTCCTCCTCACACCGGCGTTGTGCTTCTCTATCACCCGGTCCACCTCTGCCATCGCCTCTGCTGACACCGTTGAGTCAGCATAAGCTGGAGGGAGGGAGGGAGGGAGGGAGGGAGGGAGGGAGGGAGGGAGGGAGGGAGGGAGGGAGAGAAATGGGGGTGAGAGAAAGAGGGAGTGACCAGTGCGTGGCCTTCCCTCTCTCAATCAGACGGTCTCCTTCTGCCATCGCCTCTGCTGACGCTGTTGAGTCAGCATACGCTGCGAGAGAGAGATATACAGTCGGGGGAGTGAGGCACATAAAATGAGGCGAAACATGACAACGCGCTTCTCAATCACCCGGTCCACCTCTGTCATTGCCGCTGCTGACACCGTTGGGTCCGCATAGGCTGGAGGGGGAGGGATGGGGTGAGGTGGAGGAGGGGGGGGTGGTTGCGGGCACACTACAAGACCAGAGCCTAGAGTCATGTTTCTCACGCCACCGTTGTGTTTCTCGATCTCCCCGTCCACCTCTGCCATTGCCTCTGCTGCCACCGTTGAGTCGGCATAGGCTGGAGGGGGAGAGAGATGGGGGGGAGGGGGGGTTGGTTGGGCCGCACAGGAAGAGATCTAAGAGACCAGAGCCTAGAGAGATGTTCCTCACACCAGCGTTGTGCTTCCCAATCACCCGCTCCACCTCTGCCGTTGCCTCTGCTGAGACTGCTGAGTCTGAATAGGCCGGGGGGAGGGAAGCGGGGGGGGGGGGGGGGGGCGGGCATAGGAAGGGACTTCAAGCCATGTTTCTCACGCCAGCATTGTGCTTGTCAATCACCCGATCCACCTCTGCCATCGGCTCTGCTGACACTGCTGAGTCTGCATAGGCTGGACAGAGAGAGAGGGACAGACGAAGCGGTAACAAGTAGCGTGTCTAAGTAATGAACGACAAGCGCCTAATACCCGGTTCTCTCAACACCAGTCCACCCACTTCTGCCATCGCCTCTGCTGACACTCTTGAGCCGGCTTAGGCTGGAGAGAGAGGAAGGGTATAAGGCGCGTTAAGGAAAGTATGAGGCATAAAATATCACCAACGTACCACCCTAGAGGCTGAGACATGGCTTTAACAGGAGAATGAAGGCATCTGCAAAGAGGCCGGGTCCGGATTCTACTATGTGTCGCACATGCAGCAGAGTGACTCGGTCGGATGGGCAGACGTGATTCTTGAATCAAGTCGGCCCTGATCTAGGAGTACCACCGCCATGCAAACCTACCTGCGAAGAGCCCTGGCCCGGATTCGACTATGGGGTGCCCGTGCAGCAGAGTGACTCGGTCGGATGGGCGGGTGTGGTTCTTGATGCAAGCAGGCCCTGAGCTATGCGCAGCACCAGAGTGTGAACATACCTGCAAACAGCCCGGGTCCGGATTCCACTATGGGGCGCACATTCAGCAGGGTGACTCGGTCAGATGGGCGGATGTGGTTCTTGAGGGCCCACGCCACTGCTTTTTCACTGGTGAGGGAAGCATGGGGAGCAGGATGGGTTGTAGGGGAGTTGACGAAGGTTGAGACAATCAGGCAGAAGGGGTGAGTAGGTCGGATGGACGGATGTGGTTCTTGAGGGCCCACGCCACTGCCTTCTCACTGGTGAGGGAGACAGGGTGAGGGGAAGGGACGTGAGGATGGAAGGTAAGGAGAGAATAATAGTGCCTCGACCGCAAGGGCGGATGTGGCTCTTGAGAGCCCACTACACTGTTGTCTCGCTGGTGAGGGAGGAGGTGCATGGGTCCGCGGGGACGGTACGCGAGCAGAAGTCACAGGAAGGGAACAAGAGTGCCTGGGTCAGATGGATGGGCGGATGAGGCTCTTGGGGGCCCACGCCACTGCCTTGTCGCCGGTAGGGGGAACATGGGGATTGGAGCGAGCAAGAGCAGGGCGGGAAAGTAGGGACGAGCACGGGAACAGTACAAGCGTGACTTGGTCGGATGGAAAACGTGGTCAGGATCAGAAGAACGAGAAGGTCAAAGCGGCAGAGGGAATGGAGTGGTCATCCTAGCCTGGCGTGAGCACTGAGCACATATGCTGGAGTGTACGTTCATGAGGAGGGTATACGGTAATTCAAAGGCTCTACGGCGCGGCTCAAAGGAGCACATACATCAGAAAGTACGTTCGTGAGGGCTTATACGTTCATGGCGTCAAACGAAGGCTCAAAGCACTGCTTACCTGTCAGGGCTGGGGTCCACGGCGATCAGAATGTTCCTGGATGGAGCCGGCTTAGTGGGCGGCATGCTGACGACTCGGTTTAGTGGGCTCGGTACTCGGTTGGCAGACAGGGCTTTACTGTAACCCGGCCGGCCCTGGCGTGACCCGGACACTGTAATGCAGGGGTGCTCGATTGAATAGTCACTATGGTGGGCTCTGTACTCGGTAGGGGATCACAGGGAAAGTGGTGTAACACGGTGGTTGAAAGTGTGACTGTTTCAGGTTGGAAATTCGCCTCTTAAAAGCTCCAGGATGGTTTCAAACGGCAGCAGAAGCAGCCTTGAGTCGCAAGTAGCAGAATTGAGTCGCAGCACCAAGGAGATCGTAAACGTAGGCGGAATGTCAAGGATCCCGGACGCTTTGCTGTTGATGGGCCGAAATTTCAGAGAGAGGGGTGGAGGGGGAGAGGGATGGGGGGGAAGGGGGTGGGAGGAGAAAAAGGAGAGGAAGCATGCAGAGACTTGAACATGTGCACATTCTGTGATGTAGAAGATATGGAAATGCAGGGATGCAGAATTTTTAGGCGGCTCAAGAGGCGAAGCTTGTAGAGGTATCATGAACGCATGTAGAGGTATCATGAACGCATGTAGAGGTATCATGAACGCATGTAGAGGTATCATGAACGCATGTAGGGGTATCATGAACGCATGTACAAGCGGATCCGCAGGAAGGGAAAAGGAAACGCAAGGATGTGGGAGATATGGAAAGTCAGTGAGTGTCATTCCTCTGAGAATAGCGTACATACTACGTCGCGTGACGTCCGGATATCTTACGACGTCTCTACCCAAAGTCACCTCGTTACAATGTGACGCGACACAGGGTGCTGAATCATTTTGCTTGTACAGCTCACGCTTCCAGGCGGCTCAAGGCACATCCAGAATCCCGAGCGCTAAACTACGGGTGGGAGAAAGAAAAGCAGCGGAACGACGAGGGAACGCGAGTTGGACAGGATGAAACGTACGCTTCCACGACAGAGCCGGATTCGCCTGGAGGGACGTAACGGCGAGAAGTCTTCCGAAATGAACGGCAGAATGCTAAATACAGAGAGAAATGCTGTCAACAAAAGAGCTAGTGGCGAACTTTGAAAGAACCTCAATGCATAGAGAGCAAAGCTTGTGCGAATGGCTGAGTCTTGCTGGGCTAGCGTGCCAAGGACTGGTCTGTTCTGCTCTGGGCTGGGCAGGTCTTGTAGTGCTTTGCACTCAAATCAAGGCGTGCCTCTCTGTGGTGTGCAGTGCACAGCCATGTGCCTCTCCTGAATCCTCGATGTTGCCTTGCTGGTGGTGGTTGGCCAATCACAGGGACTGAAAGGCTTTCTTCGCAAAATAACGGACTGTGTATCCCGATGCGAAGTCCTCGCGACGGCTTCGCGAAGAGTTCTGCTGCTGACGTGCCTCCCTGCCAGAGATATTTCCGCCTAGCTATACCCCACTGACTCAGCATGAGAAAGAGGATTTCGGGCTTTCGAGTAGATGCGTAACATAATAACTGAAGAAAATCCAACCTATACCTACTAGAATCTACATTCTTTAGACCATCAAGGGCGAGGAGGAATAGGGGGGCAGCTGCACATGAGGGAAGCAACCATAGAGGAATTAAGATAGAGACGCTAAATAATAATAAATTGCATGAACCCTTCACTCGTAATTCTTGCCATGGCTGCTAGAACAACCAATATCTAACCAACCACAGGATAGGACCCACCCACGTGGTGAAAGTCTTGGTGCACGTTACATTCATCCAAGCCCAGGGTAATGGGAGTTCTGTATTTCATTTATAAGCATCTCCTTTTCCTCCTCAAAGTCTTCCTCCTCTGCGTGCGAAAGAAGCAAGGAATCGAGAGTGGAGGACACAGATGGGATGAAGCACCGGGTGAGAAGAGGAGGAAAGTGGAAAGTAAAAAGAGGGGGGTGGGGGAGTGGGGAGAGGGTGGGGAGAGGGTGGGGACCAACAGATGAAAAGAAACAATCCACATCAAAGACAAGTGGATGTAGCATTCTGGAATCTTACCATTCGCTTTATGCTTCTCAGTGTCTCAGGATGCACACCTTATTCTTTCAGGAATTTGACCATCTTGACCTTGCTGCAAGCCAGCAGCTTCACTACCCTATTAGGCTTCATGGGATTGGCCACAAAGATCGAAAGCATGTAGAATTCTTGAGTTACACTATCCCCTTGAGTTACTCCACGCACCTTTGTCGATCTCGAAGTCTTTGAGGAATTTGACCATCTTGTCCTTGTTGCGAGCCAACAGCTTCACAATCTTCTCAGGCTTTCTTGGGTTCGCAACAAAGATCTGCACAGGGTGTCGGTGCCATGGGAGATGTTGCGGAAGGGCGACTTTATATGTATATGTATAACTCGACGTGGCAGTGGCATGTGGTACAGCAACAAATGGATGCAGCACGCAGTGATGCAGCAGAGCAGGGGCCATGCAGGAACGAGCAAGCCTGCTCAGTACTCACTCAGTCGGTAACGGAACAATTCCCAGAATGCAGTGATAAAGGCGATGACAGATCCAGAAATAATTGCTAGACAGCAGCAAAAAGAGCCAAGGAAGCAACAGGAAACGAGTTTAGCCAGGGAGATGGGAAAGGAGTGTAGTTTTGAGGCGCCTCAAAACTGAAACCAGTGCTGGAGTGTTCCGTTTCAGCCAAGGAGTTGGGAAAGGGGATGAAACTGAGTTCAGTGAACGCTCATATGGGGCTTAATCTGGGAGGGGCACCTTAAATACGTGGAAGGCCTCGTATTGGATGGCTCTGCTGGGGTCCTGATGGTGTATGGGGTGAAACAATGGATGGGGGGATGATGGAAGGTAAAAGGGGATGCATGGCCCTGCAACTCTCTACATACTGGAAGGCCTCGTATTGGATATCACTGCTGGGGTCCTGATGGTATATGGGGTGAGGCAGACAGTGGATGGGGGGGTGATATGATAGTACATGGGGCACGGTAGTGGTTGGGGCGGAGTGGAAATATGAGGTGGCGTAAAGGACGTGAAGGTTGATGCGGTATGATGGTGCAAGGGGCACAGGGTGGATGGGTGAGTGGGCTTTCGAGATGGGTAGTGGTTGATGGGATGGTGCATGGCGTATGATGGTGCATGGCGTATGATGGTGCATGGAGTATGATGGTGCATGGGGTATGATGTTGCATGGGAGATGATGGTGCATGGGATATGATGGTGCATGGGATATGATGGTGCATGGGATATGATTGTGCATGGGATATGATGGTGCATGGGATATGATTGTGCATGGGATATGATGGTGCATGCTTAGGGCACGGTGGAACATAGGGCAGAAGAGCAAGCAATGAGATGTCACAATGAAATAAGAAGTGTCACACTTCTTGCCAGCACTAGCATGACAAAAGACACGCGATAACTACTTTGATAAAGGCTTGCCCAAGTGGATTGTGCTGTGCGGCAAAAGTATTGTCATCAGCAGCAGCAGTTCTCGCCTAGTAGCTGAGCATGGGTGGTAATTTGATTTATTAAACCGCATCATCACTTGCATGTTGGTTTGGTCTAACAGCTGGCACCTAGCAGCTCCGCATGGGTGTTAAATGACATTACCTTGATGAGGGTCATCATGATCTTGAAGTTGTGCGCCTCTGCAATGTACCGCATCATCACTTGCATGTTCGCCCGATCTAGCAGCAGCTCCCCTAGCAGCTGAGGCGGCCATAAATACAGGGAACGCGTGGAATGGGGAAGCAAAAGAAGAGTCCAATGAAAGGGGCCTAAAAAGGAAGAGAGAGAGGGCTATGGGTCACAGCGCACACACACGTACCCATCCACACACATGCACACACACGTACCACCCACACACATGCACGCACACTCCCTCACCTTGATGGCCTGCCTTCGTGCGACATATTTGTCAGAGTTGAGAAGTAATTCGACACGTACGTAACACACCTTGATCAATCCCACTCACTCACCTTGACACCATGCACTAACACACCTTGATCAATCCCACTCACTCACCTTGACACCATACACTAACACACCTTGATCAATCCCACTCACTCACCTTGACACCATACACTAACACACCTTGATCAATCCCACTCACTCACCTTGACACCATGCACTAACACACCTTGATCAATCCCACTCACTCACCTTGAAACCATGCACTAACACACCTTGATGGCCTGCCTTCGTGTGACATAGTTGTCGGAGTTGAGAAGCAAGTCAAAGCGCTTGAAGAACTGAGGCAAGGCATGGGTGGCACCAATGGCCGTGCCATAGCATTGTAACGCGGATGCAGGGAAGAAAGGATGGGGAGGAGAGGTGACTCTTGAGGCGCCAAAAAAGTTGCGGCAAGAACTGAGGCAGCGCCTCCCAAAGGGCTTGAAGAACAGCAGGCAGGGGTGGCCGTGCCATAAAATAGTAACGCGGATGCAGGGAAGAGCAGGAAGGGGGTTGTGGGGGAGGGATGGGGGGGGGAGCTTGTTAAAGACACACAGAGATTCAAAGGGTTGATGGAGCAGGATAGATAGATGCACAGGAAAAAGGGAATTGAGGTCATAGAGAGCAAAACGGTGGGCTCTGAAAAAGCATGATGAAATGTAGGTGGGGGATGGCTGGGTGACAGCTAGGGATGAAATGATGGATATGATAATCAAGTGTGCCATGAGGAATGGCATAAAGTGTCCAATGACGAATGACACCAAGTGTGCCATGAGGAATGGCATAAAGTGTGCCATGAGGGTCACGCTTTGCGGAATGCTGCTGCCACAAAAGGGTGAGATTTCGCTGTGAGACGTCTCAAACCAAAAGGGTGATGTCGCTACAGTCAAAACTTCCCTCCCTCCCTCTCCCCCCCTCTCTCCCCCCCCCCAGTACATGGTCGGTACAAGCCCAACGCATCCCTCAAGACCCCAACCCACATACATCGTCAAAGTGCTCCATGAGGAACTCGGCTGCCACAGAAGGGTGCCGCTTCAAGAGGTCCTTCTCGTGGGGAGCACGGGATGGCAGGGGGGTGACGTGAGGGAGACAAGACTGAGAGCTTTGTTGAGAGCTTTGTTGAGAGCTTTGTTGAGAGCTTTGTTGAGAGCTCCAAGAGGTCCTGTTATGTGGAGGGGAACATTCGGTGACGTCTGAGGCGATGTCAAAGTCTTGTGGGTCGCAGCCTGCTTTTGCCACCATTGCATGCAGTTGGTAGGTTGCTGCTGGGCATCAATCCAGCTAAGGGCATCAGCTGGTGGGCTCACCTTGAGAGAGAGGAACGCATCTGATGCGATGTCAAAGTCTTGTAGGTCGCAGCCCCCCATGATGATGTCAAGATTGGAGAACTGTAATGTGTGGCTGGAAATGAGAGAAGAAAGGTAGGGAGGAGGAGGAGGAGAGGGGAGGGAGGGGGGCGGGGCGGGGGGGGGGGTGGGTGTGGGTATTGTGTCAATACCATCATGGGTACTGTGTCAATTCTGAAGGTCCTGCCGGTCGCATCTCCCCATGATGATGTCGAGGCTAGAGAACTGCAATGTGTGTGGGAGGATTTTGGCAGGTTCAATTGCAGCCTTCCAACAGGTTACACGTCTTATCCTGCGTTTTCAAATCTCTAGCAGACAAGCTCGAGCCAGTGTGGCACAGCACGCTTGTTTCTTGCCTCACTCTTGCTTCTCTAACAAATCGTCCCATGCCTCTTCGCCTGTTTAACAACTTTACTTGAGCATAGAATCCCTCTTATCACTCTTAACCCCCTCGTACCTCACAGGGCTTCCCTCCAACGGCTGTTTCTTCCCATCAAACACCCCTTCGTTTCTCCCTACTTCGAGCCATGTATGTTTGGGCGTTTCAGCGCAAGTACCCTTCGACCCGACCAGCATTGCTCCATTCCTTACAAGCATTCCTTCTTTTCCATTCCTTACAAGCATTCCTTCTTTTCCATTCCTTACAAGCATTCCTTCTTTTCCCTACCTCACAAGCTTGGGCGAGCCATATACGTTTGGGCGTTTCGTTTCAGTGCAAGTACCCCTCTCTACCTGACCAGCATTTTTCCATCCATTCCTTAGAAGCATTCCGTCGTCCCTACCTCACAAGCTTGGGCGAGCGCAGGCATTCTCGTAGCATGAGGCCGGAGTTCTGTGCGATGTCCTTCTGCTTGTAGCTGGTGGGGGACGGGGGGAGGGTGGGAGGAAGTTGGCATGATAGATGTGCTATGACGAGCATTCTCCCAGCATGAGCCCCGAGTTCTGTGCGATGTCCTTCTGCTTGTAGCTGGGTGGGGGGCGGGAGGGCGGGGGGTGTGTGGGGGGGTGTTAGCCTGGTAGGGGTGGGAGAGAATAAGCACGATATATGTACAATGGCGTACATTCTCTTGCTATGAGCCCCGAGTTCTGCTTGATGTCCTTTTGCTTGTAGCTGGAGCCTGGAAAGTTACAGAAGGGAAGGAGTTCGGGGGGGGTGGGGGGAAGAGGGGGTGTGAGGGGGGGAGAAAGCTGGCAGTTTGAGCAAGTGTGCCCTGATGTGCCCCGATGAGCGTACCCCTCACGTGAGCCTGAGTTCTGTGTCATGTACGTCTGCTTGTAGCTGAAACGTGATGGAGAGAGGTGGGGAATGGTGCGGGGGAAGGTGGGGAGGGAGCGATAGGGGGAAAGAATGTGGAGTGGGATGTGGGCACAGAGGAACTTCACGAACTCCAATGGTAGTGCAGGCCCCTCCTCTTCCTGCTTCCTCCTCCTCATGTGTACTCCCCATACTCATTGTAAATTCTCACATCCTCATTCATTACATTATAAGCCCCTATTAATCCCCCCCCTTAAGAACTTGACCACCAGATTTGTGCGCCTCTCCACACACTCCAATGAGAGAGGTCCCTCCTGCATTCCATCCTTACAGCCATGCCTACACCACAACTTACTCCGAAAAACTTCGATATTTATCCTCGCTAAAAGCTGACTCACTTGCATACAGGCTCATTCACCGGATCCGTGTGCCTCTCCACAAAATTCAGAGCCAATGCAGGCCCCTAATTCCTCCTGCCCTCTCGTGATTGTCTACATGTCTACACCACATGCATAACCATAGTAAATCCTCACGTTGACTTTATGAGCACCTCTGAATCACTCCCGTGCAAGCTTGTCCACCAAGTCAGTGTGTCTTTCCACGAACTCCAACGCTAATGCGGGTCCCTCCTCCTCCTCCATTCTCATCCGTACGATCTGACTTACCCCTCTACAAGCTTGCCCACCAGATCCGTTTGCCTCTCCATGAACTCCACAGCCAAAGCTGGCCCCTCCTCCTCCTGCCTTTCCACACTTACTATCATGTCTACACCATGACATACTCCAAAAAACTCCGCTAGTCATCCTCGCTACAAGCTGACCCACCCGCGTACAAGCTTGTCCACCAGATCCGTGTGCCTCTCCACAAACTCCAGAGCCAACGCCGGTCCCTCCTCCTCCTCTTCCTCCGTTGGCGGTCGGCCCCCATTCTCCCCCTCCTCCTCCTCGTCCTCATCCTCCCCCTCGCGCCTTCTCTTCCCCCCATGTGCCAGCAGGTACGTCCACACTAGTACCATCTCCTTGCGAGCCTGGCTCGTGGGGGGGGGGGGGGAGATGAAGCAAAGAGGGAGTGATTTAAGCGACCTCCCCCCATGTACCAGCAGGTAAGTCCACACCAGTACCATCTGCTTGCGAGCCTGATGGGTGGGGGGGGAGGAAGGGGGAAGGGGGAAAGGGGAACGGGGAAGGGGGGCGGGGAGGAATGGGAGACGAGGAGAAGGGGGAAGGCGAAGGCGGAGCAAAGAGGGATTGAATGGATGGAAAACAGCCCTGCCTTGTGGAACAGCGGGGAAAACGCTCGATTGAGATTTGCACTTTTGCACTCATAAGAACCAGCCACACAGTCATTACATTCACGGACTCATTACAATCACACTCATTGCAATCACGCACTCGTTACAGCCACGCACCTCCCAGTCGAAGACAGGCAGGCGTGCCACCAGCAGTGGCAGCAGGTCGCACTTGACCGACTCTGCTACAGCCGCCGCTACAGCCTCCTTATTGGGCGGTGCGTCAAGGTCTCCTATTAGCAGCACACGCACTGTCTGCAGGCTCTTCAACACTTCCTCTGCGCTCTGTGAAATGGTGGCCACATGAAGGGGGAAGGTGGAATGGAAAAGAGGGGAGAGAGAGTCACTGTCGTGCTTGTTGCTGATTAGCAGCACGTGCACTATCTGCAGCAGGATCTTCGAGCACCTCATCCGCGCTCGATGGGATGGTTATCAGAGGGAGGAGGGGATGCAGGAAGGGAGGGGAGTTGTATTGCTGCCTTGTTCGTGGCCTAAAACACCACCCGTACTGTCTGCAGGCTCTCGAACACCTCATCTGCACTCTATGGGATGGGGATAAGGGTAATGCAGTCAATGTTGCCGTTTCAGTCAATGTTGTAAACGTGCTCAACGTGCTCAATGCAGTCAACACTGGCAATGTGGTCAATACAGTTAAAGCTGGTAAAGCAGTCAATGTTGGCAATGTTTGTCAACGTGGTCAAAGAAGTCAGTGTTGTGAGTGCTGTCACCTTAGTCAACGCACTCAATGCAGTCAATGTGGTCAACGCAGTCCACATTCAAAACAGCAAGATATTGTTGGTCTCGCAATTTCAGGGGAGCGAGGGAAAATTTATTAACGGAGTCACCTTATCGTCGCGAGGCAATGTCTGCAGCCCATCTGTGAGTGCTCGCACAATGACCGCTGGCGCCTTGGGCTTCGCCTTGAACCCGAACAGAACAGAGAATGTGGTGACTGCCGACGCTGTCTAATTCCCTGAGCCCGTCAGTGCGACGCTCATCAGCCCACCTCATCGTCCCGAGGTCTTCAGCCCGTCTTCGAGCGTCGCACTACCTCGGCTTCGCCATGAACCCGAACAGAACTGACGACAACTGACAATGTGGTAACTGTCGACGCGAGCTAACTCCCCGAACTCGTCAATGCGACGCTCACCAACCCACCTTATCGTCCCGAGGTAACGCCTGCAGCCCATCTGCGAGCGCGCGCACTATGTCCGCCGGCGTCTTGGGCTTCGCCATGAAGCCGAACATCGTGACAGCTCCTGACGCCCGCTAACTTCTTTAAGGCTAATGACTCCTCTGAACTCGCTCGCAACAAACTCTCTGCCACACAGTAACAATGCTATGGAGAATTTTGACTGTCAACGACGATATCTACTAGATACAATGGGGACTGGGCGATGAAAGTCTTCCAGGAAAGGAATTTTCAGCGCAGCGAGGCAATCTGTAGTTGGAAATTGTGCGGCGGGCAAATCTTCAAAGTGAGGAGATTTCCTAGGCGGATAATCTCCAAGGTGAGGAGGACAGGACAAGGTGGTGTTCTCCAGGCACGGATTCCACTGGCAAATGGAGAATTCAGAGCACTGTTGTAGATTATCCGATTCCCCTCACTACTGTGCTCACCAACCAACCTGGCCTGGCGGAACTTCTGGCTGCTTTCTTCACCAGCTGATGTGGCTGAGGCTGGCTGCAGATTGTAACAGCTAAAAAATAGAACAATAACCTCAGAACATAAGTTTTCACAGGCAATATGTCACACTGAACCGAACTATCTAGTTCATTTCATTTCACTAAGATTCACAGTATTTGGTGACCCATGCATGAAATGTAGATTTTCAATGTAATTGTTTCATCTCGAAATTATAGTTGTTTTTCTGATAAAAAAAATGAAACCACCCAAATAGAGTTTTATCCAGCGTTTGGGCCCAAAATATTGTTAAATATAGAAAATACATAGCCTATTAGAAAGCATTGTGTGACTTTTCACTCGTACCTTGGATTGAGTACTGTACGATGCTTTCCTTGAAAACGTCCCTGATTGTCGACACTCCCGAAGGTGACAATGCGGCTGGCCAATTTCTTGGCTTCAGGCTCAGCTGACTGTCATAATCACATCTCGTCTGATGTATGTCTTTCTCGCCTTAGTCTCCTGAGAGTCGAATTTCCTCGACAATTGCTGCACTTTTGCGGCAGCAATAAGTCTACTTGCTACTCCTCTAATCGAACTACGCTGAAAATCGGGCAGTTCGTCGCTAATGGCATCAGCGGCAACGGACCGTTCACCGGCTGTGCTACTCTCACACAACGCAACAGCTGTAGCAGAGGCAGCAGTGCAGCTCCTGCCGGCTGTAACAGAGATGGGAACAGCAGGGCTCGTGTACATGGCTGCTGCATCTTCTGCTCAGGTTAGTGCGTCACTGATTCCGGCTGTAACAGACTTCGCATCAGCGACGGCAGGGGAGTGCATCAGCTGTAGCACAGACGGGAGCAGCAGGGCTGGAGGGCATGGCGGCTGCATCGTCGGCTCAGGTTGGCCTGTGCGATGACGTCGCTGGCACGTGCTCTTACTCCCGAGTAGCATGTGCCTCATCGAAGCTTGGCCATGTGGTCATTCCGTGGCCCATATCTGCCCAACGCACATGCTTTTATGCCGCATGCTTGTAGCCCACACATCTCCTCCCCCCTCCCCCCCACAACCCCACCCCACCCCACCCCACCCCATTCCCATTATAAGCGTGTTGGCATGGTATGCAGAGTCTCTTGCGCCTCCCCCGTCTCCTCCTCTCTGCTTGGCGCGCTTTGCATCGCAGCTGGATCTCTCGCCTCTGCTCAGGTGAGGCTCAACAGAAAGTCTTGACACCACGCGGCATGCTCACTTCTCGCCTCCTCCCGCCTCTTACCCTCGCCTCGAAGCTCTCTGCATCGCTGCTGGCTCTCTCGCCTCCGCTAAGGTAAGGCTCAGCAGCACGGTGCTCCGTCTCCTCCTCTCTTCTTGGTGCTCTCTGCATCGCTGCTGGTGCCCTTGTCGCCGCTCAGGTGGGGTGCAAGCTTGCGTCAGATTGGCGAGAGTGCCTGATTTTACCTGATTGGCAAGCTTGCACTCTCGCCAATCTGAGCGCAAGCTTGAGCGCTCAGATTGCGCTCAGATTGGCGCCAATCAGGTAAATTACGCAAGTTCTCTTGCCTCGCTCAAGTGGGGTGGGGTGCATGCGCCAATCAGGTAGATGGCGCAAGCTCTCTCGCCCCTGCTCAGGCACGGCTCATGAGGCAGGAGCAATGAATGAAGCTTAATTCCACCTCTTTCCACCGCATTCCACCCCATTCCACCACGCATCCAGGCGTCTCAATTTGTGCATGCAGCCTTCCATCCACATCCCAGGGAGAGCCATCAGCACAACAGTGGGAGAAAACAACCAAACGCTTCCAAGAAGCAGGGCATGGGTCAGAAGAGCACCAGCAATCAGAAGCACAACACTTGGGGAATGTGGGCTAGCAGTACCAGCCAACACAGCAGCAGCAGCAGCAGCAGCAGCAGCGATGACTCTACTTTCACTGGTGGTATGAAGAGAGCGCGAAGGGGCTTGTCAGACCTGCGAAGGCGAGCAGCAGATGAGCTGTGGCCAAGCCTCCTGCCCCCGCGGCAAGCTGCAGCGCATGTGGTTGTTGGCCTTCTCGCATTCAAGGTGGGTGATTGACTGCCTCGCTGGCTTTACGGTGGTGAGAGCTGTGTTGGTGAATAACAAGGCGATTCTTCCTTCCAAACATTCCCCCTCATATTTCGTTCTGTGCCAATAATTTCTCTCATGTTTTGACCTTATTTCTCTGGTTCGCGAATCTTCTGTCATCCCACATGCGGCTGTCACTCTCTAAGGTGCTAGGTGGCCCTTTCTAGTGACCCCTCATGCCTACCATGTGACCCCTGTGTTGGCATTGCATGGCCTTGATCAGTTCCCTCTCTCTCTCACATCCCTCTGTCCACGTCCCTGCCACTCCAAACGTCCCTGCCACTCCAAACGTCCCTGCCACTCCAAGGTGCTAGGGGGTCGCTTCTGCAACCTCATGCCAAGCGACGTCCAAAAACGAGGCGCTTTTGCCTCCTTCTCCCTGCCAGGTAGGTCCGGAGGCACTCCCGACCCAACACGTCTGTTCCACGTACGTGTGGAGGCTAGAGTGGAGTTCTTTTGTTCCATCCACTCAACCCGAGATTTCTGTCCATGAGTGAGAGATGTTTTAGAATTCTCACAAGTCTCTCATAAGTGTGGAGGCGGTCAAGAGCATGCTGGAGTAATTTCACCGTCTTTGCCCTGCTGGTTCCTCCCACTGGTCCGGTGACTCCTGTCCCCACCACTATTTGAATGCGTGAATGTGCCGAATGCGCTCATCTCAACTGGTAGCACCATGCGCACATAGGCGTGTCTGTCTGCTCTGCTGCTCCACGGGTAGTAGCCAGACAGTGGCAGGGCACGGCTGCCAAGCATAGTTATAATGTAAAAAATAAAAAGCACGCCTATGTTGGTTTGGGGCCCGATAACCTTCTTTTAGGATGTGAGAACTGCCGCGTCTCCCACTGTCCTTCACATTCTATACAACGTTTATAACCCCCCCCCACATCCCGCCCACCGCCCCCCCTTCCGCCGCCCCTTCCCCCCTCTTTTCTTGGATCCAGCCAAGGGCAGGAGACATGGCGTGGGTGATGGGTGGGAGGGGTCTCATTCCTTGAGTAGATTCGTCCCCCATCCCTCCACTTTACATTCTTCCTCTTTAATCTGTACTCTCCCCCCCTGGGCCCCAACCCACCCACCCCCCCCCCCACCCCTCCCCACCCCCTTCCACCGTCCCGCCTCCCCCCCTCCCCTTGACATAGCCAATGGCAGTATACGCGTCTGAGAATACAAGGTACTCAAAGGCCGGCCCTCCCCTTGATCTTCCCCCAACCCACCTCCCGTCCTCCCCACCCCTTCCCCTTGCTACAGCCAACGGCCGCAGAAACGCGCCTGAGAACACGAGGGCTCTCATCGAGGACCTGCTCCATCGGTTTTTTAGTCGAATTAAGAATCGCTTTCCCTCTTCTCTCCCACTCACACGCCCAATCCTTATTGGCTCCAGCCAACGGCAATAAGGGAAAACAAGGGGTCTTATTAAGGACCTGTTTCACCGGTTCGGTAGCCCCCTCTCCCCCCTTCCTTGCCTCCCTCCTCATACAGCCAACGGCAGGCGATACGCGTCTGGGAACACAAGGGGTCTCATAAAGGACCTGTTCCATCGGTTTGGCTGCCACCACTGCGGGACGAGGCGGGGGGAATTGTGAGTGTTTTTCTTCAGGGTTCGTTTCGACCCAAGTGGCCATTCATGTGCCTTCTATAGCTGGCTCCCCTGGCTGTCACAATCCATCTCACTCCAGTGAGTTCTTGTTGGTCTTTCTCACCAGGTGATTTGTTGAGTTGGTGGCTTGCTGCCTTAATGCCAGTTTGTTGGAAGAGTGTAGAGAGTGGTTGAGAGTGGTGTATCTGGTATGAGTCTAGCCTATGTTTTGATAAGCCGGAAGTGAAGGAACGAGGGGTTACATGGAGCCACGGGTAAAGCGGGAGAAGCTGTGTTTTCTGTAGTAAAGCAAGGGGGGAGTGATGACAGTGAGAAAGCGAGGAAAGGAAGTGTTGCAAGCGCTTGACTATTATGTTCATCAACAGTCCGAGAGAACACCACTTGGGTGCCATGACTTAACGTGGCAGCGATTAAGTAGATGCTTAGAGTAGCAAAAACTAAGTAGATGCTTAGGGATTAAGTAGATGATTAGTGTAGATTCTTGAAAAGGCAGCGATTAAGTAGATGCTTAGAGTAGCAAAAACTAAGTAGATGCTTAGGGATTAAGTAGATGATTAGTGTAGATTCTTGAAAAGGAAGTGTTGCAAGTGCTTTACTACTATGTTCACCACCAGTCACCAACGAGAACAATACGACCCAGTTCTTTCCCTATCCTTTGCTTCTCCCTTAGCATTGCAGATCACATCCCCACCAGTCATGGTTGCACGGCGCCACATGGCTCGAGCGTAATCACTCACCTCGTCCGTTTCTGCCTCCTGTCCCTGTCTTTTTCCTCTTCTTTTCGTGCCAGTATTGCAGACCACATCCCCACCAGTCGTGGCGTACACGGGGCCACATGGCTCAAGCTTGAGCGCACCCCCTCGTATCGTATCCCACTCCCCATGCCTCTCCTCATAATCTTCATGCCTCATGCCTCACGCCTCTTGCCTCTTGCTTTCCCGTCCCGTACTTCCCTCTCAGCATTGCGGATCACATTCCCACCAATCGCGACGTGCATGGGGCCAGATGGCTCAAGCAGGCCCAACAGGCTAGGGCTCACGCTATTGCCGCCACAACTGGCCGGAGCACCACAGCAGCCTTGGCAACTTCCACGGGCCTCACATCCTGGCCCGCCAAGTTCCTGCCCCTGGGTTTCCTACGAGTGTTCCGCCCTTCGGCTGCTACCAGTGCCACTGCCACAGCCACCAACGCCATCGCGACAACCACAGCCACAGGTGCCAAAAGACGGCCAGTCAAAGCGAAAGCAGGAGCTCCACTAGAAACAGCAGCAGCAGCAGCAGCTGAAACCAGCAGCGCTAGCAGCACCACCGCAGCAGCCGACGCCTCACAGGCTCGGGCCAAGGCTGTGTCCAAGGCTGGGCGCATGCCTCGGGTTTCGTCCTTGTCCTCTTCGACCTCCCGCCTCTCCAGAGTCCCCAGTATGAAGCGATCGCCTAGTTTAAAACCATCACCTAGTTTGAAGCGATCGCCTAGTTTAAAACCATCACCTAGTTTGAAGCGATCACCTAGTATCAGACGCCTGGGAAGCACAAGAGGGGCAGGAAGTGAGGGGAAAGGCGTAGAAGGGGCGAGGGAAGGGGAAAAAAGAGGCGTTATGGGATGGCTTGGGCTAAGTTCTGGCAAATTGGGGGATGTGGCGAGTCAGAGGCTGTACCCGCAGTGCGTTGACTGCTCCGCACGCCAGGCGGCTGCACTGAGGCACCAGCGCCGCACACTCATGCCGCACCGACGCTCCGGATGGCCCCTGGTGAGATTCCATTGCTCAGGGTTCAGGGTTTAAAGCGTTGGACTGCAGGCGTGTTTCTGAGGGACTGTGATTGGCAAATGTGGGCACGTGGTGGATCATAAACGGCTGGGGCATGTGGAGAATCAAAGGGATGCTGTGAGCCAGACGCGTTCTGCGAGCCAGCGGCATGCTGTGAGTCAGAGGCTTGCTGTGAGTCAGAGGCATGCTGTGCAGGGCTCACGCTAAGCTTTTTTGGAGCTCTGTTTCTCCCGGATTCCCCACCCCCCTGCACCCTGATTCGTCCGGATTTCAGGGTAGTTGATTTCTGTTTCATCCGGATTCGGGTACAAAGTTACTTTTAGCCGAGTTACAGCAAACATTGACTCGGACATGTCACGATGTTCAAGGTCGAAACAGGGTAACATTTGCGGCGTGCCAAAAAAATTAAGTACTTTTGGATTTGCTACGTTAAGAGTGTTAATTTCTTCCACCATTTTTCTGACAAACCCGCTAATGTAGGGTAGAATCTGTGTCAGCTTTCTGGGTTGCGAGAAGGGGAAAGAGGGGAACGTGGCTAAACGTTTTTAGCCAAGTCTTCCTAGCTGCGTAGGCGTGCAGGGATGTAGGAGGAATTTGCCAGTCTGTGAGGGACGCCAAATATTCTAGGTTTAGGGTGGCCCGGATGGGAAGAGTCTCTCTGTGTAAAACTCTCTAGGTGTAAGGGAGACTTAGTCAAATTCTCTATGTTATAGGGTAAAGGTAGGAATGTTCCTGCAATGAGGACTAGCCGAAATTTATAAGTTTCGTGGGTGCGGGTAGGAGGCCTATCTCTATTTTGGAGGGACTTAGCCGAATTCCTCTATGGTCCAGGAAGGAATGTTCCTGGCTGTGACAAACTTAGCCGAAAATTCTGGGTTTCGGGTGGTGCGGGTGAGAGGAGTACGGTATGTCTGTGTGTGGGGGACTTCACCATTTTTGCTTGGTTGCGGGGTTAAGGAAGGAATGCTGCTGGAAGTTGGGGACTTCGACGAATTTTCTGAGTTGTGCGGGTGTGGGAGGAGTTATAACTGTGTGTGAGGGACTTAGCCGAATTTCCTGGGTTCGGGGGCTCCGTGCGATTGTTTCTGAAAGTTGGGGACTTCGCCGGTAAAATGTCTCTGCCACCCTGGGTGCGAGGAGGGGGGAAGGGGAGGGGGGGGGGGGGGGGGGGGTGTGTGTATTTATTGGCAGTTGCAGCCGGATTTGCCCCCCAGCGAATTCTGATCTGCCCGGAGCCCCCCGTAACGCCACTTCTATAAATTCCGGAAACCCCGATAACTCGACCCGTTCAAATTCCGGAACGAGCCCAGTGCCAACTCTTAATGTTTTTTCATTCCGGGTAATTACCCTTGAAAAATAGGCCCTGATGCTGTGAGTCAGAGGCATGCTGTGAGTCAGAGGCATGCTGTGAGTCAGAGGCATGCTGTGAGTCAGAGGCATGCTGTGAGTCAGAGGCATGCTGTGAGTCAGAGGCATGCTGTGAGTCAGAGGCATGCTGTGAGTCAGAGGCTGCACCCGCACTGACTGGTGAGCGCTGACTGCTCCTCGCACCAGTCAGCTGCAGTGAGAATCCAGAGCCGCACCGACGGTCCAGATGGACTCTGGTGAGTTTTGTTTTTTCTGTGCCGAACCCGCAGAGTAGCATCCCTCCAGGCCTCCGTGCTTGCACTCATTCAGTGCTGTTACACTTACCATGCTCCCTCACTCCACCCATACCATCCCTCCATGCCTCCCTCACTCCACCCATACCATCCCTCCATGCCTCCCTCACTCCACCCATACCATCCCTCCATGCCTCCCTCACTCCACCCATACCATCCCTCCATGCCTCCCTCACTCCACCCATACCATCCCTCCATGCCTCCCTCACTCCACCCATACCATCCCTCCATGCCTCCCTCACTCCACCCATACCATCCCTCCATGCCTCCCTCACTCCACCCATACCATCCCTCCATGCCTCCCTCACTTCACCCATACCATCCCCCCATTCCCCCCTCGCTGCAGCCGTGCCTCTTAGGCGGATTCTTCCTACACCCACAGCTGATGATGATGCAAGGAGAGTACTGTAGGGCCAGCAGTAGCAGCTCTCGTCCCAAGTAGCACGCACCCTTCTCCTTTCATCCCATCTGCTCTTGCTGTGTGCCGTGTGCAGCCGTGCCTCTTTGGCGGATTCTTCCTACACCCGCAGCTGATGATGCAAGGAGAAGGAAGTGGGCCCAGCAGTACAGTGGGGGCAGCTGCATGATGCAATACCTCTACAGTAAATCTGACAATTGAATTCATTGGCCGTTGTACAGCTTCTTTTGCCAGTGTAGGCAGTATTGGAGGGACATGCATGAATTCATAGACTACAAGGAACAACAATGCGCCTTACCAACAAGGGTTCATCCAAACGATTTCCCACAAGCCTCGGCTCGAAACACACACTTTCTTTGGGCAAACCAAACACTTTCTTCACGCCCTACTGAAGCCGGCTTCATCGAACCGACACCCAAGGCGAAGCAGCCAACCCGGATGCTGTTGATGGGAGTCCTGCTGATGTTGCTGCTGCTGCTGATGCTGCTGCTGCTGCTGCTGCTAGTGATGGTGATGATGATGGTGCGAGGGTGGAGGATAGGGAGGGCGAGTGTGCGCTGATCACATGGGGGATCATGCGGGGGATCATGCGGGGGATCATGCGGTTCTGGTCATGGTATCGTGGTGGAAGCATCAAGCACTCTTAAAGCCAAGCAGATTAGCGGCAATTTGCCGAGCGGACAACTGGGGAGCAGCAGGAGGCCCGGATGCTGTTGAATGTAACGCTTCTGCTACTGCGGCTGCCGGTGATGCTGACGGGGTGGAGGGTAGGGAGTGCGAGTGTGCGAGGATCATGCGGGGAAAGAGAGAGAATGGGCGGCTGGGCAGGAGGGTGGCGTTTCTTGTCGCGTTTTGGTGGTGGGCGGTGGGGTGGGATGCTGATGGGTGTGATAGGATGGTAGGAGTTACATTGATGAGAGGGCTTCAGGGAAAGCAGATATGGAAATGGTGGAGGGGAGGGAGAGGGGATGGAGGTGGGTGGAAACGGTTGGGAGGGGGGAGGGGTGGATGGGGAGAATTGAAAGAGGGTAGATATATAGGTGAGTACAAATGCGGCGAAGAACCAACACAAGTCGGTACGTTGAGCAGCGACGTGAAAAGAGGAAAAGAGAAACGAGGAGAAGGGAAGACAACTTCACGAAGTCAAGCTAGCAAAAAAAAATCATCAAATCCGCCAGAAAAATCTTCGAGACTAAAAGCCCGCCCGTCGCAGATTGGTAGTTGACTCCCGACGCCCTAAAACGGAGGTCAAACCAACCGAAAGGAGGGATCTGGATCCGTCAAAACCACCTGTCCACCGTCAGAGCTGGCCTACCTACCGGCTAGCCGACTGATTGAACCGTCAGAACTACCTGTCCGATTGCCGGCTCTACCGTCAGAGTCGGCCTACCTGTCGGCGATATCGGTGTGAAACCCTTGCCGCTGCTTGTGCTTCGGGTTGGTCGCGCAGACAACGTACACCCGCCCTCGCCGCCGCACCACGCGGCACTGCTCGCACAGCTTCTTAACCGACGCGCGAACCTTCATCGCGACTCGCGCTTCTGTTCGCGCTGTCTACTAATCGCGCTGCGTGAATGGTAATGGGGTGATGCCACTGCGCGGATAGATGGAGGAACTTGCAGCGAAGGTGAGCGCGCTAAAGTTTGAGGCGATTTATGAAGCTAACCGTGGCATCTGAATGGGTTCCACGAGAAGGCAAACCTTATAAAATTAATTTTAACCTCTCCTCGTGAGACATTGCATAACCAGCATTTATGAAGCTGATTAAATATTACGTATAGTACCATGGCTTAACGAGTCACTCACAGAAGAATCCGTCCTTTTCCCAAGTTTCAGACAAAACACCACTTTGAAAGCATACAATAATGAAGCGATTTTGCCATTCCAACTACACACCACCATGGAAAGTACTAGTTTGGATCCATGACTAGTAGCATCCATAAGGGGCCTAAGGGGCCGTCCATATATTAAAAAAGAAAACTTTGAGCTACCAAGCTGCTATGATGCGGCATGCTTCGTCAGCATGTGCTGCTTGAGGCCCTCGCCAGACTTGAACTTCCTGGAAGTGAGGGGAGGAGACGGAAAGATGGGAAATATTGTTGTGAGTGGGAACGGGATGTGAGAGGTGTGTGTGGGAGTGTGTTCGGGGCTAGGATTGGGGGGGTTGGGGGTTTGGGGTGGGGGGGGGGGGGAGGGAAAGGGGGTGTGGGGGGGGGACTGCTTCAGGCCCTCGTCTGACCGGAACTTCCTCGGAGTGAGGGGGACAAGACGGAGTGGCACGAGAGGGGACGGGTGAGAGGGAGGGAGCGGGTGAGGGAGTGGAGGAGCGAGTTGTGGGGTTTCCATGATCTTGTTCAAGAGAGAAAGGATTCGCACTCAATGCAACCACACATGCGGCACTCACTTGTTGCAGGTTCCGCAGACCACATTGGCATCTGGAGTGGCTGCTTTGGCAGCTTTGGTGGCTGCTTGGGCTGCTTTGGCTGGCGTTGAAGCCTTCGCAGGTGCAGCTACTTTGGCAGGTGTTGCCGCTGTAGCAGGGGAGGCGGCAGGAGCCGCTTTAGCGAGAGCAGAAGCAGCCTTGGCAAGGGTGGAGCTGGGTGTGGGGGGGTTGGGCCCTGGCTTGGCTGGGGTGGGTGCCGGGGCGCGGGGCACTGGGGTGGTTGCTGGTGTGGTGGGCTGCATGGGATGAGAGTAGCAGCAAAAAAAAGGAGAGGGGCGGGAGAAAAGGAGGAAGCTTGAAGGGCGCAGGGGTGGAAGAGAGGGGGATGAATTGAGAGGGAGGGGGTTAAAAACCCGATGTTGATCCCATCATCTCGTGTGCATACCATGGCCTCATGTCCATCCCGGCCATCCCGGCCATCCCGGCCATCCCGGCCATCCCGGCCATCCCGGCCATCCCGGCCATCCCGTCCATCCCGGCCATCCCGGCCATCCCGGCCATCCCGGCCATCCCGTCCATCCCGGCCATCCCGGCCATCCCGGCCATCCCGTCCATCCCATCTATTCCTAACAACATGAATGTGCCTTACAGTTACATCCCATCAACATGGCTCACCGTTGCCTCTTCCTTGGCCGGAGTTCCATCCTTCCCCTGCTTCTGCCTTCTTCTCTTCTTCTTCCCCTCGCCCGCCTCCCCTCCCGGAGTCCCCTCCCCCTCCCCATCCACCCCATTCCCCTTTGGACTCGCCTCAACCTCCCCCGCTTTCCTCTTCCCATCACCACCGTTTGCAACCCCTGCCTTTGTCCCCGTTGCCCCCGCTCCTCCCTTGCTCCCCTCTCCGGCTTCTTTCTCTGCTGCTCCTGGAGTGAGGGCTGCCAGCTTTGCCGCTGCCTTCTGAGCCTTGCTCGCTTCTGAAATCATGGAACAGGGGATAAGGGAGGAAGAGAGGAAGGACGGGCAAGAGTCAAGGGGAGGGGAGAACACAGCTGCTGCTCCTGTTGCGAGGGCGGCCAGCTTCGCTGCTGCTTTCTTTGCCTCTGGAATCAGGGGAGGAGGGATTCTGAAAGAGGGATGGCGAATGAGGGAAAACGAGGTGGGGAAAAGAGAAACGGGAAAGTGGGAGCACAAAAGGAGAAGAAGTGAGAGAAGAGGCACGGTGGCTTCTTTCCCTCCAGAATTACGGAGGGATGCGGCAGGAAAGGGAGAGGAAAGGCAAGAGGCGAGTCAGACGCTATGTCATGTGATGCTGCTGCATGACATGCTGCTACATGACATGCTGCTGCATGACATACTGCTACATGACATGCTGCTACATGACATGCTGCTACATGACATGCTGCTACATGACATGCTGCTACATGACATGCTGCTACATGACATGCTACATGACATGCTGCTACATGACATGCTACATGACATGCTGCTACATGGCATGCTGCTGCATGACATGCTGCTACATGACATGCTGCTACATGACATGCTACATGACATGCTGCTAAATGGCATGCTGCTACATGACATGCTGCTACATGGCATGCTGCTACATGACATGCTGCTATGTTATCTCACCCGGAACGCAACAGGACTCATGCCTAGTAGCAAGCGCCGCCTGCAGCACTGCTATCTCTGCTGCTGCTTCGCATGCTGCCAGCCTTGCATGCAGCCCGAACATGGTGTCAGACTCACTCCTCACTCACTGAAACGGACCACAAGACTCACTCCTAGTAGCAAGCTCCGCCTGCAGCGCTGCTATCTCCGCCGCTGCCTCCCTCTCGATTGCCTCCTCATCCTCCTCCTCCTCTTCTTCCTCCTCTTCCTCCAACTCCTCATCAGCAAAGGGGTCCTCCTCAGCCTCTGCAATCAGAAAATACAAGGTCGGAAGAGAGTGGAGATAAGGCAATACACGAGGGCTGCTATCTCTGGCAATAGAGAGGGAGGGAGGAACAATGCAACAAGCAAACGGGGTTACTCCAAGTTACCAGGTCATACAGGCATAGAAGGGTGTGAGGCCCATGCCTCCCCTGTGGGAAGCTACCGGGTTACCAGGTTACAGGCCAGTGTGAAGTGCTTACCTCCCCCGTCCGGGTACTCCTGCATGGTCGTGTACCCGTTGAGAAACACACTCCCAGTGTCGCCTTGTGATAGAGAAAGCCATACACGAGTACCACATCACACGAGTACCACATCACACGAGTACCACATCACACAGCAAAGGACAGGTGGCGTTTGTCCGTACCTCCCCCGTCGGGGTACTCCTGCATGCTCTTATACCCGCTGAGAAACACACTGCCCGTGCCGCCATGGGACAGCGAGAAGGGCCGCTCCAACACCATCTGCACGCCCGCCTGCTCCCTCTCCCCTGCTTGCTCCCTCTCCCCTGCTTGCTCCCTCTCCCCTGCTTGCTCCCTCTCCCCTGCCTGCTCCCTCTCCCCTGCTTGCTCCCTCTCCCCTGCCTGCTCCCTCTCCCCTGCTTGCTCCCTCTCCCCTGCTTGCTCCCTCTCCCCTGCTTGCTCCCTCTCCCCTGCTTGCTCCCTCTCCCCTGCTTGCTCCCTCTCCCCTGCTTGCTCCCTCTCCCCTGCTTGCTCCCTCTCCCCTGCCTGCTCCCTCTCCCCTGCTTGCTCCCTCTCCCCTGCTTGCTCCCTCTCCCCTGCTTGCTCCCTCTCCCCTGCTTGCTCCCTCTCCCCTGCTTGCTCCCTCACCGACCTTTTCAAAGCAACAGGCACACCGGGTTACAGGGCTACTGAGTTACAGGGTTACCACCATAAAAGGGTCTGAGGCCCGTACCTCCCCCGTCGGGGTACTCCTGCATGGTCTTGTACCCGCTCAGGAACACACTGCCCGTGCCGCCGTGCGACAGCGAGAAGGGCCTCTCCAACACCATCTGCACGCCCGCCTGCTCCCTCTCCCCCGCCTGCAAAACCGCCACCACCGCACTGAACCCCTCCGCACCCCCCCCATTCACGTTCTTCTTCTCCTCATCTTCCCGCATCTCATCGTCGCTGTCATCAGTGGGTGGGGCGGTGGTGATAGTGACGGCCACTCTTTCCCCTGCCTTTGGGGAGGGGCCCAGAGCCACCTGAGGAAGGCAGCGATGAGAGAAGGGGGAGAGGGAGGGGGGGGATGGCAGTGATGCTCTTTCTCTCATCTTCCCCCATCTAATCGTTGGGGCGGTGATGATTGTGACTGCCACCCGCTCCCTGCCTTTGGGGAGGGACCCAGGGCCACCTGATCAGGTGCAGGAGACAAAAGCAGCAAGAATTTAAAACGACCTGATGTGGCATTTTGGGTGTGGGGTGTCGGATTTTAGGTGTCTTTCTGCTTGCCAGTACCTTCACCGCTCAGGGTTCGGGGTTTAAAGCCGCAAGCTGTTGCACTATTCGCTCGTTACGGGAAAAATGCTACAGTATCTTGCCTCGTACATGTGCACTACAGTACCTGCGTGATGTGCACGTAGTCCGCGATCTCACGAGGATCCACCTCCACCTTGTCGCCCGCCCTCACCTCCACGCCTGCCGTTAGGGTTCAATGGGGGAAGGGACGAATGGGGACAGGGGGAAAGAGGGGGATAGAAGGGGAGGAAGGGGGGAGGGGGGGGGGAGGGGGGGGGGGGATGTGAGTCTTGGGTCGACCCTCCACCGTCTCACCCGCCTTCACCTCCATGACTGGCGGTAGGGTTTCATTGGGGGAAGGGACAGATGGGGGGCGACAGAGGAGGGGGGGAAGGTGGGGAGAGGGGAGGAGGAGGGAATGGTGAGTCTTTGGTGGACCCTCCACCTTCTCACCCGCCTTCACCTCCACTCCGGTTGGTGTTCCGTTTTGGTGGGGGCGAGAGTGGGGGAACGGAAGGAGGGCGGAAGATGAGATTTGTGACCATTGGCCAGCTGACACGGGTTCACATCGGGTTGAGTCGACTCAACTAAGAGCTTTGGCCAGCTGGCAAGGGTTCACAATTGGGCGGCGGCGAGAACGTTTTAGTGCAGCGGCGTGAGTATGCGTGCGAGAATAGAGATCGGACGGAAAAAGGTTCATCTCACCCCAGAAGCGCATCAAGACCGACATTGTGCGGTAATTCTCGTTACAAGCCGATTCGCCGCCTCAACGAAACTATATCTAGACGCGGCAGTCTACGGGGTGCTCTGACGATGGTCGGAAGGGGCGAAAGCTTTTGAGTCTGACTCAAAATCAGAAACACGGCTGTGTGGAGATGGGAAGTGGGTGGGCTCGACAGAAGCCGACACTCCACACGAGAACTGGCAAATTCGGTCCGGAGCACTTAGTAAAGCCTCACCAAAATGGGAGTTAGTCTATGGTGGTGGTGATTGGGTTGCGGAAAAAGGTTTGGGGTTTCTAATGGTTTGAGGTACAACCTGTGAAAGCTTGGCGAAGTCTGCGAGATGCTATGCTGCCGTGGAGAACGAAGCTCTGCGGAACGAATTGCCCATCCGTCGAGGCGGGGTTTGGGGAGTAGCAACCTGTAGCTACACCTACGTACACCGAGTTGTTGACAGTCATAAGACCAAATGGTAAACGTCATGCACAAAAACATTTGTGATAAGAAATACGTCAATCCCATAACTACATGCCATTCCAGCCATTAAAGCCAAACATACAAGGTGACAAGAGTTTCTACGCATGATATGAAACTCACTAATGAATAAATCCCACTTCGAGGCAAAATCCTTATTCCATTGCCTATGAAGAGGTGTGAGGGTAGTAAGTAACAGTGCGGCCATTGAGGGGCTCGGGAAGGCGATTGTCAGTGCGCTCAGTGTTTTGCTTGGCGATCAGGTTCATGAAAGTGATGGCCTGTGAATAACAGAGAAAGGGGTGCAAAACAATGTTGTGGATTGGCACAAAAGGGGGGGGGGGGGGAGGGGGGGAGGGGGGGAGGGGGGGAGGGGAGCAAATCAAGGGGAGGATTAGAAGGGGTGGATATGACATGGCCAAAACAGAGAGCTATGGAATGGAGCTTTTGTAAAGGACGTATTAGTTTAATCACCTGGCCCACGGCGAGGAACTTGGCCTTGCGCAGCACGTGCCACTCAACAATCTCGCTGCATGCAGGCGTGGTGAGTGAGCCGGGGTAGCGCCAGAAGCCCATGGACGTGTCAATCATCTCCGTCCAAAACTTCTCGGGAACGTCAATCGTCGCGTTGGCCTCCACTTCCGCCGGAATCTTGCCCTGCCAGCTGAGAACAGAAGGGAACGTAAGGACAAATATGTGTCGGGAAAGCATCGCGTATCTCTCAACTGGAGTTTTAGCGAATGGCTTTACACGTCGATCCAGTCGGACTTCTCGTCGTGGCGCTGCAGGCGAATCATGACTCCCACGACGGCGAGCGAGGAGTTGTCGGTCTCGTGCTGGTGCACGAAGTGCGCCTCCATGGCCGCGAAGAGCCCGTTGATCGCGTGCTCCGAGAACGAGTGCACGTGCACCTTGAAACGGAAAGAGGGAGCGGGGGGGAGCATGAAGGAGATGCGCTCGATAGTAAGAGGAAGAACCAGCTCCTTCAATCGAAGACATACGCGTACGCGGCGTTGCAACACAAAAGAAATGCGCCATACCTGCTTCAGGAAAAAGGTTCCGCTGTTGATGTGAAGCTTGTAGGTCTTCTCCGGGTTCGGGATGACCTCTGCGCAACGCGACGCAAGCCAATAAAATGGGGATACACCGATAGTTGAGAAATTGGAGATATTTTTCATGCACATATTCACACACACGCATCATACACCACATATTCCCGGCGGAACTCGCAGGAGCGAAACGCGACAGCAACGAAAATGAAGAGCAGATATACGCAAAATCTGCTCACATTCCCTGATAGCGAATGTAATATTGACCCGCGCGCTACTAGGACAAGTCTTCAAGCAGCATCGAGTTGACCTTGCAGCGAGCGGCGAACGAGGAGCGAAAATTGTACGCGAGTCCGTTGTAGATCGAGACTTACGAGCGGTGTATCCGTGGTTGAGGACGGTCGCGGTGGTTGCTGACGTGTCGTAGTCCAGCACGAACTTCTCGGGCTCGCTGACCTCCACCGCCTCGTCCATCACGATGTTGATCGGCGACTGCTTCTCGCCCGTCTGACAATCACCCTGCGAAAATTGACACGAAATATCGCGACGTAGGATTACTTGATGCAGAAAACTTTTCGGGACGACAGAATCTACGCAGCCAGAGAGAAAATCGCGGAAGAAACCCCAGCGATCGGGGGAATGCAGCGACTATGAGTGTTAAAGGCCTCGGCCTGAGGCCGCCACCCCACGTCGGGCGAAACTTGATGGGAATTGGTTCCGTTGCTGATCGGGAGCACTCACATCCCAGTCGAGGCCACTCTGGCTGTAGCTGACTTCGCCGTTGGCGGCGCCGATGACGACGAGGAGCGCGAGAGCGAGGGAGAGACACACGAGATCAGCCATCATGATAAGCTGCGGAGCTTCGTGAGCGTCGCTGGGAGTTCAAGAGAAACGTCTGACTTAAAAGGCCTCCGTAGAACTAAGTGGTTAGGAGGAAATATGGCAGCTGAATGAAGCACGTAAGGGAATCACTCGTCTTTATTGCTCTGCGGGGCAGAAACTCTGGGGAGGGAGAAGCAAGGAGCAGCGAACCCTGTAGAATGGATGGTTCATTCGAAGCCAACCAGATGGCTAGGGGGGGCTGAGCACCTGAATTTGGACGAGCGCGTTTTTTATTACGGTTGAGTTAGGTCTTTCTGTTTCCAGAGAGATCAATATTAATGTGGAATGGTGGGTATGTGCTGGGATCCGCGTGCGCCCTTCCAATGCCAAGGTGAGCGCTGCGCTGGTGGGGGATAAAATGCGAACGAATGCGGTGATGAGAACCCGCGGCTTTCCTGAGAACCCTGGCACGTTGAGTGCGGTTTCCCTTATAGATTCGGGGTAGAATTCCACACTCTATTCTGTCAGGGTTTTTGCCCACATGTTCAAGACCCTCCCTTTGTCACCACCGCCCCCAACCTCTCCTAGGGGAAACTACTTTGTTTGGTCACATCCGTTCCCCAACCTAGTGGGAACCTTGGTATGTGGGGAGTCTGGTTTTCCAACTACAGTGCCCGCTGAGCTGAGCAGAAGCCCATCACACTCGCAGGGCAGGTGAAGTGAAAGATTATGCCAGGGAACATTTACGTTCGAATAGGCTCTGTCCGAACTTCCACCACACTGTACCCGTGATGTTTCAACCAAACCTTACCAAGACCCTTCGGACCGTTCGAACTTTCTCGAATTTGCTGAGGCACCTCAAGAAGTTGAATGGCGGAGGAGTTCCACTCCACTCCACACACCTCCCAAGATTTGCGCGTGTACTTGACATGATGGTGATGGGGTGAATGGCTTATCTTCAGTGATAGCTTATGACAGCCGCGCCGCTTCGCTAGAGGGTGGGGGAATTGTGCTTGTAATAAGTTGGGAAGAGCGGTTCGGCTGCAATCCTGTGCTTGCAAGGGGGGGTTACTGAGTGGCGATTTTGAAAACGTATCCCGCTAGAACTTACTGTATCAGTAGCCCCGACTCTCCTGATCCAAACCAACCTGCACCAAGACACGCACTAAGGGCGGGCTACATTAGGCTCGAGTTGGGGCAGAAAACCGAGCCCGCGATTCAATGTTGGGCTAATTGGCGAATGAAAATGCAAATTTTATGTATTTCTGCCCAACATTCAGCTCCGGGCTCAGTTTTCTGCCCCAGGTCAAGCGAGGCTGATGTTGTGCTGCCCATGCCATCTATCCTAAAAGATATCGTAGGCTGGTCTCGCCTACCAATGTGGTATGCAAATTCCAGGCTGGTGCAAAAAAACGCCCCATGGTAATTGCTTGCTGGTAAGTGCAGGTAACTTTTGTGGCATCAGATCACAGCTCTTGCTGTTCACCAGGAGATCCATGGGTTGGTTCTCAACACTACTTGTTTGAGATGAACACCATTTCATTAAGATATCCCACCTGCCAAGCCAGAGTTCTAAACACACCCACCGTGAAACCTAGTCAATGCATCAACACTCCCACATATAAATTATTTCCCCAAAAATTCCAACGCCAACCCCAAAAATTGCAACGCCAACTCTAAGAAGAGGTGTGAGCATAGTAGGTAACGGTGCGGCCGTTGACGGGCTCAGGAAGACGGTTGTCAGTGCGCTCGACATTGTACTTGGCTATCATGTTCATGAAGGTGATGGTCTGGCCACAACAGAGAAACGGGTGTAGAGAACGAATAGCAGAAGGGGTTACACATCAAAAGGAACATGCGAAAGGACTTCTGTTACAACAAAACAACTTAAAAATCGGGCATCTAGCTTGCTTGTTCGTGTAATGTAAATACCTGGCCCACGGAGAGGAACTTGGCTTTGCGCAACACGTGCCACTCGACGATCTCGTTGCAGTCGGGAGTGGTGAGCGAGCCGGGGTAGCGCCAGAAGCCCATGGAGGTGTCCAACATCTCGGTCCAGAAGTTGTCGGGAATGTCGATGGTGGAGTTCGCGCCCACCTCCGACGGGGTCTTGGGCAGCCAGCTGAGAGACGGAGGAAGCGGATTCGGAGGGTAAGGGACGGACAAATGAGAAAGAGAGGGAAGGGAAGGTCAGGGTGAGGAGGGGACGCCGAGTCAATCTGCAGCTTCCAGGGGGAAAACGTTTAAGCGTGGATGTAGCAGAGGTGCAAGCCTGCTTTTTTTTAATGAATTAACTTTATCGAGCGACGCACGTGTCAATCCAGGCGGACTGCTCGTCGTGGCGCTGCAGGCGAATCATGGCTCCGACGACGGCCAGCTGGTTGGGGTCGCTCTCGTGCACGTGCACGAAGTGAGCCTCCATGGCCGCGAAGAGCCCGTTGATAGCGTGCTCCGAGAAAGAGTGCACGTGCATCTGGCCGAGGGGAAACGAGAGAGAGAGAGAGAGAGAGAGAGAGAGAGAGAGAGAGAGAGAGAGAGAGAGAGAGAGAGAGAGAGAGAGAGAGAGAGAGAGAGAGAGAGAGAGAGAGAGAGAGAGAGAGAGAGAGAGAGAGAGAGAGAGAGAGAGAGAGAGAGAGAGAGATGAGAGAGAGAGATAGAAGGGTATACGGGCAAAAAAGGTGTCGGTCGAATGCGCGTGCACGTAGCCAAAAGGAACGACAGTTCTTAGGAATGGTAAGGGAGAAGAATGCAGAGGGATTTTGTACAGAATCACGATGTGGAAATCACTGGGGCGGGTTTTACCTGGAGCAGGTTATAGACGCCACTGTTGATGTGCAGCTTGTAGGTCTTCTCCGGGTGGGGAACGACCTCTGGAAATAGAGAGAAACAAAATGACAAACATGGAATGAAGAGTAATTAGAATTATCTCGCCATTCAGGATTCCCCTAAGATAAAAATTTGCTCTGCGAAGTGTTATAATCAGTGAACCGTAAACCGACACCAAATCTAAATGGGGGAAATGGAACACCTTGTCAAGCTTGGGAGCGACGAGTCGTCGGACTTACGGACGGTGGAGCCCTTGTTGACGACGAATGCGGTGGTGGCCGACGTGTCGTAGTCCAGCACGAACTTCTCGGGCTCGCTGACCTCCACCGCCTCGTCCATCACGATGTTGATCGGCGACTGCTTCTCGCCGGACTGGCAGTCACCCTGCGGAAATGGAAAGAAGATTTGGAAAATACTTATTGTTACGCACCCATTGTGGGGAATCCCTGACGCACTCGTTACTTTCAAGGCTGAAGCTTCGCATTTAAAATCCACATGTGGTCTGAGTCACTCTACGGCGTTGCAGGGACCCGTTGCCGGCCACATCGCCGCGATTTTGGGAGTTTAAGGGATGTGGCGGATTTAGAGCCACATCGTAACTCGCGACGCTGCAGCGCATTTTGCCGCGCTGTTGAGAAGAATCCTCGCTGAAAATGAAACGGCACAACTCTAGCTGAAATAGGGTTCCATAATCGCAACACTCACCCCCCAATCGAGGCCGCTCTGGCTGTAGTTGGGGCCAGCGATACTACCGGCGGCATTGGCGGCGCCCGTGACGGCGAGGAGCGCGAGGAGCGCGAGGGAGAGCTGGACGAGACGAGCCATGGCGACCGACGGCGACGACACTGAACCACAGGAAGTGGTTAGGGCGGAAGAGAGCGAGGTGTCAGCCGAAGACCTTGAAGAAAGCCGCTTTGGGAAAGGCGACGATGAGTAGCAGTACTGAGAATTTGAGAGAAAAGCACCAATTTATAACGCTGGTGGGAGGTGATTCTGCGCTCCTGGGAATGGAGATGGAACCGGCTGGGGTGGAGCTGCGTCGACGAGCCGCGATGGGGCCGAGAGAGATGCGCCGCCGCCGATCCCCATGTCGGGGAGCCGGCTATGTGCATGTACGGCAACTTATGCGCTGGCTGGGAGTTTCACAAGGGCATCGTGGTGGAGGGAAGGGGAATTCACAAGTTTCTTTGATGAACCGTGAGTCAAGGCACGGTGAGGGGGAGGAAGTTGGAACATTCTCTGAAACACGGGAAAGGGACGATGCTCGGCTGAATTCCTGGAGAAAGGGGGAAGGGAAAGGACGGAACGCGATAAGGTGGGTACTGTTGGAGGCGATGTGAGGAGAGGCGACGAGGAGAGGAGAGGAGACCTCCTTCCCTGGATGCACCTGAGGTGCATCAGATGCTCCAGGGGCGATGTGTAGTTCGCGGTGACGAAGCCTTTGCATTTCGGCGATACCCTGACAGAATCGGTTCGTAGAGAGGCTTTCCAAAATTGATTAGAAACAAAGTCTACGGCAGGCAAAAAATCCTGCTGTTAAAACGAAATGGAAGAATTGACATGGATGGATGCAAAATACCATGAGACAGAGGGGAGAAATGGTGGGATCGTGTGACAAACCATTTATTTTATATCCGAACATACTAATCTCTTTAACAACTGTCTTTGTCAGGCCTATACTACATGCGCTGGATCATATTAGTACAACACGTGAAAGAAAAGGGTTTGTGAGACTCTACCCTCACAAAACAATCGCATCGTCCGACTGTCACCATAGAAGTCAGAGTGATCAGGGAAAGCAAACTATCCAATTGAAATGGCTTACCCACACGCACACCCTGGTGGAAATGGGCGCGAAAGATACACTCCGACAGCTGCCCTTACGTGGTTGGTGAGGAGCAACCAGACCATAGCTTCTGGCTTTGAAACGCGCGATGAACCTGGATCAAACTAGGGTTGAATTGCTTATCTGCAATCACATCACATCACACACATGGCGGCCGCGCTGGTTGAGAGAGATAGGTCCGCAGCGCACCAAGTGATTGTACATAGGCAGCCAATGTGGAGCACGTGTCTCCGATCAACACTACACCTAACAAAAGTCAGTCTGTAAGTGCTTTAGGTGAGAATGTATGTAAGCGACTTGAGGTGAAATAACATTATTGGGCACACACTTAAACGTTTTGAAATAAAGTCAGCAGGGTTTAGATTTGAGGAGTTTGCATTGGATGTATTGAAATGAGGCCATTTATGAACAGGATGTTTGGTACATCAATCTCATCTGACAAGCTTCAATCTAATTACCGTATGTTGGGGGAATTATTTGACTCTAACTGACACAATCACAAACGTCCATGTGAGTGTCCGGATTGAATGCTTGAAGTTGAGTGGGTTGCAAAATCATTGTGATTGGTTGATGGCATTGTCAACGTACAATAACAAATGAACTAGCAAGAGATACGGGGGTTTCTCTAGTGTTACATAGGAGGTTCAAGGGTCCTAACTGCATATGCTCTTCACAAGGGGTGCGTTCTCTTATATGCGAGATGTGCTTTGGTAATCGTATACGACTCGGGTTGCTGTTCATGCTGTAATCACATGTTTAGTTATGTGTCAATGCTATCGAATCGGGCTGCCACCCTTTGAATTTCTTACTGTTGAGTTGCTTGGTCAATGGTCAACGACCGTTGCACTTCACAATCCATACAGACGCATTCCCGATAGACGAGAAAATGCCATTGGAGGATGTTACAACCAAGTGAGATACTTTCAAGAATGACGATAATAATTTCTTACCGACATTGTGCTGGTACTGCTGGTGTGACAGCTTTCTGGTGCCTTTCCTGGAGGGGCCGCCCCGCCGGGGAGGCAGCATGGGCCACAGCCGAGGAGGCAGTATGGGCTGCACCCGGGGAGGCGGCATGGGACGCAGCCAAGGAGGTGGTAAGGGCCGCCGCAACGGGGCGGCAGAGGCCACAGTCGGTGGTTCAGCAGAAGCCGGAGCCAGCGGGGCAGCAGGGGCTGTGACCGGCAGCGGAGCAGGGGTCGTAACAGGTGGGGCAGCAGGGCCCGCGGTCGAAGGGGCAGCGGGGGCTGCCGCCAGGGGGGTAGGAGGAGGTACGGCCAATGGGACAGCAGGAGCTGCTGACAGGGGGATTGAAGAAGGTGCATGGTGAGAGACAGTTGATGCGGGCGTATGGGGGTCGTACTTAGTGGTTGCCAGTATTCGATTCGCCCATGGCGATACCGGGGATCTCTGCTCCCCCCTTTTGGCAGCCCAGTGGGTGCCAATAAACACTGCGCATACTCTCGCAGCTCCCTCCCCTTGGGAGGATCCGTCATCCACTCCAGAAGTCAATATCGAGGCGGACCTAGATCGCTCTCGCGCCCCTTGTCAGCGTTTTGCTTGCGCAACCTTCAGCCGCCAAAGTGCCGCCACAAACCATACGTCGGCATGTCAAGTAATAAAGGTGGAGCGTCAGGCGCAGACATTAGGGTAGATAACATCGCACGAAGAGGATAAACATTTGACGTATGGATGGAGGTATGTTTTTTGGATTGGAATGCGTTCCTTACGAACCAGGCGATGCCAGGGAAGAATCGCTTGCTCCTCAGCCAGCAGCGTCACACAGAGAGTCGCTTAGGAGATTTCTTCCGGTTGACATAGTAAAGCCTTGCACGGTCGCCATTCAGGGGCGAGTCCGGCGAGTACGTTCGTCATGAACATGTTTTCAGTTATTTTGTTCCCGAGTTTGACAATTTGGTCGCGGATGCTTCTGCAATGGTTGACCTTCTCTCTAGAGACCATCTTTACTTCTAGTAACTGGCCGAGTAGTCGGTTCGACGACAAGGATTCCTTTGGCTGGTATAGATTTATCAGGTATAGCCATGAGTTTTGTGGCGGAGTGGCGCATGTCTTGAACGAGCAAATTCCAAGTTGCTCGAAAGATGATAGGTTCCGTAGGAGAATGATATACACATGAGCGATTTATTGTAGTATCGTTGTTTTACATCTTCGGTGTCGATCGTCGATCCGGGTAAGAGCTAGGGCCTCAGATTCCAAGATGTGAGTTGCGTGCCAATCATGAGTTTTCAGTTTAAGGTCATTTCTCACCCTGTGATTTCAGTATAGTATTTGTGTACCAGCCCTGAGCTGTCAGTAAGCCTTGGAAGGTAACCCCTATAGTAAATCGCGTGGTAGCGCACATGTTTCTGGTTATTTGCTGCCTTTGCTCTCACATCTTGGCCCGTTTGCTGAGGGCACTATAGCAAGCCAGCGCAATACATGAAGGGCCGACGCTCTGCAGGAGAAGCTTGAACTCAAAACTTCAAGTCTAATACTTTCGACCGTCGAAGATGGAGCTTGTTCTATTTTTTTAGACAGCGAATAACTTTGATTGTGTTGTCTGCATGGCCTCGTCACTTAATTGTGTGCTTACACTATTCTGTGTATTGGCATCGAAGTTGAAGAAGCAAGGAGTGAATCCTTGCCTGCAGAGGTTGTTTGCGTGGTTTGGCGAGCAGTGCTCGAGCCGTCGATCTTGTGGGCTTGTAGCCCATCCTTGTGGGATTCACTGGAGCAAATTTTCGAAGAGTCATATGGGGACGGTCGTTGTTGCCGCCGGATTCGGAGTGTTTGCATGTGCTTCATGAGGAGGGTTTCCTTGCCCTCGTGATCCCGAGCCTGGGGCCATTCTGTGGCATGAGCGAGTCACTGGTGCCACGATATTTGAATTTGAAGCTGATCAAGGGTGTTATGCGTAGAATCCTGATAGGCTCTGGTTACCATTAAGCGATCCGATATAATATGTATGATCTTCAGGATTGAACTATAGGAGCTCGCTTTGCGGAAGCGATTGGTCGGTCAAGAACTCTGTTCGAGTGCATGTAACTTAATAGAATTGATTATAGCGGAGATATACAGGGTTCATAAAGCGATACAAGAGAATGCGAGGGATCTAACTAAGATGCACTTAGTAGGGATACATTCACTTAAGGTTCTAGATCCGACTTGGGTAACCGTATATGACTTGGGTAACTGCCTACGATGTATTACATGGTCAGTTAATGTATGTGTTATTGCTGTCGTGACGGACCCTTGAAAATCTATTTGTTCGATTCTCGGTTAACGATGAAAGACTGTTGCACTTCGTGATTCGACACAGACGCGTACTCGACAAGATGTTACGACTCGAGTATCACTTTCATATAAGTAATTTCGAATCGTAACAGAGACCTTTCATTATATGGTGCCTACAGTTTTGATGGCCCAGTTTTAAAATCAAAGGTGCGTGATCTCGGCTAAGGTTTGTCAAAATTCGAACGGTTTTGATTTCCGAGGGCGTTCGTCCTTTCGAACAATGATGCCAGAATGCGATGTTGGACTTTTAGCAGCAGTCGCAATCATCACAACCGCCTCCCTAACCAAAGGCCGCTTCGACTTATGACCAGGCCTAAAAATAATAGGGTAATCACCATATCTTGACCGAAAATCCAAGGTCTTTTTCATCGTAGCCCGTATTTCACTTAGGTATTTTCCTAGCCAGCCCGGACTCACACAGGGGGGAATTTCGCGGGACCCTCTCTGATCCGGGGGAATTCCGGGGTGACGCGGACCTCCTTCCTCCCTCCTAACAACCCCCCCCCACCTCCCCCCCTTTTTGGCCTCAACTTTGGCCCCCGCCCCAACCCGCCGCCCTCCCCAGTTCCCTTTCCCAAATCTCGCCCCACACCTCTCACTGCCTAGTACATTCGGGAGCCCCCCTAGCTAGAAGCAGGGCCGATGTCATTATGTATCACTTATAGATTGAGTTACCTCTTAGGTATGTGAGTCACCCTTCTCCCCCCTCTTCCCCACGGTTGTGATGCTCCAGAGGGAGGCCAAAACCGATTGCCCTACCGAAGTAGTAGCGTGGGTACATGTTTTCTCATCCCGCAAAAATTGGTGGTGCTCAGGCCTTTTTCGGCTCCGGCCCTGATCTATCAGAGCAATTTTTGGTTCGGCTCAGTTCTTACAGGGGTTTTCTCAGAGGGGCCCAAATCGTCCAGCTACAATAAAACCTAGCTCAAGCCCTGGTTATGACTCCCAAACCTGAAGCGCGAGCAAAGGTCTGGCTTTTGAGTGCGTGGGCTATCTGGTGGTTTTGGAGACACGGTTAGAAGGGATCGGCCACCCATCAATATCGCAGCTTATGAATCGTTTGCACGGTAGGTTGGGGCTTGGTTTGGGGTGCGTGACACACGCGAGGCAGTCACGTGAGTTCTCGTGGTGGTTTTGGGATTTTGCTTGTTTTCAAATGCCACCATGCTAACCGTGACTACAGTGGACATCGTCCTAGTAACAGTAACCTAACAACTAAAAACTCTTTATATGGGGGTCTTGAGTCACTGTTTGTTCCCCCCCCCCCCCCGCACTGTTCATGTACTGTTGAATTCGGTTCTTGTCGAAGAAATTTTGTGATGCGATCACGGTTCCGCGATTTATTAGGGGAACTTTGCCGAGATAACTTTCGCTCAGTTTTTTTTGCATTGTTTTCATGGTCAGTAATCATGGCACCACGCCCTGAGCTCCGTCCGCCGATTGTCCAAACTCGATATGTGTGTGGTACTGGTCATATGCGATTGGTGCAACGACGACTAGCGCAAAATTTACACAGGTGCAATTTATTTCGGATGTGCGAAACCCATGTACGCACCTGGCTAATGAAAACAGTCGCAACCATCATTTGAAACATTCGTTACCACCATTAGAAGTCGTCTGTTCCACATCAATGTGCTGCGGAATGGTCTACAACCAGTTGCGAGCGCAGTGTGTCACAAACCTAAACAAATCTCAACGTTGCGATCCACCTACTTACGGGCTGATGCAGAAACACTATGCGCGCCAATCGACACACGCCATTTGCGATGGCGAAAATTTGTGGAGTTCCGCCATGCACTCCTCCGCGTCGACGTATGCTGTAGTTTTGAAATGATGGCGGTTTTGATCGTTGTTTTACGTTTTTTTTTTTTTTTTTTTTTTTTTTTTTTTTTTTTTTTTTTTTTTTTTTTTTTTTTTACCAACTTCACATAGTTTCGAGTCTATGTATAGTAGAACCATTTGACGGTTTGGAATCAAATCGTGTTTTGTTCGTATGGAATCGCATCAATTAGCGTGCGCACCTGAAACCCATAGTGGAGACACCATGCGAACACCTCGCAACATGCCTACGCGGACCCTGTCGCTGCTAACGACAACGTCCCACTCCTGCTAGTTGCACATACGACAGCATTACCGCCCCTGTCAGCTGCGCATACGACATAATCCCCGCCCCTGCCAGCTGCGCATACGACAGCGCTCCCACTTTCTTGGGAACGCTTCAAGCAAATTTGCCCGGGCGTACCGCCCTATTCGCTAAGTGCCTCATTCCAAAGTTCTTGGAGTTTGCACTACGGAAATATGACCTGTACATCCAGTTCAAAGCAATGCTATGTCGGGACACCAAGTGTGGTACATTTCGTTCAAATGTTTCGACACATGCGAATGCCGACAAAACGGAACATTTGCGAAGATGTCACCAGCCCAAAGTGAACAGAGGTTGGCTGGGCCTCTGGCGATTTCTGCGACGGCGTGCGTTGCTCGCATTTTTCGCTGCATCACCAGGTAATGTTTGGAACTGGGTGTCCCGTTCGGACGGCAGTCCTGACAGCGTCTGGATGGAGGGTACCAAAGAGGTTCGATTCTGACGGAAAGAGTGTGTCACGGGGTCAGTGAAACTGCGCGGTAATATTTGTAAAATCTATCACCACTCCCTGGTACATGTCATATGCCCTGAGAGCCCCGGGGGCGACGCGAGAGATTTCGCTTTTAACGAATCCGGGCCGTACGGTAGGGGCAACGTGGACTATGGGGTTTTCCCAGGAAATGGGGCGTTGTTTTTTGTGTACTGTGCATGGGCGGCTTGACTTGCGTATGCAGCGATTGAGTAAACGTCGCAGCGTCGCAAGCCTTTCCGCGAGTGTATCAACTCTGCGTTACAACAGAATGCCCGAAATCATGCGTCATGTGACAATCATGCTGTGTTATTAGGCAACAAACAGAATTGCCTCAACAAAGACAACACTCGACTGTAGACTAGACGCGAAATAAAACTCAAACCGAAAACCATACTTACGAAGACCAAAACTACCCAATTCAGTGCAACACAGGACAAGCGTCTCGCCCCTAACGTCATACGCAGAGCACAACGCCGCTCGCGCCTCCACACGCACGCGCCAAACCCGAACTCCACATTTAACCACCTATTAATGCACAGATTTTAACCGACTACTATCCGCGATAGGTAGCGGGATGCGCGCCAAACAACATCCACTCGCCAGCGTCTGGGTATCCGGTCATGACGGCAGTGGCTCCGTGGACATGACAGAGGTACCCTTCCTCCGCCGCGCCGGGCGCAGTGTTCGTGTCCAAACGGGGGGATGCGCGCTCCAGGCGATCAATAACCGAAGGTTCGCGGATGTCAAACAAGATGCGTAGATCGCGAGGCGCCAATCCAATAGACTTTGCGTAGCCAATCAGCATCTCTGTCGCCATGCGCGACAGAGTGCGACGGTTCCGCGCTGAGTCTTGTGCAGCCGGGGGGGGGAGGCGCGTTCACCCACCACGCATCCCGCTGGGCCGGGCCAAGCGGCTCCACCTCATGCGGATCCACCCCGGTCGGCTTGCTCGTCTCGTCGTCACGCTCGGCGGTGACGAAGCGAGCGGCTGAAATCATGTCGCTCGGCCCAAACGGCAGGGCGCTCATGAGCTGCTGCACTGGCTCGATGTCGTCCTCTAGCCGGGGCTCTTGCTCTTCAGAAGTGGCACCGAGGAGAGGTAGCAACGGCTGCCAGCTGGCTGGCAGCACTCGTGTCCTCCAGAAACACTTCTGGATGGTCGCGGTATCCAGCCAAAGGCACGAATCCGACACCCAGGTAACCACATGCCACATTTCGGGCTTCCACTTCTGAACGGCGGCGACGGTCATGCCAGGTATCTACCATTGTGCGAGAACTGCTTGAAGCAACTCGACTTTGTAACGTGCCTTCAGAGCTGCGATGAGGCCCTGATCCAGAGGCTGGGTGAACGGGGCCGTGTTCGGCGGCAAGTAAACGAGGCGCACTTGCAAGAGTGCCCGTGTCAGAAAGCCGCAGATGTCAGCTGGGGTGGCGAATGGGGACTGGAGCAGGTGACTCGACGCGATATCCAGCATGACGACGATGCGTCTTCCTTCCGCCAGGCAGCACGCGTTGATATGTTCGAAAAACGCCGTGAAGACCTTCGAGGGGCATATGGGATGCATTTCTTGTTAGTTGAATAAATTTACATTCGCGCGACTCATTTCGCATCGAACAGAACACGGCACATTGCAAGCAAAAGATTCGAAACGACGCACTCACCTCTGCAGTCATCCATCCCGACGTGTTCGCGCGCCAGTAGCAGTACTTCGAAGGGTCAAACTTCTGCTTTGCGAAACAACGGGGCCGTTCAAATTTGTGAATGATTAGCGGCTTGAATAGCTTTGAGCCGTCCGCGTTTACCAGCAGCACGACTGTAAGCCGGTCCTTGCAAACCTTCTTTCCCGGGGTAGGATCGATGCAGAAAGTGTGGTCGGGTAGGAGACTGTAGTAGACGCAGGTCTCGTCGAAGTTGAAGAGGTTCTCTGGGGTGAGGCCAAGCTGGCCGCACAGCCTCGGGAAATGCAGTTGCGCGGTCAGCGCGGCGCCCTCGTCGGCAGACTTCGCCTCGCCGCTCATCTTACGCCACTTGAATCCCATTCGGCGCAATGCTTTTTGAACCCATCCAACAGAAGCTTTAAAGTGGCTTGGGACGTTGCACTCGGTTGCTGGCATAATCGCGCGCTGCTGGATTAGAGCGGTCGACACTGGCAAGCCAGTAGCGTTTGTGCTTTTCAGCCAACTCTTAAGTCGAGGTTCTAGTAAAGGCCACTGTGGGTTACACAACCTTTTGAACTTTGCGCGTTCGGGCCCGATGGCCCGCCACTTCACTTCTTTTTGGAGAACTCGGCCGACTGTGCTGCGATCCGGCCACAGGCCGTGTCTTGTGTGGCACCATCGCCCAATGTCTTCGAGACGTAAAGTCGGATTCTTCTTCGCGTACTGGCAGATTGCAAGCTTCTGCCCGACGGACAGTGTAGTTCGGCGTACAGGTGCCATGCGGACGACCTCGTGGGTCTGACGGGCTCGTTATTTGTGTCGTGGAGAGGTCGATGTTTGGGGCATACAAATAACCCCGTGGTGTCTGCATTGTTGGCGGGGGGAACGATGTTGGGACCCCTCTGTTGCTTACTTGGCGATTCCCTGTTGGCAGTTTGATGACGGAATTTCCCAGGGCTACGCAGACGGATTCTGTTGGCGTTGCTGGCGTTAATCTACTGGACCGTCACTGAGGTGGTCGTATCTATAGCATCATGTGGATTTTTGTCTCGACATTGGTTGGCGAGCCTGACACTTCTGGATGTTTAAAGGCTCGCCAACCAGTAGGAGAGGTCGCCCTGAAAAGACAAGAGCAAACTGATTGGACGGCCAAAGATCAGCCGAATTGAGTGTCGAAGTTACTGTTGAGTTGAGACGGGTACACTTTGCGTACAAAGAGAGGCCCTTAAGGATAAAATGCCTATGGGGTACTCCTGGGCGTAAAAGGAAGTCGTCTACAAGGCATATGACCTGTACATGAGAGCCTGGTTCCTCGCCAACTCACCGTGGAACGGACTTTCCTTGACCTGCGAATCTGACGAGACGCCACATCTGGTCGAATCTGTAGCTGACTGGTAGGTGTCATGGCATGCCAGTAGGATCCTACTCCCAGCCTTCTGCAGTAATAACGCAGTCTCAGATACACTTTACAGCACTTGGGCGTTCGCCTGCTGCTATCACGCATATTAGTTACTGCTTCTATCTTGGACCCTGCCATTCGTCCGCGTCGCGCCGGTCTTTCCTATCCCGTGCTTCATGCCGTAATTCGTCGCGACATCGACAATGGTACGAGCAATGTTAACCATGCGATCGTTAGAAGGACACAGTCTAGGTCGTAGGTTTTGCTCGCCCAAACTCTCTAAGTGAAGTCCAGAAATCCTCAGATTAGTGGTTGGGATCGTTAGGTATCATCGTATAGTGCTTGAGTTCATTGTAGTCTACAAGAGCTTCACCGTAACGACGTGACGACGTGACGACGTGTCAGAAGTGAGAGGGAGCGAAGGAGCTCTTGCGCATGATTCCTATGATCATGCCATTTGATCTACCTGGAATCCGCACGAACGGCGTGCGAGCGGGCGTTGGGAATCAGTCCCGTTTCCCTTGCACGAGCTGAATATCGTCTCGCGTCTCTCGCTTGTTCACGGAACGTCAAGCGATCAAGCACTCTAGGGAATGGTTCGACGATGATGTATTTAAATGTCAAACAGGCACTCGAGATCAAGTAACGGAACATGTCGATGTCGGTACATGTCACTGTCGCAACATGTTTCTGACAATGTTTCTTATTCTAGGACAGGAACATGTCGCCGCGGTCAATGCCTTTTGAGACGACTCTATAGTCACCTCGGAACGGTTCGTTTTTTGTTCTAAGACGGGAACAAATCGTTGTCGTTCCGTCGTCCGAATGATGACAACATACCCAAGACGGAATCTGTCAATGCATCATCCTAATGACGACAACACACCCAAGACGGAATCTGTCTATCCATCATCCTGATGACGACAACGTACCCAAGACGGAATCTGCTGTTCCAGCCTGATTCCGACGCTTTCCGTTGTGGGGATTCATTCGCCTAGTAGGAGATCTCTCAGAATCATCTGACGGACTACCGATGTCTCTTCCGATCCCCCACTCCACTCCCGCCGACCTCCATCCCCCTTTTCCCTTCATTTTCCGTCTCCACCCTGCCCTCTTTCCCCCCTCTTTCCCCCCCCCCCTTCCCACTCCCCCTCCCTCTCTCGCCCTACCCCTCTCATCCTCCCCCTTCCCTTCGGAGCAGGGAGAAGAAACAGCGCCAGATGACACGTCAGCAGGAGCGGAGGCGGCGCGCTTTGTGGTGGGGTCCAAGATATGGGTGGCGCATAAGAAGGCGGCGTTCGCTGCAGCTGAGGTGACGGCAGTGCAGGACAATGGGGAGACTATCGAGGCGATCCTCGTGGATCCCAAGGGCGACGAGAAGGTGGGTGAATAACCCCGGAAACATTCATATTACGGGGGAAAGGTGGCGTTTGCTGCAGCTGAGTTGACGGCAGTGGAGGAAAACCAAGGGATCCCAAGGGGGACAAGGTGGGTAAATAACCCTAGAAAATATGAAGGGGTCCTAGTATATGGCGTTGTGCTTAAGCAAGTTTTTTTGGGGCTGGAGAGCCGGCAGTGGAAGGCAATGTGGACATAAATTAAGGCGTCCTTCGGGACCCCATCCCTTCATGACACCCCCACCCGTCACATCCTTTTGCCCTTCTTGTTGGTCCTTATCCTCGCTAGGGAGTGCTTCCCTAGAGACGAGGACGAGAAGAAGGACCCCAAGGACCACATGGGATGGTGAAGCTGGATCACCTGCACAAGCCTTTGAGCCTTTGAGGCGCTTCAAGTTCCCCCCGTGCTCACTTCGCCTCCCATTCCCCCACTCCCCACAACCATGCTCCCCCTCTGTAGGTCCTTATCCCCGCTAAGGAGTGCTTCCCTAGGGAGGATGACGAGGAAAAGGACCCCAAGGACGATATGGTGAAGCTGGATCACCTGCACGAGCCAGGCGTGCTGCACAATTTAAAGAGGCGATACGTGCGCAATGCCATTTATGTGAGTCTGTAGTGTGACTATACTGATGCCCGTGTGACTATATTGATGGCCACATGGGAGAGGGGGGGATGGGGAGAGAGGAGGGAAGGGAAATGGGACCCCAGGGATGATATGGTGAAGCTGGACCACCTGCACGAGCCGGGGGTGCCATACAACCTGAAGAGGCGATACGTGCACAACGCCTCTTGCAACCAAGCCCTTCACCTACCTCCAAGGTCTCTACCATCCCCAGCTGAATACCAACTTGTCCTGCTCTCCTTGCCCCACTCCCCATCCCCTGCCATGCACCCCCTGCAGACGTACACAGGAACCATTCTTATCGCAGTCAACCCCTTCATCTACCTGCCGGGCCTCTACCACCCCCAGCTCAAGAGCCAGTACCGCAATGTGCCTCTGGGGCAGCTCAGCCCTCACGTGTTCGCCATTGCTGACCATGCTTACAGGTAAGTGCACGCGTGTGCAGGTGTCTAAATGTGCATATGGCTCTCATGCATACAGGTGTGTACAGGTGTGTAGTGTTTAGGGGTGCGTGTACCCTGTTAGGCAGCACTGGCACCCTCTTTACCTCTCCCTCCCTCCCCCCCACTCTTGTACTCCTACACGCACTCACACACACACAATATCACTTACTCACTCTCACTCTCCCACCTTACAGGTCCATGAGGGAGACAGGGCGCAGCCAGTCGGTGCTGATCAGTGGGGGGAGCGGCACCGAGTGCATGGCAGGGCCAGCTCTGCAGAGAATGGCTCTTATACAGCTTTCTCTCCCTCCCCGGCACAAAATACTGTCCCGGGCAGGTCCATGCGAGAGGCAGGGCGCAGCCAGTCGGTGCTGGCCAGTGGGAAGAGCGGCGCCGGCAAGACAGAGAGGACCAAGCTGGTTATGGAGTACCTGGCGGGGACTAGCAGGAGCAGTTCCGCCGCCCTCTTTACCACTGCCCCTCTCTCTCCCCCCCCAACTCTTCCCACACGCTCTCCCACGCAGGTCCATGAGAGAAGCAGGGCGCAGCCAGTCGGTGCTGATCAGTGGGGAGAGCGGAGCCGGCAAGACAGAGACGACCAAGCTGGTGATGGAGTACCTGGCGGGGGCAGGCGTGGCGGATAAGGCTGCTGCTGCTGCAGCGGGGGCTGCAGGGGCGGTGGGCATGGGGGGGGGAAGGAGAGGGAGGCGGGGAGGAGGGGGAGGTGGCGAAGTGGGGGTGCCTGCAGCGTCAACTCAGTGTGTGGAGCGAGTGTTGGAGGTGAGCAGAGTGTGAAAAGTGTGTGAAGAAGTAAGTTCAACTGGTAAGGGGAGCAGGGGCGAGGTGATGGGGCAGGGGAGTTGATGGTGAGCAGTTGATAGCTGAGAGAGACCACGGAGCTAGTGATGGAGTACCTGACGGGGGCTGCAGTGGCCGATAGGGCTGCTGCTGCTGCAGCGAGGGCCGTCGGCTCACTGTGTGGATAGAGTTTTTAGGTGAGGAGGCTGTTCGAGGTGAGGGGGGTGTTGGAGGCGAGGAGGCTGTTGGAGGTGAGGAGGCTGTTGGAGGTGAGGAGGCTGTTGGAGGTGAGGGGGATGTCAGAGGGAGAGGAGGACAGTGGGCGAGGGATGCGTTAGGGCAGAAGATTGGACATTCCCTCCATTCCCTGTTTCTCGTTCACCCATTCCCCTTCATTCTCTCACTCTCTCTCCCGTTCCCTCCCACTCCTCTCACACCCACCTTACAGTCCCTCCCACCCAATTCCCTGGCATTCTCCTGATTCCCTCCTTTCCCTCGCATCCCTCCCACCCCTCCCACCCCTCTTCCACTGTTTCACCCTGTCTCCGATTTTCCCATTCCTTACTGTTCCCCCCTACTCCTTCTATTCTATTTCTACCCTCCGCGTCCTCACATCCTCCCATTCCCTTCCCATTCCCTTCCCTCTCATTCCCTCCCAACCCCTCAACCCCCCCCCGACTGCCATCCAATCTCCCCCAAACCCCTCCAATACAACCCCCTCCAATACAGCCCCCTCCAATACAGCCCCCTCCAATACAACCCCCTCCAATACAACCCCCTCCAACACAACCCCCTCCAATACAACCCCCTCCAATGCAACCCCCTCCAATACAACCCCCTCCAATACAACCCCCTCCAATACAACCCCCTCCAATACAACCCCCTCCAAGACAACCCCCTCCAAGACAACCCCCTCCAATACAACCCCCTCCAATACAACCCCCTCCAATACAACCCCCTCCAATGCAACCCCCTCCAATACAACCCCCTCCAATACAACCCCCTCCAATGCAACCCCCTCCAATGCAACCCCCTCCAATACAACCCCCTCCAATACAACCCCCTCCAATACAACCCCCTCCAATGCAACCCCCTCCAATACAACCCCCTCCAATGCAACCCCCTCCAGTCCAACCAAGTCCTGGAGACGTTTGGAAACGCCAAGACAATGCGTAACAATAACTCCAGGTAACAGCAACTCTGTCCCCGTTGCCATGGCAAGGAAATGCGTAGCAGCAGGACCCACCCGCACACCCTCACCACTGCCCGTCCATTTTTCAAGTCTCGAGCTTCATCACGCCATCTAGTTGCCCATCTCAAGGTCTCTTTGTCTCCCCCCGTCACCCGTCACCCGTCACGGTCACCCAGTTATACGCCTCTCTGCTTTTGAGTCGACTCAAAAGCGGCCCCCGTACCCGTCCCCCAGTTATACGCCTCTCTACCCCCTCCCCAGCAATTCCATTCCTCCCTCCCAGTCGCTTTGGCAAGTCCAATGAAACTCACTTTGACAAGGAAGGATGGCAGGGTCACTAGGGCAGCCATCCAGTCGGGTTCGCTCTCTAAGTACCTTGTGCCAGGGACCAACCTGCCATGCACCTCTGTCCCCCTGTCCATCTGTACCCAGTCGCGTTGGCACGTTCGTTGATATTCACGTTAACAAGGAGGGCCGGGTCACAGAGGCAGCCATCCAGTCGGGTTCACTCTAATAACCTTGTTTGTTCCAGCATAATAACCAACCTGCCGTGCACAACCTCTGTCCCACTGCCCATCTATTCCCAGTCGCTTTGGCAAGTTTATTCAGATTCGCATTGACAAGGTGGGCAGTGTCCCAGGGGGCAACCACCCACTCCTGCCTGCTGGAGCGCCTCACTCACAGAGCAACCCACTCACACACCCCTGCCTCTCTCTCCTCTCCTCGTACTTTCCCCGGTCTTTTTATTTGCCCCAGTCGCTTTGGCAAGTTCATAGAGATTCATTTCGACAAGGAGGGCAGGGTGACAGGAGCAGCCATCCGCTCGTATTTGCTGGAGCGGTCCAGAGTGGTGCAGATCGGTAGTCCTGAGCGTTCCTACCACTGCTTCTACCAGCTGCTCTATGGGGCCACGCCCGAGGTGAGGGAGTGAGGGAGTCTGTGAGTGAGTGTGTGAGTGCATATGTGTGTGAGTGCATGTTTGTGTGAGTGCATGTGTGTGTGAGCGCATGTGTGTGTGAGAGCCGCTCCATGGGATGGGACCACGCCAGAGGCGAGTGAGTGAGGAAATGTGGTTGTGAAGGAGTGAGAGTGAGTGAGTGTGGTTGTGAAGGAGTGAGAGTGAGCGAGTGTGGTTGTGAAGGAGTGATAGTGAGTGTGGTTGTGAAGGAGTGAGAGTGAGTGAGTGTGGTTGTGAAGGAGTGAGAGTGAGTGAGTGTGGTTGTGAAGGAGTGAGAGTGAGTGAGTGTGGTTGTGAAGGAGTGAGAGTGAGTGAGTGTGGTTGTGAAGGAGTGAGCATGAGTGAGTATGGTTGTGAAGGAGTGGGAGTGAGTAAATGTGCATGGGCTCGAGCTGAACTTCCCAGTCCAGAGTGGTGCAGATCGGTAATCCTGATTGCTCCTACCTCTCCTTACTGCTTCCGTTGACTAGTATTGAATCTACCTGCCTCACTTCACCTCTTCCTTCCCTCCCATCCATTTCCCCTTCCTCTACACCTTTCTTGCTTGATCATGAAACACAAGCCTCACTTCACACCTCTTGCTCTCCCCCCATTACCCCGCCCCCTCTCCTATCCATACCGCAGGAAGCAGAGAAGTTTTCTCTGCCCACAGAGGGCGAGCGGGCACAAAACTTTTACTACCTGTCACAGAGCGACTGCTACGAGCTGCCCGGAAAGAACAACAATGCGATGGAGTATGAGCGGACACGCGCTGCCATGAATGTCATGGGGTTCGACCCAGAAGAACAGGTGAGGCAGGGTGGAAGACTTTTGAGTCGACTCAAAAGTCACCTGGGGTTTGAGCATGGGAAAGAGCAGGTGGGAGCTGGCGGCCATAGTGTACCTGGTACAGCATGGCCGCATGGCAGGAACAGGGTACTGCAGGCTTTGCTGTTTCTGATGCGTCTCGTCGTTGCTTGCTTGCTGCCCTGCTGCCCCATTCCCTGTGCTTATCCGTGGACTGGGCATGTTCACAGTGGTGGCGGCCATACTGCACCTGGGCAACTTGCGGTTCACTCAGCCTGAGAGCATTGACGGGGGAGGCAGGGGAGCAGCCACCCATGATGATACTTTTACCCAACTATCCCATGCCACATGCAGGTCTGATCGTATTAGGTGGGCATTTGTACAGTGGTGGCGGCCATAATGCATCTGGGCAACTTGGATTTCGCTCAGCCTCAGAGCACAGACGGGGGAGGTAGGGGGGGCAGCCACCCTTGGTCATACTTTTGCCCCACTGCCCCATTCTGCATGCATATCCCATCGCCCCATGCCACATGCGTGTCCGATCTTATCAGGTGGGCATATTCACAGTGGTGGCGGCCATAATGCATCTGGGCAACTTGGACTTCACTCAGCCTGAAGCCACTGAGGGGGGAGGGGAGCAGCCCCCGCTGGTTGCCAAGAACGACAAGGCAGAGGCTGCAGTCAAGACCGTGGCACGCCTACTTGAGTAGGAGTTACCTGCGTCCTTGGAAAATAGGTGTTGAGGTGCTACTTATGGGCAGGTGATACCAGCAGCGGTGCAGGTGCTACTTAGGGGTCAGTATACCTAGTAGGTAGGTGTCATTTGGGGCGCTCTGTTGTTTTACGAGGACAGGGGGAAGGAATGGAGCAGCCCCCGGTGGTTGCCACGAACTCGAGGCAGAAGCGGCAGTCAAGACCGTTCTTGACTGCCTATGCCTCAGCCACCACTAGTTATACGCAAGAATGTCGCGTGGCTTCTCTTTGCTCTTGCGTCCCCGCTATGCTTCCATCTGCGATATGTGTCTCTTTGGTCTCTGGTCTCTGGTCTCTCTGGTCTCTGGTCTTTGGTCTCTCTGGTCTCTCAACCTTGCAGCTTCGTCAGAAAAGGCATCAAGAGCCCTTTGAGCGCACCTAGTTATGATCGTTTTGAGTTGATTCATAAGCATCTGCTCTGCTCTATCTATCCCCTCCCCCCTCTCTTCCATCCCCTCAGGTGCGACGAGGCTGCGCTGTGGGAGTCTCTTGTGACGCAGACGCGCAAGTTCGGCCGCGAGGTCATCAAGAGCCCGCTGGACCCCAAGAAGGCCGTTGCCAAGCGAGACACTCTCGCCAAGTTCCTCTACTCACGCCTCTTCGACTGGTGGGTGCCCCTTCGACTGGTGAGTGAGAGAACATTGGCAAAGATTGTACCAGAAAAAGGCTACTAAATCTCTGTCCCCGCCCCGCTTCTCTGCACACCCCCCTTTTTTCCCTCTCGCTCCCATCACTAGGATTGTCTCAAAGGTGCATGAACGCATTGGGCATGGATATAACGATTCAAGGGTTCCCATTCTGTTGTCACCGCACTTCTCTGCCCCCCATCCGCCTCCTCCCTCCCCCAACCCCAGCATTGACTTGATTGAAGGTAGATGGTCGCATTGGGCACGGATCTAACGATTCAAGGGTTCTCTGACTTTCGCCTCCCCATTTCCCTGCCCCACGTCCTCCTCCTCCTCCTCCTCCTCCTCCTCCTCCTCCTCCTCCTCCTCCTCCTCCTCCTCCTCCCCACTTCACCACCAGGAGTGTGTGGAAGGTCGATGAAAGCAGTAGACAAGTTATAACCAAACTGAACATACCCTTCCCACTTCCCGGCCCCCCCCGTCCTCCTCCTCCCGCTCCCACCCCCAGGATTGTCTCGAAGGTCAATGAGAGCATTGGTCAAGACCCCAACCCCGCGTCTATCATCGGAGTCCTGGATATTTATGGGTTCGAGCACTTCGAAGTCAACAGGTGCGTATATCTGTGATTGCACGTTTGCGATTACAGTTGTGATTGATTGCAGGAGCATGCACTTGTTGCTTTTGGAATGCTTGGGTGCATGCACCCCCCCCTCTTTGACTCGCCCGTACTCCTACTTCTCCCCCCCACCCGCCCCACCCCCGCCCCCCTCCTCTCCTTCCCATCATCACCCATCCCACTCCGTGCCGTTCCAGCTTTAAGCAGGCACTCACACACACATGCGCTCACACGCGCATCAACCCTCTCTCATGAGGGAAATGCTCTTTGCTTGAGCAGCTTTCGTCTCTGCTTCTTGAGTCTACTCCACGAGTTCCTTCCCTCTTTCCAAGAATCTTTCCCTCAACCCAACCTTCTTCTTCCCTTCTCTCCCCCGCCCTCTTCCCCCCCCCTTCCTCCCCCTTTCCCCCCCTCCACCCCCTGTTCCCCCCCTCCCCCCCCCCTTAATCCCCCTTCCCCCACCTTCCCCCCCTCCCCCCCCCCCCGTCCTCCCCCTTTCCCCCCTCTTCCTCCTCCTTCCCCCACCTCCCCCCTGCAGCTTTGAGCAGCTGTGCATCAACCTCACGAATGAGAAGCTGCAGCAGCACTTCAACTCGGTACGACACTCCAAGGGGGTGGGTGGGAGGGTGGATAGGAGGGTGGGGTAGGAGACCTCACTGGCTTCTGCTTTCTGAAACGTTTGCCCCTCTGCTTTTGTCCCAGCTCTGAGCAGCTGCGCACCAACCTCACTAATGACCCCACTCAAAACCCAACCACCCCCCCACTCCCTCCCCCCACCCCCCTCCTCCCCCCCTGCGTCTGCTTTCCCACAGCACGTGTTGAAGCAGCAGCAGGAGGAGTATGAGTCCGAGGGCATAGACTGGTCTCGGATCGAGTTTGTGGACAACCAAGACGTGCTCGACCTGGTCGAAGGGGTGAGGGGTGCCAAGGGGTAGTCTGCTTGTAGTAGGCGAATAGTTGCTAGTAGGGCATCGATGACTCGTTCTAGATGCTCGACGGTTAGTAGACTAGACGAGGGTGGTTGTGACTGGTGGGAGTAAGAGGCTGAGGGTATAGACTGGTCTGGGAACAATTTTGTGGAACACCACCAGGACGTGCTCGACCTGATTGAAGGGGTGAGAGGATCCTGTTTCCTTATAGGGGGGTGTGGTTGTAATTACAGGATGGGTGAGTTTTCCGGCAAGGGTGGGTGGGTGTTTGTTGCTGACCAAGACAGTGCGTTGAATGTGTTTGTGTTCCGACAAGGGAGGGGTGATTGGTTCATCTTCTTCCCAATGTGTTCATTGTGGTGCAATGCAGTGGCGCAGCATGATGAGCCTATTTTTGACGCGCCTCAATGCAGTGGCGCAGCATGATGAGCATACGCATGCCCGTCTGCCTCTGATGCTTGGTGCTCTGCTCTACTGCTTGTCTCGTCGAATATTCTGTGTGCCTGCCCATGTGTGCATGTGTGCGTGTGCCCCTGTGTCCGCATGTGCATGTATGCGTATGCCCATGTGCCCATATGTGCAGAATCAAGGCATTCTGGCCCTGCTGGACTCCGCCTGGTAAGCATACTTGCCTCCCCACCTGCACCCTCTACCCTCCTAACCGCACCCTCTGCCCCCCTAACTGCACCCTCTACCCTCCTAACCGCACCCTCTGCCCCCCTAACTGCACCCTCTACCCTCCTAACCGCACCCTCTGCCCCCCTAACCGCACCCTCTACCCTCCTAACCGCACCCTCTACCCTCCTAACCGCACCCTCTACCCTCCTCACTGCACCCTCTGGCCCCCTAACCACACCCTCTGCCCCCCTAACCGCACAGCTGCTCTAGGGATGCAACTGATTCATCTTTCTCCTTCCTGTTTCCCATTTTCTCTCCTCTTAGACTGGCAACTAGCTCATCATTCCCCCCACCAACAAACCTGCCTCCCTATTGCCCTCTTCTCCTCTTCTCCAATCCCCCTTCCCCCCCCCCTCTCCCCCTCCCTTCCGCCATTGCAGCAAGCTAGACAGTTCGACTCCTGAGAGTTTCTGCCAGACGCTCTACAGCACGATGGGCAAGCACAAGCACACGCACACGCACACGCTCACGCTCACGCACACGCACACGCACACGCTCACGCACACGCACACGCACACGCTCACGCACACGCGCTGAAACCAGCCTGCCTGTTGCCTTCTTCTCCCCCCGGATCCTCTCCCAAAAACTCCCCCCCTCACAGCAAGCTGGACAGTTCCACTCCTGAGAGCTTCTGCCAGACGCTCTACAGCACGGAGGGCAAGCACAAGCAGTTCGCCCCTTGGCAACCCCCTCCCTTTCCCTATCCCTCTCTCCCATTTCCCTCCCTCACAGCAAGCTAGACAGCTCCACGCCTGAGTCCTTCTGCCAGACGCTCTACAGCACGGTGGGCAAGCACAAGCGCTTCTCCAAGTCCAAGATGTCACGGGATGACTTCAGCGTCAAGCACTACGCGGGCAAGGTGAGGGATGAGGGGTGGGAGGGGGGATCCTATATTGGGTTAGATGGGTGGTGCGAGGGTGTGGGTGGGGCGCCGGAAACCTCTCCCTTGGCACAAGCGGTTCTCCAACTCCAAGATGTCTTGGGAGGGTGTCAGCGTCAAGCACTATGCGGACAAGGTGGGGGGATGAAGCTGGGGGCTAAGTGGCGGGGAGAACGCAAGGAGCTGCTGTCAAGGTATACATGTGCGTCTGCTACCTCCCCACTTCCCTCCTCCTCATCCCGCACCCCTCCTCAACACCTCCCTGCCCCCACACCCCTCCCCCATTCAGGTGAAATATCAAGAAGAGGAGTTTCTGGTGGAGACCCTCGTCGATGCCAACCCTCTCACGTTGTGCGGAAGGTTTAGGAGCTGCTGTCAAGTTGTATGGTTGCCCGCTCCCTCTCCTCCAATCCAACCCCCCCTCCACCCAACCCCACACACACCACCACCTGCCCCCATGCAGGTCAAGTACCAGGCGGAGGAGTTTCTGGTGAAGAATCTGGACGCCATAGTGCCGGAGCACGAGGAGCTGCTGTTCAGATTCTTCGCCATAGGCTTACATGTGCTGTTCTGTTCTCGTTCTCGTTCTCCCGCTGTGCCCCCATTCCTCCTCAGGTCAAGTACCAGGCGGAGGAGTTCCTGGTGAAGAACCTGGACGCCATAGTCCCAGAGCACGAGGAGCTGCTGTCGCGCTCCCACTGCGCCTTCGTGCGCACTCTCTTCCCGCCGCCTGCCACCGGCAAGGCGGGGAAGGCTGTGTCCCTGGGGAAGCGATTCAAGGTTAGTGGGTATGGGCGAAGGGGCTAGGCCCAACGAGGGGAATCGGGGGTCTGCTGTCGCGCTCCCACTGTGCCCTTGTGGGCACGCTCTGCCCGCCCCCTGCCACTGGCAAGGCGCTCCCTTGGCAAGCGATTGAAGGTGAGAGAATATGGGGGATGGGCGGGGAGACCGAGGGGAAGAGGGGGGTGCTGCCTCGCTCCCGCTGTGCCTTTAGTCACGCGCTCTTCCCGCCCCCTGCCACTGGCAAGGTGCTCCCTTGGCAAGCGATTGAAGGTGAGAGAATATGGGGGATGGGCGGGGAGACCGAGGGGAAGAGGGGGGTGCTGCCTCGCTCCCGCTGTGCCTTTAGTCACGCGCTCTTCCCGCCCCCTGCCACTGGCAAAGTGGGAAAAGCTGTTTCGCTAAGGAAGAGATTCAAGGAGTGCTGAGGTTGCTGGGATCATCTCCTTTCCCTCGCCTCTCTCTTCCTTCCTCTCCTCCTGGCTCTCCTCCTCCTCCCCCCCCCAACCTTCCCCCCCCCATCCCCCAACCCACCCACTCCACCACCATTACCCCCCACCAGGACCAACTGGGCGAGTTGATGCGCACGTTGAACGAGACGGAGCCGCACTACGTGCGCTGTGTCAAGCCCAACAAGGACCTCAAGCCGCAGAAGTTCTCCAACACGCTTGTGGTGGAGCAGCTGCGATCAGGAGTGAGTCTTGGAATCCCAGTAGCGTATGGGCGTGCTAGAGGCAGTGCGCCTGTGCTCCACAGCGTACCCCTTAACCCCCACTCGCCTTCCTTGTTGCTCCCTGTCCCTCACCCCCCATCTATCTTCCCTTCTCGTCCCCCCTCTCTCTCCCTCTCTCTCCCCAGGACGTGTTGGAAGCAGTGCGCCTGTGCTCCACAGGGCACCCAGCCATGTTTATCTCCCTCCCTGCTCCCCTTCCCCCCTCCCCCCTCTCCACTCCCCCCCCTCCCACAGGGTGTGCTGGAGGCAGTGCGTCTCTGCTCCACAGGATACCCTGCCCGGCGAACCTTTGAGGACTTCGCGGCGCGATTTGCCCCCCTCCTGCCCAGTGACGAGAGGAAGAGGTGCGTGATAGTAGGGAGGGTTTCATCCGTGTGTGCTTGTTGCATTGTATTATAGTGGAGGCTTTGAGGCCCGATTCGCTCTGCTGCTGCCGAGTGAAGAGAGTGAGCGGTGGATGATGGAGAAAAGTAGCTAGGGGGTTGACAACAACTTGGGCAATAGAGATCAAATCGTGGGGGACAATAAGATGGAGTTAGGTAGTAGGAAAGAGATGGTTGATAGGGAGAAAGAGGTCGATAAGAAGGCGAGGAAAGGGGAGTGGCATAGGCCCCATCCACCACACCATTCCACCACCATTCCTTCCTGCTCACCATCCCAAATGCACCATGTAACAGGCTAGCAGGGCAGCTCAAGCACATCATCCGTGCCGTCATGACGCACGCAGACCTGCGTCTCATTGCTTCCCGAGGGCTCTCAAGGGCAAACCACATCCCTCCCTACCATCCCAGTACTGCCACCATCCCAGTACTGCCACCATCCCAGTACTGCCACCATCCCAGTACTGCCACCATCCCAGTACTGCCACCATCCCAGTACTGCTACCATCCCAGTACTGCCACCATCCCAGTACTGCCACCATCCCAGTACTGCCACCATCCCAGTACTGCCACCATCCCAGTACTGCCACCATCCCAGTACTGCTACCATCCCAGTACTGCTACCATCCCAGTACTGCTACCATCCCAGTACTGCTACCATCCCAGTACTGCCACCATCCCAGTACTGCCACCATCCCAGTACTGCTACCATCCCAGTACTGCTACCATCCCAGTACTGCTACCATCCCAGTACTGCTACCATCCCAGTACTGCCACCATCCCATCATCCCCACCATCTCCACCACCTCGCGGGCTAGCAGGGCAGCAGCACAGGGACATCATCCCTGCCGTCACGTGTCAGGGCTGTCCTGCTTCTCATTGTTTCCTTGAGAATGCTTAAGGGCAAATCACGCCCCTGCCATCTCACCTCTGCTGCCATCCCACCACCGACTACAGGCTAGCAGGGCAGCACAGGGACGTCACCCCTACCGCTGCCGGCCGTCACGGGTCAGGGCTGGCCTGCTTCTCATTCGTTCTCACCATCCCCATGCCCACCACCTAACAGGCTAGCAGGGCAGCACAAGGACACCATCCCTGCCGTCATGTCCCTGGCAGACCTGCAGGACTACCAGGTGAGCTGCCAGGTGGTGTCAGGTGAAATCAACAGTGCCAGGTATACCGTCAGGTCATGACAGGTGGATTCGAAGCATCTGATGTTTGAGTGTACCTGCCGTCCTAGCCAGGCTGCATTCCAAATCAAAGAACCCATTTTTCCCATATCTCATCCCCACCAGATCCGCAGGACCAAGGTGTTCATGAAGGAGGGTGCAGATGGTGACTTTGGAGTCTCTCTGGCTAGACCGAATCAACCAGGCAACCACCAATACTCGGAAGGCTGCCAGGCGCTTCCTCTGCAATGCAAACTTATTTTTCCTCCTCTTTCCCACCCTAAACCCCGAGCGAAACCCTGCCCCTGTCAGATGGGCAGGACCAAGGTGTTCATGAAGGGGGTGCAGCTGGTGACGCTGGAGTCGCTCCGGCTGGACCGCATGAACCAGGCGGCCATCAAGATCCAGCGGGCCGTCCGCCGCTTCCTCTGGAAGCAGGAGCGCAAGCGGGCGGCCATCGTCATCCAGAAGCACTGGCGAGGTACGCCTGTTTTTTATTTTTGAATTCATTGTACTTTTTAATGTTTGGTGTGTGCACACACTTTCTGCAAAGAGGCTACAGCGGGAAAGCATTCTGTAGCAGGAGCTATACTATAGTAGGAGCGCGTCCAGGTGCGCATTCGGGTGTGTCCGTACTTCTTAAAGAGAGGCTATGCTATAGCAGGAGCGCGTTTGGGTGGCCATCGTCATCCAGAAGCACTGGAGAGGTACGCTTGTTTTTTCGTCCTATATTGTCTGTCTGCCATCCTGTTTCGTTATCCAAAGGCGTTACAGAGGTACGTCTGGTTTGTGCCTTGATTGTACATGGATGATTGTACCTACCTGGAAAGTGTCATGCCCTTTGTCCCCTCCCCTCCCTGCACACCCCCCCCTGCGTCTCTCCTCCCACCCGGCCTACCGAGCCAGGAAGCAGCCATTATAACCCAGAAGCACGTGTGGCGCGGTGCTTCCTGCTGCGGCATTGGTGTCACCCACATGGCGCGCCGTTCAGATGGCATTGGTTTCACCCACATGGCGCGCCGTTCAGACGGCATTGGTGTCACCCACATGGCGCGCCGTTCAGACGGCATTGGTGTCACCCACATGGCGCGCCGTTCAGACGGCATTGGTGTCACCCACACACCCATCTGAATGCAACACGTCTGCATCTCCCTCTACCTTCGTTCTTTTCCAAACCCCCGTCCCCCCTCCCTCAAGCGGACCGTATGTTGACAGAAGCAGTAGGTACATGGAAAGGAATAAGCAAGCACGTGAAGGCATGCATTGGTGAGCCTACGGGAGCTCCACCAGGGGCTCCAAGATGGGCAAAGCAGTTCCCAGGGAGGGAGAGGCTTTTAGGGAGAGGCCATCGTCAGTCCCCCCTCCCTCCCTCTCTCTTATCTTCCCTGCCACCCCCCCCTCCCCCCGCTGTCTCCTCCCAGCGTACCGAGCCAGGAAGCTGCTGCGCGAGTTGAGGGAGGACGCGGCGGCCATGGTGATTCAGAAGCACGTGCGGCGCTTCCTGGTGCAGCGGCGGTTCTGGGAGCTCAAGTTCGCCGCGATCGTGATTCAGAAGAACGTGCGCATGCACCAGGCGAGGACGCAGTACATTCGGATGAGGAGGACTCTGGCTGCTGTCGTCATTCAGGTACGGGGAAAGGAAAACGAGCATGGGATGATGGAGGGTGTCAGGTACTGGTGGTGGCTCAGAAGGACGTGCGCATGCACCAGGCGCGCACACGCTACATCTCGATGAGGAGGACGCTGGCTGCTGTCGTCATCCAGGTGTGTAACAAACACTTGCCAAGCAGTTTGCATGAGGATTGGACGTATGTAGTGTGGCTGAAACGAACGTGCGCATGCACTGGGCTAGGCACTGGGCTTAGGCGCATGCGCCAGGCTAGGCCTAAGCTTGCGGTACACGATACGATCTACTCCACCTGAGCACGCAACCAAGAAGCAAGGATGTGTTTTGTTTTTTAGAATTCTCAAAAACGAACACCTGAGCACGCAACCAAGAAGCACCATGCAAGAAAACGATGCATCCTGCTGAGGAGATCGCTGCCTGCTGTCGTCAAATAGATGTGTACACTCGATTCAGGAGGATAATGTGAATGCTGATATACTCAACTCAACTGCACTTTGAAAGAGCGTGTGCATGTTCCAGGCGAGAAAGTGGCACATTCTGCTCAGGAGAATGCAGGCTACTGTCTTAAGTGGTCAAATGGGGATGGTCGGTCGGACGCGATACGAACAACTTGGGGCTGGTGTGAAATTCACACTGTGTAGTGAATTTACACTGAACGTGTTGATTGTGCTTACTCTTCTGTGTGCAACACACACACACACACACACACACACACACACACACACACACACACACACGTACACCACACCAAGCACAGAAGCAGTTACTGATTAACAGTATGTCTGTCCTGCTCAGGAGAACGCTGGCTACCATAGAGGTTTTTATAGAATTCCGGAAAAGCACCTGCTGGGTACCGTAGAGGTTTTCTTATAATTCCCGAAGAACACCCATTGGGTACCATAGAGGGCCCATGAAGCGGTGCCTGCAAGTGTGAACCTGTGAGCCAACCCTCTTCCCCCAACACCTCCATCCCTCCCATTTGGCGCTGGTGCTACTGGCGGGGCTACACGGTGCTCAAGCCGTGGGAAGCCTTGAGGTGGTGCCTGCAAGTGTGAACCCGTGAGCCAACGCAAATCCCCCTTTCCCTCCGTCCCCCCCATTTGGCAGCGCTACTGGCGGGGCTACATTGTGGGCAAGCCATGGGGGTCCATGAGGCGGTGCTTGCAAGTGAAGGTGGATCCTAAACCCATCCCTCCTCTTCCCCCTCTTCCCCCCTCCCCCCTCTTCCCCCCTCAACCTACTCCTCTTGCCCCAGCGCTACTGGCGGGGCTACATCGTGCGCAAGCCATGGGGGGCCATGAGGCGGTGCTTGCAAGTGAAGGTGGCTCGAATGAGGCTGAGGAAGATGAAGGAGGTGAGAGGAGGAAGGCTGTAGGATGGATCTACTGGTGATAGAGTCTACGTGAGAACAGGAGAAGGGTGAGGGGGTTTGGGGCCTGCTTTTGAGTCGACTCGAAACGAAGGTGGTAAGATGGATGGTTCTACTGGTGATAGAGTCTACGTGAGGGGGTTTGGGGCCGTGATACGGTGCCTTTTTTCTCAAAAGCAGGCTTTTCTTGCACTTCCCTGCACCACCATGCCCTCGTAACATGCCTAATGCATTATTTTCCCTCGTATTATCGTAACGTGCCTCATGCCCTTTCCTCGTACTTCCTCTCGCCTGGCCACCAGGCCGCGGGTGGAACTGCTGTCCTAGCTCTTCTGGTCAAGACACTGCCTCATTTCCGAAGCATGCTCTTTTCAAAGCTTGCTCTCTCCATATGTATGCGCTGTCTCCTCTGCTTTCCACCACCTCCCCTCCTCTGTTCCCCCCCTCCCCTCCTTCCCACCACCTCTGCTTCCCCCCTCCTCTGCTTCCCACCACCTCTGCTTCCCACCTCCTCTGTTTCCCCTCTCCTCTGCCCTCTCACAGGCCGCACAGTGGGCAGCTCTACTTGCGCCTCCACACACCAACGTGGAAGTTTCCATGGAAGAGCTCACAGCATCTTTCCCTCCCCACCTTCCCCCTCTTCCCACCCTTATCCCCGTTGCCCCCGTTACCCGCCTTGCCCCCGTTCTCCCCATCCCTTCTTCCCTGTGGTTCCCCACGATGCAGGCTGCACAGCGGGCGGCTCTCCTTGCCCCTCCGTGCACCAAGGTGGGAGCTTCCATGGATGAGCTGCGATTCACTGCGGTGCTCTGCTCCCTCCCCTTTATTCCCATTTCCCTCTTGGCTTCCCCTTGGCTCCCTTCCCCGCATCACAGGCCGCTGCCCGGGCGGCTCTGCTTGCTCCTGCGCGCACCAAGGTGGAAGCTTCCATGGATGAGCTGCGATTCACCGTGCTGCGCCGATTGAAGGTGCGGTTGATAGTTTTGTTGTGATCATTCAAGGTGCGGTCGATAGTTTTGTTGTGATGATTCAAGGTGCGGTTGATAGTTTTGTTGTGATGATTCAAGGTGTGGTTGATAGTTTTGTTGTGATGATTCAAGGTGCGGTTGATATTTTTGTTGTGATGATTGAAGGTGCTGCTGGTAGTTTTGTTGTGATGATTCAAGGTGCGGTTGATAGTTTGTTGTGATTAGAGGCGGAGGAGTCAGTCGGAAACGGAGAAGCACGAGGTGACCTTCCTCAACCAGGACCCTTCTCTCACACCTACTTCACTCACCTGTCAGACTTCTCTCTCTCCCTCACCCTTCACCCTCACTCGCTCTCCCTTCCCTCTCCCCCCCACCTGCAGCAACGTGAGGAGGACAAGCGGAAAGAGGCGGAGGAGTCAGTCAGAAAAGGAGAAGCTTGAGATGACCTCCCTCAACCCGGACGCTTCTCTCGCACCTACTTCACACACAACGCTGCCTGTCAGACTTCTCTCTCTCCCTCACCCTTCACCCTCACTCGCTTTCCCTTCCCTCTCTCCCCCGCCCACAGAAACGGGAGGAGGACAAGCGGAAAGAGACGGAGGAGTCGATCAAGAAGCTGAAGCAGGAGATGAGCGCCCTCAACCAGGAGATCGCTCAGCTAAAAGCCACTCTTAGCAAGGAGAAGCACCGGGCGGAGCGGGCCGAGGAGCTGCTGCGGCTCGTTCCCCGAAGTGTTCTCCACCAGACAGTGGCAGCCCAGGGGCACCCCGCCCCCCTTTCCCGAACGGGAAGCGTTTCCTCTTATAGCCACTACATGCGGTCCAGGGGGCCCACGGCGCCCTCAAGCCCGAAGGGGGCGGGGCGAGGAGGAGCGGGGGAGGGAGGCGAGGGCACGGGTGGTGTGCTGAGTGCGGCAGCGGCGGCTCTTGGGGGGGTGCACAGCGTCGGCAGCTTAGGGGCTCCTTCTGATCCGCCTGAGGTGAAAATCCCGTCCGGTCGAAGCAAGGGATGGGGAGCTATAGCCGCAGCTCGCTCCCTCAAGCCCAGCCCTAGTTCCAAAGGCCCCTCTTCCCTCTCTTCTGGCCTGTCGTCTGCCCATGCGGTGAACCGCAGTCCATCGTTTAAGCCACTTTCTCGTGGCTTTGGCTCAGGCAGTGGTGGTAGTGGCAGGCTGCACAGCCCGCTACAGCCGTCGCCGCCACAGCGTCTCGCCGCTACTGACGGTGCTACAGCTGCTGCCGCTGCTGTGATTGGGGCTAGTGCCGCCGCTACTGGTGCTGACGTGGCTGGTACTGACGTGTCTGCTGCTGATGTGGCTGGTGCTAACGTGGCTGGTACTGACTTGGCTGCTGCTGATGTGGTTGGTGCTGACGTGGCTGGTACTGACGTGGCTGCTGCTGACGTGGCTGGTAGTGACGTGGCTGGTGCTGATGTGGCTGATGCTGGTGGAAGTGGGCTCGGAGCTGACCTGGACGGAGTGAGGCGCTCCTGGAAGGCGCTTGCAACCTTGTCTGATGATGAATCAACCTCTGCTTCTGCTGGTGGGAGTAGCGCTATTCCTTCTAATGGTGCTGCTGCCACTGCTGCCACTGCTGCTGCTGCTGCAGAAGAGGGTAGTAGTGGCCCTGCTGTTCCTGGTGCCGCAACCACAAGCATCACCCCTCCGTCCGCGGTTCCCAGTGACTCCTGGCAAGCGCCCAGCCGAGGCAGCCGCAGCTCCTCTGCGCTGATCGGCCCCACCAGCAGCGGCAGCAGCAGCTTCGAGGGAGCAGCAGGGGCGGCACGGAGCACGAGTCTGAAGGACGACCGGTGGGGTGCCACTGGGACCCAATCAGCCCGCTGGGGCGCGCATAGCTCTCGCCTGAGCCATGTATCCACTGCAGGCGCAGTTGCTGCTGTGGGGGTTTTCATGGTCGCAACCACGGAGGGGGGGTCGGGAGGTGTGGCGGGAGAAGGAGCAGAAGGAAGAGGAGGAGGAGCAGAAGTGGCAGGGGCAGTCAGAAGTAGCCCGTGGTCGAAGGTGCGTGCGCTGGCGCCCAAGATTCTCCAACTTGCGCATAGGGACAAGCGGGAGCAGGAGAGGGAGCGCGAGGAAACGGTGAAGGAGCGGTGGGCTTTAAGGCAGCAGCAGAGGTCGGACTCCATCGACATAGGAGGAGCAGGAGGGCATGGCATGGGGGGGGGGGTGTCGTGGAGCGGCATGTTTGCGGCGATGGCACGGAGTGTGGTGCAGGTGGAGGAGCTGAGGGAGGAGGTGGCGGTGGTGAGGGTGGCGCTGCAGGACACGGAGAGGCGGCTGGGAGAGGCGGAGGAGAGGGCGGAGAGGGCGGAGGGCGAGGTGAGGGAGAAGAGCGAGGAGGTGGAGGAGCTGAGCGGGCAGATGGGGGTGCTCATGGAGCGACTCAGGAGGTAAGGGAGCGCAAGGAGAGAGGGAGCTTCGGGTTTATGATCTTGAGAGCTGTGGTTGTGGTGATTTCCTGGAGGGGCTGAGGGGGCAGATGGGAGTGCTGATGGAGCGACTCAGGAGGTAAGCATGTGGGAGGGTCGGGTTGAGGGAGGGGGTCCAGGGTTTATGGTCCGGGGTTTTAGAGGTCAAGGGGGTGAGGGAGTGGAGCAGGGTGGAGGTTGAGGGAGCAGGTGGGGGTGCTGATTGAGTGACTCAGGAGGTGAGCACGTGGGGGGGGTGGGGGGAGGTTGGGGGGGATGTGGCGTGGTGGGGGGCGTTTCTTGGTTTGGGGGTGACGAGTGCGGTGATGGCTGGTGGCTACCTGGGGGGCTGAGGGGGGCAGGTGGGGGTGCAGATGGAGAGACTCAGGAGGTAAGCACCACAAGTGGGGGACGTGCTCGGTACTTCTTGGTTTTAGAATTCGGGGTTATGGGTTTTGGGGGACGAGGGCCGTGGGGCGGGGATTCTTCGGAGGGCCTGAAGGGGAGGCGATGAAGAGGAGCGAGGAGGTGGAGGGGTTGAAGGGGCAGGTGGGGGTGCTCTTGGAAAGACTCAGGAGGTAAGTGTGTGGAGAGGAGGAGAGAGGAGGTGGAGTAAGAGAGCAGAGTCGGAGGAGGTGGAGGAGTTGAGAGGGGTTGAAAGGGGTGAGGGAGGGGCGAGCACAGAGGTTTAGCGTTATGAGTGCTGGATGGCTGACCGCCTGGTGGCTGCTGGGAGGAGTTGAAGGGGCAGAGGGGGGGAGGTGCTTGTGGAGAGACTCGGGAGGTTAACAGCTTGAGGTAAATTGGTTTTTGAGAATTCTCAAGAACCAACCTGCCTGGTGGTTGGCTGCAGGGTGGGAGGAGGTGCAGAGGAAGATGGGGGGCTCTTGTGGAGAGTCCATTTTTGAGGCGCCTCAAAGATGGGGGGCTCTTGTGGAGAGTCTATTTTTGAGGCGCCTCAAAAATAGACGCCTCAAAATTTTGAGGTGCCTCAAAAAGAGGTGCCTCAAAGATGGGGGGCTCTTGTGAAGAGACTCAGGAGGTACACACCTTGAGGGGAGCGGGTGTGTGTGCTGGAATAGATGACGGTTGTGTCAGGGTCTTGGGTTGGGGACTTGCACTGGGATTCGGGGTTGGGGTTTCGGGTTTGGGTTTGGGGTCGAGGAGCCTTGGGTTGGTTGGGGTTTTGGGTTTGGAAGGTAGCAATGGCAAGGAGTATGGTGCAGCTCAAGAAGATGATGCGCCTCATAGGCTGACCTTTCCACCCCCCCCGCCTTGCATGACCCTCCCCTAATTCCCCGTCCTGATTCACCCCCCCCCAGCAAGGACGCCGATATCCGCCACCTGTCAAGGACCCTCTCCCAGCATCGCTCGCATTTGAGGAACCTCATCAGCTGCCCTCTCACCAACTCCCCCTTCCTCCCGGTCTCCCCTCCCCCCCATCCCCCGCCCCCCCTCCCCTCCCCCCTCAATTCCCACCCCAATTCACCCCCCTGGCAAGGGCGACCATATCCGCCAGCTGGCAGAGACCCTTTCACAGCACTTGCTCGCCTTTGAGTGAGGCACGTCATCAGGTGCCCTCTCTGCTCTCCCCACTCCCCCTCCCGCCCCCCCCCTCCCCCCCCCCCGTTCTTCTTAATGCAATCTTCCAGCAAGGACAACGATATTCGCCAGCTGTCAGAAACCCTCTCCCAACACCGCTCGCAAGCAGCCACTGTTGCAGCTGCTGGCATAGCCGCAGGAGCAGCAGCAGCAGTGGGGACAGCGGCATCAGGAGCACCAGCAGCTGCGTCGTATTCTGCAGCGCCACACGCAGCAGCAGCATATGGTGCAGCGCCACATGCTGCCGCATCAGGCGGAGCAGCGTACAACCCGGCGCTTGCTCGTTTTGCAGCGGCGAATCTGGGTCCCCTGCACCCCCCTCCCGGCGCCAAGCCAGGCCCTACTGGCAGCTCCGTCCGCGCCATCCCCCCCATCTCCGTTCGCACCCAGCCCCAGCCGCCCACCTCGCCGTCACACCCCCAGCTACCAGCAGCAGCAGCAGGAACTGCAGCAGCAGAAGCAGAGGCAGCAGCAGCACATGAAACGGCTGTCCGAAGCAATGGAGCAGTGGTACAGGCAGCGGGCGTGCAGGGTTCCGGACCAGCGGAGTCAGGTTCGGCACTGGCGGTTTGGCGCGTGGCTCGGGAAGCAAGTGTTGCGAGCATGAGCATGGGGAGCGCATCCCAGTCCCTAGCTGCTGTTGAGTACGACGACGCTGCTATCGCTCGCATCGAGGAAAGCCCACAGGTGTGTGCTCGTGCTGTCTGCCAGTATGTCAGTGCGTCGCAGTCCCTGGTATCTGCTCGTTTGGCCCGCCCTTGTCCCAGGGATACATGAGCTTGTCTCAAATCCAAAAGCGCCTTCGGCTGCTATGGATTCTGCGCCCTTGCGTGGGCTGCTATGGAGCCTAAGCCCTTGCGTGGGCTGCGTTTGTAATGAAACGACTTCTGGCGCGCCTCAAGAGCCAAAAGAGCCCTTGGCTGCTATGGAGTCTAAGCCCTTGCGTGGGCTGCGTTTATGTTGACTCAGGAGTAGAGTACCTTCTCGGGGGCCCTCCCCGCCCCCTTTCAGCTGTTGCTGCATTTTACCCACTGCTTCCCCCCGACCCCCCCCTCCCCCAGGAGCCCCTACTTGTCTCCCTCACCACGCACATCCTCAGCCTTTCGCCCCAAGGCCCTCCCAGGTGTTGCTCCTTTCTAATTGAGCACTATCCATCCCTCCCCCCCACCCCCTTCCTTCCTCCCCATCCCATTCCCAGGAGTCTCTCCTCGTCTTCCTCACCACGCACGTCGTCGGTCTTTCTCCACAAGGCGTCCCTCCCTGCTTTGTTTCGGCTGTGCATTCATTGTCTTGCCTTCCCCCACCCTCCCTCCCCTTCCCCAGGAGTCTCTCCTCGTTTTCCTCACCACCCACATCATCGGCCTTTCCCCCCAGGGCGTCCCCCTGGCCGCCCCCACCATCTACCGCTCCCTCCTGCACTGGGGCGCGCTCCCCCCCGCCTCCTCCCCCTCCGCCCCCGCGCTCCTCTCCCTGACCGTCCGCCACCTGCAAGAGGTCATCCTTCCCGAAGAGGAAAGCTTTATGGATATAGAATCGCAGGTGGAGCTGCTGCTGGCAGCTGGAAGAGGGGAGGGAGGAGGAGGAGGTGGAGAGGGGTTGAGTGGGGCGGAGCTGCCGGCTACTAGGGTGAATGCGCAGTGCTACTGGCTGGCGAATGTGGCGTGCCTGATGGTGCTGGTCGAAGTGGTGTACAAACCCGCTGAGAAACCCAAGGCTGCTGCTGCGGCTGCTGCTTCTTCCAACTGGTTCACTAGCATGTTCCAGGTAAGCATGTTCCAGGTGGGTGGTGTGGGGAATGCGAATATGTGTGGGTGGTGTCGCTCCTAGTCACAGTGCTACTGGTTGTCGAATGTGGCGTGCGTGACGGTGTTGGTCGAAGTGGTGTATAAACCCACAGACGAGCCCAAGGCGGCGTCGGCTGCTGCTGCTGCTGCTGCTGCTGCTGCTGCGTCCAACTGGTTCACCAGCATGTTCCAGGTATGTGGTGTGTGCTCCAACATGACAGGTACGGTAGGGAATACCTGTGTGCGTGTCTGTCTTGTCCCAGTGCTCTTGATAATGCTCATGCAAGTGGTGCTCAAGTCTGCTACTGCTGCGGAGAACCAAAGGTTGGTGCTGCTGCTGCTTCTTCTGCGTCCAACGGGTTCACTAGCTAGCATGTTTCAGGAATGTTTGGTGTGGGGAATGCGTGTACGTGCCTAAATATTCCGGTGTATGGCGGGGAATGCTCCCTGGAATTCCCCACATTCAAGCAAGACCTAGCACTACTGCTAGAACCCTCTTACTCATTTCACCAAGACACATTCCCACACTCCCCCTTCCCCTCTCCCTTCCCCTTCCCCCAGGCCCCTTCACAGTGCTGCTGGAACCTTCTTTGTTTTTCACCCAACCAAGTATCACGCCTGTTCCCCACCCCCCCCCCAAAACTTTCTTCCCCTTCCCAGGCCCCTTCTTTCAACGAAGCCTCCCACCAGCAGCACCAGCACCAGCAGCATCACCAGCAGCAGCAGCCTGCACTAGGTTCAGTGGAGTTCCTCATGTTCAAGCAGGAGCTGGCAGTGCTGCTGGATGACGCCTTCCTGGAGCTCAGAGCAGCCGTAAATCTGGAACTGCAGACTCTGGTGTCTCTCCTAGCACAGGTACTATCTGGTGCAGGTGGCATATGTTCCTCATGTTAAAGCAAGAGCTGGCAGTGCTGCTGGATGACGCCTTCTTGGACCTCAGAGCCACTGTCAACCTGGAGCTGCAGACGCTGGTGTCCCGGCTAGTGCAGGTAGAGTTCGTGCAGGTGACATCTGGTCTGGTGCAGGTGACATCTGGTCTGGTGCAGGTAGCAACTCCACCTCATGCCCAAGCTGGAGCTGGCAGTGCTGCTGGATGACGCCTTTCTGGAGCTCAGAGCGGCCGTCAACTGGTAGTGTTTCCTGCATGCATTACTTGGTGCAGGTGATATCTGTTCCTCATGTTCACGCAGGGGTTAAAGCATGTGGCACTTTGGTGCAGGTGACACCTGATGCAGGTGGCATTTGGTGGCATTTCTTGTATCTCTCCTACCTCTTCTGCTTTCCCTTCCTACTCCCATCTTTCCTCTCTCTCCCTGCCCCCCATCTGCCACACTGCCAGTGTGCAGCACATGGTTCTTGAACCGTTCAACACCCATCCGGATCCCCATTGCCTGCTTCCCTGCTTCCCTACTCCCCTACTCCCTTCCATCCCCATTCTCTCTCTCCCTGCTTCCCCTTGCCTCCCCAACCTCTTTCCCTCACTGCTTCCCCTTCCCTCCCCTTCTTCCTCCTCCCTTCGGCCCCACTCCAGAGCCCCACTGCCAGCGCGCAGCACATGCGCGAGTTCTGGGCGGCGGCGCTTGTCTCATTGAAGAGCGCAGTGGCGTGCATGCAAGCCAACCGCGTGCCGGCCGTGCTGGCGCGCCACCTGCTGTGGCAGGTGCTGCACTTCCTCGACGTGCGGCTCTTCAACGGGTGAGTGCCCTAAACCCTAGACCTTAAACCCTGCATCCGCCCAACAGTGCTGGCGCGCCACCTGCTGTGGCTGGCAGGTGCTGCACTTCCTCGACGTGCGCCTGTTTAATGGGTGAGTGCCACTGCCCGTCGCTTAACCCTGCATCCGCCCGTCACTGTTGGCGCGCCACCTGCTGTGGCAGGTGCTGCACTTCCTGGATGTGCGCCTGTTCAACGGGTGAGTGCTTCCTCAGTGCCATCAGTGCACCAGGTGGGTGCGTGCCCTCCGCCCAATGCCCATTGTCTCACAGAAGCGTGTAGTAGCGTGCATGCAGGCCAACTGTGTGCCGGCCGTGTGCTGACGCGCCACCTGCTGTGGCAGGTGCTGCCTTTCGTGGTCGTTCGCCTGTTCAAGGGGTGAGTGTGTTCAAAAGATGAATTTCGCAGCATGACTGTTCCATCACTGTTGGCGCGTCACCTGCTGTGGCAGTTGCTGTTCTCGGACGTGCGCCTGTTCAACGGGTGAGTGGGTGTCCTTCTAACCAAGTGAGTGATTCGTAGTGCACATCCTTGCACAGGGTGGGTGGGTACCACTGCTGTGGTTGGCAGGTGCTGGACTTGCATAATGTCCGTCCTTCTAACGAGGTGAGTGACTCCCTAGCGTCCATCTGTGCAACAGGTGGGAGGGTGGTACAGGTGATGGTTGAGTCGACTCAAAGATCTGGAACAGGTGGGTGGGAGGGTAGTACAGCAGTCCGGCTGTTGCACCCAACTGTGGGAGGAGCCACAGACGGACTGCTGCGGCAAGTCCATGAGGGTCAATGAGGGTCAATGAGGGTCAGTACCTCATCCAAGCCAACCGCGAGGTGACTTCTGAGTCGACTCTAAATGAGCCGGCAGCGCTAGCCCTCCACTCCTCTCCAACTGCCCTGCGGCAAGTCCTGTTTTGAGTCGTCTCAAAACAAATCGTGTGTCACGTGGCAAGTCCATGAGGGTGAGTAGCTCATGCAAGCGAACCGCGTGCCGGCAGCGCTGGCCCTCCACTCCTCTCCAACTGCCCTGCGGCAAGTCCTTCATTTGCTCGACGTCCAGTCCGGCTGTTCAACGGGTGGGTGAGTGCGTCCTTAGTGCCGGCCATGATGGCGTCCCTAGTGCCGGGCATGGTGGCGCGCCACCAGCTGTGACTCTTTCTCCCCATTCCACCGTCCCTCTCGACGGGTGAGAGTACCGCCTTAGCTGCCGCTCATGTGTCCTCCCCTCCCTCCAGGCTGATGCTGCGCAGCCACTGGTGCCCCATCACTCTCGCCAACGGAGAGGCGATGGAGCAAGGCCTGCTGGCGCTGGAGGCGTGGCTGGAGGAGCACGTGGACCCATGGCTGCATGCGGGCATGGGGATGGGGAGGGGGGTGGGGAGCATCGGAGCCGGGACAGCTGCTGCTGCGGGGCTGGGCGGGCAGGGAGGGCAGCATGGGCGGCTGATCGACGCCCTTCAGCACACGTACCAGGCGGCTCTGCTGCTGGTGAGCCGGTCTCGTTTGCTTGTGAACGTATTACTAGCAACTGGCTGGTGAGTTATGCCTCCCAGGGGTCGGCGTCGGAGGGGTGGGAGGGGTGGGAGGGGTGGTCTCCATGAGCCGGTCGCTGAACTTCACTCAGCTCGCCATCCTCTGCTCCTAATGCCCCCCTCCCTGTGCCTCTCCCTTACTCCCCTCTTGCAGACGGCCAAGCAGAAGGCACGGAAGAGCATGGAGGAAGTGGTATCCATGTGCCCGTCGCTCAACTTCACGCAGCTCACCATCCTCTGCTCCTGGTTTGAGGACGAGGTCTACGGCTCGCGGGGCTTCGACCGAGCGGTGCTGCAGCAGCTGAGGGGCGCGGGGGAGGACTACGAGTCGGAGCTTCTCGAGGCGTTTGAAGGGTCAGTGTGAGCCTTATAACGAGTATGGGACTTGTGGGGAGCCCTCGATAGGGCAGTGCTGCAGCAGCTGAGGGGTGCGGGGGAGGACTATGACTCGGTGTGAGGCTTATTACGGGAGTGGAGCAATTTCTTAGGGGGTATCATGGACAGCTTACAAGGAAGATGTTGGGCTGTCTTTTTTTTTTTTTTAGAATTCTTCCTTGCTGTCCTCGCCATCCTGTGCTCCTGGTTCGTGGATGAGGTGTACGGCTCCCGGGGGGCAATAGTGAGGTGATGCAGCAGAGGGACTCGGGGGCACGGTGGCACCTGTACCTCTCGGTCAAAACCCTTGATGGTGGCGCCTCTAACAGCTCCTCCCCCAGTATCTTCCCCATCACCCGCCCTCCCTTCCCTCCCTTCCCTCCCCTGCAATCTGCTTTTGAGTCGACTCAAAAGCAAACCCCTTCCTCATGCCGCCACCTCCACAGTTTCTCCCCCACTAACTCCCCCATGACACCCCCACCCTTCCCTTCCCGTCCCTGCAATCCCCCCTGTTCCCCCCCAGATGCTGCAATCCCCCCTGTTCCCCCCCAGATGCTGCAATCCCCCCTGTTCCCCCCCAGATGCTGCAATCCCCCCTGTTCCCCCCCAGATGCTGCAATCCCCCCTGTTCCCCCACAGTCTGCCATTCACCCACAGCAGTGGTGGCAGCCATACTGCCCATTAATTTCTTTGCCCAGTATCTCTTCCCTTTCTCCTCTTCCCCTCTCTCTCTTCAACCCCCACTCCCCCCCCTCCTGTGCTTCCCCCTTTCCCCCCCTGCAGGGGTGGCTGCTGTACTGCCTATCACCCCCCTTCCTTGTGCCGCCTCCACAATTCCTCCCAATATTTCCCCTCCTTCCCCCTCCTCCCCTTCCCCCTTCCCCCTTCCCCCTTGCCCCTTTCCCCTTCCCCCTTCCCCTTCCCCCCTCTCCCTCCCCCCTACAGTCTGCCATTCACTCCCGCAGCAGTGGTGGCAGCCGTGCCGCAAATCAACCCCTTCCCCATGCCGCCAGCTCCTCCCAATATATCCCCCCCTCCACCCCCTTCTTTGTGCAAACCCCTCTATAGTGTCTGCCATTCACCCCTACAGCAGAGGTGGCGTGGCAGCCGTACCGCCAATCAACCAGTTTGTCGTGCAACGCCTCCACAGTTCCTCCCCATATATCCCCCTTCCACCCCCTCTCTTGTGCAAAACCATATCCCCCCAAACCCCCCAACGCAGTCTGCCATTCACACCCACAGCAGTGGTGGCAGCAGTACCGCCAATCAACCCCTTCCTCGTGCCGCCTCCACAGTTCCTGCCACCTGCCCCTGCCTTTGACTTCTTGCGCCAGCAACAACTGCAGCAGCCATAGCAGCTGTAGCAGCTGTAGCAGCAACAGCAGCAGCCGTAGCAGCAATAGCTGCAGAAGCAACAGCAGCACAATGTAAGAGCTGTGAAATGCAGTGGGTCTACAACTTCGGCTGTGCTGCCTGTTGAAATACATGGATTGGCTTACAGACACCAGTTTCAACAGAATAATACAATATTAGGAAATTGCGATACATAACGAAGCCCGGTGTAAACAATATGCACTGCTTGTTAAATTATATCTTATATATAATTGTAGGCTTGGTAGATGTTATTGGAACCTACTGTAGAGGGTACAACTCCCTCCTTGTATCCCTCTCTCTTCTAATCTCATTCTCTTCTCTCGATATTTCTACTAGCCTAAAACCTCGCGCCATTCCATGGCTTCCCTAGCTACCTAGCTATTATAACATGGTATCAGAGTAGGTTGTCCCTCCCGAGCCTGCTCCCCACGCTTCCGCTGCGTACATCCCTTTCTCTCTCGCCCTGCCATGGCGGCTGCGTCGTGCTGCTGTGGCGGCACCGTCGTGCCGCCGGCCGCGTCGTATTGCCGCGGCCGTCTCGACATGCTGCCGTGGCGTCGCGCCGTCGTGGCGTCGACGTCGAGCCGTGGCGGCGTGACGGCGCCGTCGTGATGCCGTGGCGACGTGCTGCCAGCGCGCGTACGACACGGTCGGCAGCGGCCAGCGCCCCGTCTTAGCGCTGGCCAGCACGCCCGCATGCAGCCAGCGAGCCACACGGGGCGGCACGCTCCCGGGCTCCGCTGCTGAAGCCCCGCCCCCCCCCCCCCACCTTCCCCTGCGTCCCCTCTTCCTCGCCGCAGCCGACGGCTGACTCGCGCTGGCCGTCCCACCGTCGCGGAGCCCGGCCACGCCGCCGAGTTCTGCGAGCTCCGCCACCGCCGGCAGCTGTCGTCGAAGCCGCCGCCGCCACAGCTAGTGCCGCTGGCCACGCCGCCACACGCCGTCGCCGCCGCCGCTGTCGACGCTGCCGCTGTCGCCGTCGCCCCTGCTCACGCACCGTGGGGTTGACCATGCGGGAGTAGCCGTCGCTGCTGCTGAGTATGGGGGTGCTAGGGGGTGTGTGGCTTAGTGTGCTGTGTGTGGTGTGCTTTCGGCTACCAAGCCTAGGGGGTGTGTTAAATTATATCTTATGTATATAATTGTAGGCTTGGTATGTGTTACTGGAACCTACTGTAGAGGGTCCAACTCCCTCCTTGTATCCCTCTCTCTTCTAATCTCATTCTCTTCTCTCTCGATATTTCTCCTAGCCTAAAACCTCACGCCATTCCATGGCTTCCCTAGCTACCTAGCTCTTCTGACACTGCTTGTATGCTGTTACCATTGAGTTACTACCACAAGGACCATTGCATAAACAGTCAAAACAAGAAAAGAGCCCCATAGTGCTGCGAATGTGCGATGGACAGCAACAGATTAGCAATACACCATCAGTCCCCTTCCAGTTACCACATAAAACCGTCGCCATCCTTTGTGCCATGCCCTTCCCCACTTGAACGGGCGAAACAAAAAATAGCTCCAGAGTCCCAGAATCTACAGCAACGAAGGCTATGAGATTCGCATAATGAGAGCCAGAGTGCACGCTACACATTTTTCCAAACGGTTTTGGGGCAGCAGCAGCAGCATGAAAGGTGGCATGAAGTAACGAAACTCGAGGAGTGGAAAGGGAGCGAGATCTGCTGTTACGGGTACTATTGGTTACCACAAGAACCTTTGCCAGCCTTCCTCCCCTTCCCACTTGAATGGTCGAAACAGAAAAAGCGCCATGGTAACAGTATCTACAGCAACGAAGGCTATGAGGACCAGAGTGCACGCTATCCTTTTCTCCAATAGCTTTTGAGGAAGGGGGAAGTGCAGCAGCAGCAACATGAAGGGCGGGATGAAGTAACGGAATTCCAGGAGCGGGGAGGGAACGAGAACTGCTGCTGTCGCTGCTGCGAAAAAGAAGAGGCCGAGAGGGGTCATTGTGCGGCCTGGAGGGGAGAGTAGAATGGAATGTAGGGGTGGAAGAGGGGGGGGGCAGTGGAATGATGTAACCCAACTCAAGGAGTGGAGAGGGAACATTTTTTAGGCGCCTAAAAAATCTGGATTGGAGAGTAGTGGGGTGGAAGGGGGGGGACAATGGAATGAAGTAACCATGGAGTGGAGTGGGGCAGTGGAGTTCGCTTTCCATTGTCTCAAGGCGTGGAGAGCGAACACGGCAAGAGGCAGCTGTGAACACGGCAAGAGGCAGCTGTGAACACGGCAAGAGGCAGCTGTGAACACGGCAAGAGGCAGCTGTGAACACGGCAAGAGGCAGCTGTGAACACGGCAAGAGGCAGCTGTGAACACGGCAAGAGGCAGCTGTGAACACGGCAAGAGGCAGCTGTGAACACGGCAAGAGGCAGCTGTGAACACGGCAAGAGGCAGCTGTGAACACGGCAAGAGGCAGCTGTGAACACGGCAAGAGGCAGCTGTGAACACGGCAAGAGGCAGCTGTGAACACGGCAAGAGGCAGCTGTGAACACGGCAAGAGGCAGCTGTGAACACGGCAAGAGGCAGCTGTGAACACGAAGAGGCCAAGACGGGGGCAGTGGAACTGCGGAACGGAACTTGAGGAGCGGCGGAACGAGAACTGCTGCTGTGGCAGACGAGAAAAAAGAAGACGCCAAGAGGGGTGATTGAACGGCCTGGAGGGGAGGCAGTCGGGCGGAAGGGGGGGGCGATGGAAAAGGGGGGGCGATGGAAAGGGGGGGAAAAAGAATGGAGGGCGGTGGAAGGGTTAGGGCAGGGAGGGTTAGGGCAGGGAGGGTTAGGGCAGGGAGGGTTAGGGCAGGGAGGGTTAGGGAAGGGAGGGTTAGAACAGGGAGGGTTAGGGCAGGGAGGGTTAGGGCAGGGAGGGTTAGGGCAGGGAGGGTTAGGGCAGGGAGGGTTAGGGCAGGGAGGATTAGGGCAGAGAGGGTTAGGGAAGGGAGGGTTAGGGCATGGAGGGTTAGGGCAGGGAGGGTTAGGGCAGGGAGGGTTAGGGCAGGGAGGGTTAGGGCAGGGAGGGTTAGGGCAGGGAGGGTTAGGGCAGGGAGGGTTAGGGCAGGGAGGGTTAGGGTAAAGTCGTGCTGTGACAGAAGCTTGAAGGGAGTGGCAAAGGATGTAGTTTGAGTCGAATCAAAATACACCTAGCTTGAAGGGAGTGGCCAAAGGGGAGTCTGGAGGAGGTGGGCGGAGCAAAGGGAAGCGCGTGTCTTCGTGAGTTGAATGACAGGCATAGTGCGAGTGTGGATGGGACATACGCAAAGAGTGCAAGACAGCGAGCAGGGAGAGGCCGTAAGGTGGGAGCGGTAGTCACTGAATGCATGGTAATCCACACGTGGTTCAAATGCATGGTAATCCACACGTGGTTCAAATGCATGGTAATCCACACGTGGTTCAAATGCATGGTAATCCACACGTGGTTCAAATGCATGGTAATCCACACGTGGTTCAAATGCATGGCAATCCACACGTGGTTCAAATGCATGGTAATCCACACGTGGTTCAAATGCATGGTAATCCACATGTGGTTCAAATGCATGGTAATCCACACGTGGTTCAAATGCATGGTAATCCACACGTGGTTCAAATGCATGGTAATCCACACGTGGTTCAAATGCATGGTAATCCACACGTGGTTCAAATGCATGGTAATCCACACGTGGTTCAAATGCATGGTAATCCACACGTGGTTCAAATGCATGGTAATCCACACGTGGTTCAAATGCATGGTATGCAGCAAACAGTATGCTATGGTACGCACGCAAGGCATGGGAGAGGGCGAGCAGGGAGAGGCCGTAGAGTGGCAGCAGCAGGAACCGCTGCGACGGGTTGTGGGCCGGCTGGACAAGTCGGCGCCAGATGTAGAAGGTGTGGTGGCGGTTGTCCGCCAGCAGGTAGGGGTGGGCTAGACTGGCCGGGATAGGGTGGAGACGAGGTAATGAGCAGGGTTGGAACGGAGAAAAGGAGAGCAACATGGAGCAGGAGTGGGCTGGATGATTCGCCGCCAGACGTAGAAGGTGTGGTGGCGATTGTCAGCTAGAAGGTACGGGTGGGCTAGACTGGGATGGAGAGGGGGGAGAAGGAGTTGGTAAAAGGGTCTTAATGAAGGATGGGAGAGCAACAGGATAGGATAGGTTACATAAGCCGCCGCCAGATGTAGAAGGTGTGGTGGCGGTTGTCAGTTTCAAGGTACGGGTGGGCTAGGCTGAAAGAGGGCGTGATGGAGGTAGGGAAACAGCACAGAAGCAAGGTCAAGGGACATGGGTTGGATAAATTGCCGCCAGATGTAGAGGTGTGGTGGCCATGGGAGCAACACAGGAGCAAGGACAGCGGATATGGCAGGTCGGCACAGGCTAGGCTGGAAGAGGGGAGAGAGGGAACACCACAAGAGAAGGATGAGGGGCATGCGACAGGACGGGTCGATTCGTGTCAAACGAATGTACAACGTAGGAGGTACGGATGGGCCTAGGCTGGCAGACATTAGAGCACTTAATGGGTGGTAGGAGGAAAGGTTGATCCTAAGGTTAGGTGCATTAAAATTTCGGCCTTTAATACCAAAGAAAGCGGGGAGGAGATCAGGGGGAGAGATGAGGCGGGAGCACAGAGGAGGGAGGGAGAGGAAGAGAAGGAACGATACCTGAAGTTCTTGATTGTCAGAAACAGCAGGGAGGAAACGAGGAGAGTAAGGAAGAGGCAGCGGCTGGGGGACGACCGGAGAGAGCGAGAGGTTGAGGCGAGAAGGGGGAGGAGGGAGGAGGGGGCGAGGAGGAGAGGGGAGAGGGAGAGGGCGGAGAATGCAGCGAAGTAGAGAGGCTGCATAAGATGGGGCGAGAGGCGGTGCTCCGTGCGCGCTCCTGGCAAGAGAGGGAGGGGCACACGGGGAAAGGAAGGGATCATGGTGCTGCTAACGCTATCAAGCAGAGTGGCTGTGTGAGATGGGGGGGAGAGACGGTGCTCCGTGCGCGCTCCTGAAGTTGAGGCAAGTGGGGGATTGGGAGAAGGAAGCCCAGGGAAGAGGAAGAGGGGGACATGGCAAGGACGCAAGGGATGATGGTGTCATAAGGCGGCGAAGTAGAGAGGCTGCATGAGATGGGGCAAGAGACGGTGGTCGTGTTACGCGCAACTGAAAGAGCATGAAGGAATGGGATCAAATGAGAATTAAAGGGCGAGAGAGTGGGAGAGGGGAGAAAGGAAACAGAAGGAAGTGGAGTATCACAGAACTATAAGATATTCATCAACAATAGAAAATAATAATATTGTAATACATACATAGTTTCGTTGCGAAAGGGGTCGCATACATGATTGCATTGCATGGTTCTCCATGTCATTGCTCTGGATGACATTTTTTTTGAGGCGCCTCAAAATGAGACGATTTTTTTTAGGCGCCTCAAAAATCATCGCATGATTCTTCATGTCATCGCTCTGGATGACATGAAGTACCATGCAATGCAATCATGTATGCGACCCCACTTTGTGCGCATTTTTTACTCTGGATGCTGTTTCGAAAGACCTTGTGCGTGAACCAAGAGGCTGCTTGTACGAAATTTTGAGGACGCTCAGAGGAACCCCATGAGCTTCTTACATGGCTACGTGGCCCACTATAAGAATCCAGGTAGTTCATCTGCTTGCCCTCGAAATTCGCACAGGCAGCCTCCAGGCCCACGCACAAGATTTGCCGAGACAGCTTCTGGAGAGTTGATAACGCAAAGCCTACAGAGTGCAAGAGCAGGAACACGAAGAATCATGTGCAAACGCAACTCTGTGTGATACCCCACAGCATCAAGGACGAAAACCGCCACCGAGTCTGCCAGAGGAACGCCATACCGACAACGATGCCGCCATTGACGCGAACAAATATGAAAAACGCCGCCAAGACTGCCAGAAGCGGGAGGAACGTTCGCAGAAACTTCCACCGCTCCGCCCATGCCCGGTGCAGCAGCAGCAGCAGCGCCCTCGGCACATCCTCTCCTCTAGCCGCTGCATCTGTCGCCCAGGAAGGATCCGAGAAGGTTCTCCCTTTCCTCCCTGTGGAATTGTTATTCGATGAAAGCGCAAGTTCACTGGATTTGCCCTCACTGCCCTCACTGCCCTCCCTGCCCTCACTGCCCTCACTGCCCTCCCTGCCCTCTGTCCTCTCTGATGTTCGTGCCGCCAGCCTTTGAGCCGACTCAACAGCACTGGACCTGCCCTCACCGCCTTCTTTTTTCTCAGCGTTTTGCAACGTCTCAGCACTGCATCTGCCCTCCCTGCCCTCTGCTCTCTGTGATACTTGTGTTGGCAGCCCCAGGAAGCGGGAAGCAGATACGCACAGGGCAAAGAACGCCCACACCGCGTTGGTCTGGCGAATGAAGATGCTGCCTGTTGCTAGCTAGGAGGGCGAGGGGGGAGGAGGAGAGGAGGAAAAGGGAAGGGAGGAGAGAGGGAGAGAGGGGGTTAGAGTAGAGGGGGCGGGGTGGTGGGCTAGGCATCCAATTCAAGTAGATAGACACCATGCAATGCGAGTCACTCATACCTACATCGCTTGATGGCCAAGATAGCCTCAGTCAGTGGAAGCCAGATCAGTGTGATAGAGGAAGGGGAGGTATGAGAGGGGTAGGGGCAGAACCAGAGCACGGGGTATTGTAGAATAGAATAGAGTATCCACCAGAACCGCAAGGTACTGTTGCCACTTGTACACGCATCACATCATAGCCAGGACAGGCACAGACAAAGCCCCATCCGTGTACTTAAGAAAGCCGGGGAAAACATCACGATGCATGCTGGGAAACGAGAAGGGTGGAAAAGAGTACTCAGTAAAGCAGTGGCATAGTGTTGCCTCTTGTACGCACAGCGCACAGTAGCCAGCACAGCCACAAACCAGACCACATCGGTGTCACAGAGGAAGCCAGAAAACCAGTGCAGGGGGGGAAGCAGGGTAGAATAGAGTACCCACCAGAGCAGCAAGGTAGTGCTGCCGCTTGCACAGCCACAGCCACAGCCGTGCATGTAATGAAGCCAGGGAACATCCCCATGCAGGAAAAAGAAACGCGTGGAATAGAGTGCTCACCAGGGCAGCAAGGTAGTGCTGCCGCTTGTACACGCATCGCATCATGGCCAGCACGGCTACAGACGAAGCCACATCCGTGTAGTAGAGGAAGCCAAAGAACCAGTGCAGGGGGAAGAGGACAAACATTGCCGCCCTCCACGTGCAATCCTCGTCGACTGCGTCCCAGGATGTGCGGGCAGGGCGGTTTTGGGCATCAGCTTGCCCGTTGTTCGTGGTGTCATCTTGAGTTCCATCTCCGGTGTCATCTCCAGTTCCATCTCCGGTGTCATCTCGAGTTTCTTTTCTGGTATCATATAAAGTTTCGTATCTGTGCAGCAGTGCACTGACGCCTCTAGATCGTGAAGAAGTTTTGCTGCCCTGTAGGGATGGGTTCACATGGGGTGGGTAGGATGGGCGAATGTATGTGCGACAGTGATTCAGTTTAGTAGAGCCATCCATGCCAGTGCACTGACGCCTTTGGATCGCGAAGATTTTTTGCTGCCCTGTACTGTGGGTAGGAACAAGGAATGTATGTGGCATGGGCCAGGGCGGATGCATGCCATGTGGGGCACATATGGCCTGAGCGCATGCATGCGGCATGGTGTGTGGGGCACATGCATGTACGGCGTATGGTGATTGGTAGTGCACGATGTAATCCACATGGAGGGGAACCGATGGAGATGGAGTGGAGAGGGAAGGACAGGACACCATGGGGGGGGGTGACGCCATGGGACAAACCATGGGGCAGGGTGACTTTTGAGGAAACCATATAGACACAATGCGCATGTGCTGACTTTTGGGGCGGGGTGACTTTTGAGTCGACTCAAAACTCATGAATGCGTATGTTGATCGGTAGTGCATGCTGTGTGGGGCACATACATATACAACGTATGTTGATCGGTAGTGCATGCTGTGTGGGGCACATACATATACAACATATGTTGATCGGTAGTGCATGCTGTGTGGGGCACGTACATATACAACGTATGTTGATCGGTAGTGCATGCTGTGTGGGGCACATACATATACAACGTATGTCGATCGGTAGTGCATGCTGTGTGGGGCACATACATATACAACGTATGTTGATCGGTAGTGCATGCTGTGTGGGGCACATACATATACAACGTATGTTGATCGGTAGTGCATGCTGTGTGGGGCACATACATATACAACGTATGTTGATCGGTAGTGCATGCTGTGTGGGGCACATACATATACAACGTATGTTGATCGGTAGTGCATGCTGTATGGGGCACATACATATACAACGTATGTTGATCGGTAGTGCATGCTGTGTGGGGCACATACATATACAACGTATGTTGATCGGTAGTGCATGCTGTGTGGGGCACATACATATACAACGTATGTTGATCGGTAGTGCATGCTGTGTGGGGCACATACATATACAACGTATGTTGATCGGTAGTGCATGCTGTATGGGGCACATACATATACAACGTATGTTGATCGGTAGTGCATGCTGTGTGGGGCACATACATATACAACGTATGTTGATCGGTAGTGCATGCTGTGTGGGGCACATACATATACAACGTATGTTGATCGGTAGTGCATGCTATGTGGGGCACATACATATACAGCGTATGTTGATCGGTAGTGCATGCTGTGTGGGGCACCTACATATACAACGTATGTTGATCAGTAGTGCATGCTGTGTGGGGCACATACATATACGGGGCATGTTGATCGGTAGCGCACGCCATTTTCCACATGGAGGAGAACGCATGGAGAGGGAAAGACAGGACACCATGGGGCGGGCGGGAGACCACGAAGCACGGGGAGTGGATTGGAAGAGAGGGAAGGAGGGGACGAGGAGGAATGGAAGGACAAGGGAAGTAGCAGCAACACCTTCTTTGAACGTGCTGTAGCAGCAACACCTTCTTTGAACATGCTGTAGCAGCAACACTTTCTTTGAACGTGCTGTAGCAGCAATACCTTCTTTGAACGTGCTGTAGCAGCAACACTTTCTTTGAACGTGCTGTAGCAGCAATACCTTCTTTGAACGTGCTGTAGCAGCAGCACCGGCAGCAGCACGGGCAGCAGCGCGAGCAGTTGAGTGGAAGAGGGGGAAGGAGAGGACGAGGAGGAGGAGGTTGAGCGACCGCAGCATGAACGGGGAGCAGAAGGATGCGAACGGGACGCCTGCTGACGTGGCACCTGACATGGCGTCTGACGTGGATGCCACGTAGGCGGCGGCTTTCTCAATGCCGAGAACGTACAACAGGGCGTATTGCAGCCCCACATACCCAAGCGCTAGATAATAGCTGATGATTCAGGAGGGGGCCGGAGAGGGGGGAAGAAGGGGGGCGGGAAGCGGAGAAGGGGGGGGGGGGAGGGGGGGAGGGAGGCTTTTGTTAAGGCGCTTAAAAAACAGGGTGTATTGCACGCTTACATACCAGACACAATGGAACACAAGTGGAGGGTGGGGGGGGGGGGTGTTGAATAGTAACTGATCGCTGGAAGCAGGGACACAATGTGTACTACAGACGACATTATTTGCTACGGATAACTAGTGAAGAATATTCTTGGAGTCTGGAATATGCCACGCCATTGACTCCCTCTGACGTGCGTTGACTCACAGGCCCGGCAGCGTGGTGATGAGCGGGTGCCACGTCAGCAGGTCTCCGCTGCAGTACTGCTGCGTCTGAGGCACGTGGAATATCTCGTCCTGAAATTCAGGAACGGGGGTAACGCGGACATTGTGTATTGCGGTGTGATAGTAATCTGGTTTTGAGACGTCTCAAAAGAGACGGCACACGGTCTCGTCTCGTGTCTAGTTTAATTAAGTGATTGTTATCACACGGTTTATATAGTGCTGCTTTTGAGGCGTCTCAAAAGCAGTTTAGTTTTGCCATGTGGTTGTTACCACACGGTTTATGTTGTGCTGCACTAAGAGATGATCGCAGAGAAGATCACGAGCACAGGAATACAAAGGACCGCTTGAGATGACCACGACTGCCGGTTCACGCATCATGCACGGCCGCATCGATCGTCAAAGCCTCTTACCCTCGCACCATGTACGGCTGCGGAACATGGTGGTTCACGGGGCGTGATGGTTACATGTTTATCTACAGTCTATTAGTCTCGCACCATGTACGGCTGCGGGACATGGTGGTTCACGAGGCACGCGACGACCGCGCCGCTCACGAGAAGGGCCTCCGTGACGCGCCGGCGCACCCATTTCAAATCCATATCAGCCCGGCGCACTCCGCCGTGCTGACGTGTCACAGCTGCTTCGACGTTGTCAGGATAGATAGCGCATGTCAGCGGCTCGCAGGAAGGGATGTGACGTGAAATTTTCGAGGCTGTTGAATTTGAAATAATTCGAAGAACATAAATCGAGAAAAAAAGAGTGATGATCTCGCTTGTACGGGCAAGGCGAGAGAGGCAAATCAGGCTACTAGATTCGTTAGGGGTGGCGCTACTAGTCAGAGCTTTTCTGTACGAGTACATTGTCAGGATGAAACCTACACAAAAAAGGGTATAAGTCAGGATGAATGTCTCAATTCCATGCCAATTACCACAAATTTATTTCAACTTTGCAGTATTAGTACCAGCCACGCCCTGCATACCCAACAACAATTTGTTTTTCACCCAGGTGCTCAACATGTGGCCGTTGCGCCGATTACCCGACCCGATTGCCATCTCAAGGACGATGGTACGGTATTCTGGAATATTCATAGCACGAGATATTTACACACATAGTGTCGCACATGGAATCAATTGAAAGTATCGTAAGCTCTTTGAGATCATCCGCTTTGTTCTTGAGCATGCACCGAACAATGCGGGACTGGGGGGAGCCAGTGGCGGATAGCCATCCTCTCTCTGCTTTCCACCCCCTCTTTTGCGGCCCTAGTGTCGCACGTGGAATGACTTGAACGCCAGTTCTTTTAGATCGTCCATTTCGTTCTTGAACACACATTGATCAATGCGGGAGTAAGGGGAGCCAGTGGTGGATAGCCATCCTTTCCTGCAGCCCGAAAGGGTCAAATGGGAAACACACAACGAAGAATAAGAAATGAAGACTCATTGGAAAAAATGTGCTCATCCTTTCCTGTATGCCGAGCCGACTCTATCAAATACACCAAGCACCATAATCGACAGCCCCACTACCCTTCACTCACTCACAGCTACCTACCACTTATACTCAAATCTGTTGCTTCACTGTCCTCTCATGCCTCAATGTGCTCACATCTGTCACTTCACTATTCTCACATAATTTCCTACTAACCATACTCACATGTGCTGAACGTTCTCAGTGCACCACAGTATCTCCCCTTCCGCCTTCCACTGCGCCCCATGTCTGTGTTTCGGCACCACCCCACCACCAGGCTCAACACGCTCAGATTGTTACAAGGTGTTACAAAACACAGCCTTTCATGACACTCACATCTACCACTTCACTAAACTCACGTTTTTCAATTCGTTACACTCACATCTGCTTCATTCTCTTCGCCTTCCTACAAACCCCCCCCCCCCCCTTCCCCCCACTGTCCCCATGTCCGTGCTTCGCCACCACCCCATCAGCCCCAATACAGTCAGTTTCATGGCTATAAGGCATCATCCTTCACTATACTCACATCTGCTGCACGTTTTCTCTCTGCCCCTGTATCTCCCCCTCCACTGTCCCCATGTCAGTGTTTCGACACCACCCCACCAGCCCCAGTGCGTTTGCCTTGTGCTTCGTGTAGTATCTGAATGACACTCCTTGCACCTGGCAGGAAGAATGAGAGTAGAACTGGGCTGATACTGATACAGCTTGCATGCACTTTGAAAGCACTCTAAAACTGCCAGAACGATTCAGCTTGCCGTTTGTAATACCAGAACGATAGTCCTTGCATTGAACCTGACATGAACAAGTGAAAGGATTTTTTTGAGAAAATTAGAGAACCAACTAACCACGCCAATCAGCATGACAGGAGCACAATGGGACGTTTCTTAAACTTTTTTCCAGTGTCTCGTGTGGGGGGTTGACCACGTGTCCGCGCTTGCACGACTCAGGGAGGGGGGGGAGAGAGAGGGGGGGGGGATGTGAGCGGGGGGGAATGTGAGCAGGGGGGGATGTGAGGGTTGACCATTGAGTCGATGACCAAGGCATGGCACGTGCAGGCGGCGTTTCACACAGAAAACGAATTAAAACGAACAACACTATTGAACCAATGAACCGCATTCCCTATACCTTGCCAAACACTTCAAACGCGAAACCCGCAAGCGCCATTCGCCGCCGCGGGGCCCCACACGGCCGAGAGAGGAGATACGGAGGGGAGTGGTGGTAACGGGAATGCGATTGATAACTCCGAGTCAAGAGTCCCGTCCCGACCCCGCAAGGTGGAGAGGGGAGGGTAAGGTGGGGACGGTGGGGCAGGAAGAAGGTAGGAAGAATGAGAGCGGACGGCACGCACGAGAGGGAAGAGGGAGACGCGGCGAGAGCGCTGGGGATGGATGGGAAGGCAAATGGAGAGGGAATGGCAGGAGATGGTTCGGACTGCGGAGCTTTCGCGGCGGGCAATGTAGCTGTTCCTAGCGTGACATTACAACGGGCTAAACGTGCTATTAGCGAAGCTTCTGAGCAAGCAGGCGTATCGTGACAAAACCGAGGAACGTTGCTACTGAAATGGTCAACTTATGCCACAAGCACACGAAGCTTGTTTGCCAGCAAATATTTCCACCTAGAGGCGCTCCGTTTGTGGGTGGGCTTGGTGTAGCAACCACTGGTGGAGGCTTAAAAATGTTACTCACATTAGGAGCGTTGTGCTTAGACATTTTTCATGCGCTACCTTCCAGGTTTTATTGCACGGAATTCACCATTCAACGTCACATTAATTAGGTAAGTTTCTTCCTTGATTGCACTATTTTTCAATATAGTAAAATCTACCATATTAGACGTTCATCCATGTATCCTACCATTATTTCGGCTCTACCTCGCAACAATAATTTCAGGGATGAAACAGCCTGAAGCAGTGCAATTATTTGCGCCACAATTATTGGACTTCAACGCATGCGTGAGTTGCGGGAGATTCAGGCAGGAGGTGGTCGGTGTACACGTCAGCAGCTTGTCTCCCTTCTCGCACCGCGCACGGGGACACTAGCTCGAGCCGCATGTGAGGGCCTCCCTTTGTCTGTGCGAGCGAAGAGAAACAGGATGCATAAGTTGCTTCCTCCGTCCGTACAGGCAAGTATCAGTCCAACAATTGTCCTTCCTCACCGAATCCGCCATTATACCTCAGTGCTAGTAGCTCATTCATTTTCCTAAATAAGCTGCTCAGTTGCCAGTAGAGAAAACAGTGGTCGTTCTCAGAGTTGATTTTTTTCAGGGATAGCACGCGCGGTGAAGTTTCAAAATGGACTCGATGGCCTGTAGGCCTCTCATTCTAGCCCTCGCACTCACAATCGCTCTAATCAGTCAAGCGTCAGGCCGGCAACTCAACGACGAGCTTCCGCTGCCCGACGCGTGTGCTCTCCTGCCCGAACACTCCGCGCTATGTTCCGCGGAGGTCCGCTCCGCGCGGCGCTCGTTGCGCGCGGATTCCGCTCCGCCAACTCCCCGCGCCATGCAGCGGGCGCTGCTTCGGCGCGCGATGGAGCGCGCGCAGGCGACAATTGAGCACGTGGCGCAGCTCAAGGTGGAAAACGTGGGCGAATACTCGCTGTCAGACGCGGCCGCTGTTGATTGCACCCACCAGGTATGAATTCCCAGTCGACATAGCGATTCGGATGGATTTTAGGTGAAATTTATTGCTGAACAAGCGCTATTCACGAGAAATGCAATTTGAATCATTTGCATCTGCTCTCTGTGTTGCCTGTGCTACGTTCGAGTATCTATGACGCTCGGCAATCTCGAGGACTAGCTGAAAATGCGGAATTCTAAATCACTCTACACTTTGAAGTTGAAATTGCTGAAACCAGAAAACGCTCCCTCTCCACGTGAATCTGGGCGGCCTGTGCTGCATTCAGATATCTATGGCACTCGACAATCTTGAGGACTCACTGGACGCCATCACCACCGCAATCAACGGCTCAGATGACACGGCGGCAAGTCGGCGTTCTGACGGCCGTCCGATGTTCCCGGCCGATCTGACGGTTTCCGTCAACGACCTGCCGTACCTCTTGACGTCTGCTCGAGCCAACATTGACGGCTGCGTGGAAGGGCTACAGGAATTCGCGCCAGATGCTTTAAACACCCCTCCAGGAATTCGACTCCAGGTGCGTTTTCCGTTCCGTTTTCCATTCCACTTCTCCAATTCCTCATTTTCCAGATTTCGTGCTTTCATCAAGCACCGCTGATTCCTGCTTTTGTTTCCTCTGCACGTCCCTCGCCATTCTGCAGGCTGACGTCACCCTCATTACAGTCACAGTCACGGCGGCGCACGCTTGCGGCTGTCCCGACAGTTATGATCCTTTTTTGGGGAACGTGGAGACTCCCGTCTCCGCTGGCGCAACCCATTCCGCCAACAATTCCGCCGACAATTCCGCCGACGATTACGCGGACGATTACGCTTCTCTCCGCGCCCCTCGGCGGAGGATAACGGAGAGCAGCCAATCAGACAGCGCGCCTGGGTGGGTAACCGCGGGCCTTTTCGAGCATCTGAAGCAGATTCAGGCGCACATGCGCGGGGATGCGGGGGGGGCGGCGGAATGGGGGGCCGCGCGGAGGCGTCTTGGCCTGGATGATGCGGAGTCACGGGGGATGCGGAGACACATGATGCGCGACCACAGTGGCGACAGCGAATATGCTGATAGCGGAGATGGAGTTGATCCGCACGGGGATGACGACAACCTTCTTCGCAGGGCGCTTCAGTCAGGTTCGGGTTCGAGTAGCAGCGGGAAGAAGAGCAAGCGGAAAGGGGGCAAAGGCGGAAAGACTGGCGGAAAGACAGGCGGCAAAACCGGTGGCAAAACTGGCGGGAAAACGGGAGTGAATCTCGGGGGCCTTTTGGATACGGGCGATTTTAAGGGCGAATACAGCAGCCTGCTGCCGTCTCAGGTGGATGCGGTCGTGGCTAAAGACGGATCCGGCACGCACAAGACTCTCACGGTAAGACGGACTAGGGGGAGAAGGGAAAAGGGAATGAGGGTTAGGGCTCTGACTGGGCTTTTGGAAACGGGGGACTTCTAGGGCGGTATGACTGTTCCGGGGAAAACGGGCCAGGGTTGGGACTGGGATAGAGACTTCAGGGGGGAGAAAGGCAGCCTGCTGCCGCCTCAGGTGGATGTGGTCGTGGCTAAGGACGGATCCGGCACGCACACAACGCTCACGGTATGTGAATACTGGCAAAGGGAACGTGCGCTAGGGAAACGCGGTTTAGGGATAAGGTAGATATGAACCGCAGGTGGATGCGGTCGTGGCTCAAGACGGATCCGGCACGCACATGACGCTCACGGTAAGAGGCCCACTTATGCCGGGGATAAGGGATAATGGGAGGTCAGCTTGTATATAAATCCTCCCATTGTAGGCTGGAAGCGGTTGAGTACACTGGCCTTTCTTGTCCCTCGTAAAAAACTGTTTTTCTGCGTATTTTGTTTGCACCCTTTGCTTGCAGGCTGCACTTGGTGCAGCACCACTGAAGGGCACCTTCGTAATTTTCATCAAGAAAGGAGTGTACGACGAGCAGATCCTCTTTGACAATAAGGGGATTGTCTTAATCGGAGAAGGCATCGGCAACACTATCATCACTGGCAAGAAGAGCGTAAATGGCGGATCCACCACATACAACTCGGCTACCATAGGTACTTCTTCTTTACCCATTGTTTGCCCTCACTCTGCTCCCTCACAAAGCAGCATCGTCTACAGTATCATCACCGGCAAGGAGAGCATCAATGGTAGATCCACCACATACCAGTACAACTCTGCCACCATTGGCACTCTTCCTCTCTCCCCCCCTTGTTCGCCCTCCTCCTGCACCCTCTTTGCGAGTATCTCACACCCCCTTTGCCCCCTCACGCGAAGTACAACTGGCAACACTATCGTCACCGGAAAAGAAGTGTGTCAATGGAATCTTCCTACCCTCCCCCCTTCCCTTCCCTCATATATCCCATCACTTTTCCTCCACCCTCTTTTTGACAATAATACCGGTAGCTCGACCTCCCTTCTTCATTCTCCCCACTTTTCCCACTTCATTCTCCCTTTCCTCATTCCATGTCTTAATGCCCTTTCCTCATTCCATGTCTTCTCCAGGAGCCAACTAGGGCATGCTGACTACCCTCGGCATCACCGACAGGAACACAGCAGGGCCAGCAGGGGAGCAAGCAGTAGCTCTCCACTCCAAGGACCTACCGGCATCTGCCTTTTTCGAGTGCGAGTTCGACGGCAGCCAGGACACGCTCTCCCCCCACAGCGGCCGCCAGTACTTCCGTGACCGCCTCACTCTCTCCCACCTTTTCAATCTCTCTCCTCTCCCGTCTCCTTCTTTCGTGCTATTTCCCAGGGGCCAACAAGGGCATGCTGACAGCCCTCGGAATCACAGTGCGCAACACAGCAGGGCCAGCAGGGGAGCAGGCAGTGGCCCTGCGCTCCAAGGACCTATCTGCCTTCTTCGAGTGCGAGTTTGACGGCAGCCAGGACACGCTCTACCCGCACAGCGGCCGCCAGTACTTCCGCGACTGCCGCGTCGGCGGCACCGTTGATTTCATCTTCGGCAAATCCGCGGCCGTTTTCGACCGTCCGATCATCCAGCTGCATCCGGACGATCCAGTGATCATCACGGCCCCGCAGAACGACCCTAAGTACCCGGATCCCAAGGGGATCATCATTAGGAATGCGGTGATCAGCTCCGATGCAGGGGTGGGGAAGGCGTACCTGGGACGTCCGTGGACCAACACGGGGACTTCCATTTTCATCAGCTGCTTCCTGCCTATGGTGAGTCACTGCCCAAATGGTGAGACCCAGTGTGAGAGGTGAGAGGCTCGTCCGATCATCCAGCTGCATCCAGACGGCCTGGTGATCATCGTGGCCCCGCAGAACGACCTTAAACATCCGGATACCAAGGGGAGCATCATCAGGGATGCGGTTATGAGCTCGGACCCAGGGATGTCACGCAAAAACGGCGTGAACTGTGCAATGCACCCATCCACTCCTCTCCTCCCTCCTTCCCTCCCTGCTCGCTTTCCCCCGACCCCTCTCTCGCAGGAGATTCAACCCGACGGCTGGCTGAACTGGGACGCCAACACCGTCGGCCAAGCCCGCAAGAACGGCGTGTTTTTCGCTGAGTACCAAAGCACGGGGCCTGGCGCTAAGATGCCACGTGTCAGCTGGGCGCAGCCTCAGACGATCCGCAACCCCGCGAAATACACGGCAGAGGCTTTCCTTGGCTGGACGAGCTCGGGATGGGCTGGTTTGGCGGCGGAGAATGACAGTAACAGCGGGAAGTGATGCAGCTTATAGCGAAGTACAAAGCCTCGGACGGCTAGCGATTCGCCAACACGCGCGATTCACGGCGAAATGGTTTCTCGGGTGGACGGGCTAGGGCTGGGTCGGAATGCCGAAGGAGGACGAGGACGAGGACGATACTAGCGGGACGTGGGCGGCGCGGCGGAACGTCTCACGCAACGGGACGTGGTGATGGCGAAAATAAAGATCCAGCGACGACGGCGGATGTTCTCGAATAAGACGGCTTAGCTGAAATAAAAACACGTAATAAAGGCGTATGGGGTTCAACGGCCTCGGTTGGACGACACGTACTAACCTTTCTCGGTCGCGACTCGTCATATTCTTGCAGCGAGGTACAACGCGCATGCAACCGAGCCCTTCCCTGGGTCCTAGGCCCTGGTATAAGATTCTGGAAATAGCCGTACAATCATTTTCTCGCGTGTGATGACTCTCACCCACCTCCAGTGGTCTAATAAAGATTACGAGGACATCTTGTTCTCAGATACACTCAAGGCCGTTTCTTTCTTACCTTCTTTTAAAAAACTCAAGTTTTAAAATGAAGAATTGCATGCCTTAGCATTAGAAATTATAATTCACCATAAAACTGCTAAGGTAAATTGCAAAGCGATTTGCTCCATCTCGTCATTCAGGTTTCATATTGAGGCATAGTGTTGACTGGAGAGAATGAACTGTCAATAATTTTATTCTCAACTCAGTAGTAAAAAATCAAAGACCACAAAATTGGCTCTAATCTAACAAAAAATATAGTATTTTACGTGAACCTAGATCTTACAACAATTGGGCTGCGCACCTTATGCCCATGATTATCCACCCACGTGATCGACCCAAACCGAAATTCCCCAACTGGCTTCAGCGATGCTATTGTTACAACATAAGTGGCACTTTGCCCTGGACGCAACATAAATTTAGTCGGCCAAACACTCACCTTCACACCCTTAGGTGCATCGATTGAAGCCTTGTAAGTTGACGTCTCGGAATACACATTTGTTGCTCTCCTCGTAACAAAAGCTACGCCGAGGAGGTTTGTAACGGAGATGGACGCCCGGTTGAGATTGTACGCCCTCATTGGCACTAGAAAAGGCACAAAGGGGAAGAACCGCTTCGTCCGGATAAAGCTTTGCCCCGCCAAAAATCGCAAGTAGCTTCGGAAGCGCGCATTATACGTCAACCCGGGGTCTAAGGCCCGCGATGGGTTAACGTGTCCGGCGCCCACGTCGAATGGTGTAGCTTCTCCCTTTGCATCTCTTTGTATCGGCTTCTTCACCCCGTTCTCATTATAAGCTGTAGTCATTAATGCCGACATCACTTGCGCCGGGGTCCAGTGTGGCCGGCGTTGCATTATTAGTGCAGCTACACCCGCAATGTGAGGTGTAGACATGGACGTTCCGGAGAGGTATGTGAAATCCCGCGACTGCGGATACTGCGGGTTGAGACTCCAACCCGAAGCTAAGGTTGATCCTCCCAAGCCAGACATGGTGCCTGGGGAAGTAGTGTTGGGCGATGCCGAACCTGGAGAATCCCCCCCGGACGTGGAGGTGTCATTGGACGAAGATCCATCGGTCGAAGTATCTCCAGAGGAGGAGGAAGAGGAGGAAGAGTCGGTTGACCCTGAAGACCCATCGGAACCAGCTGACTGGTCGGCAGGATTGTCTGTAGCTGAAGCAGCAGAATCTCCTGGCATAGCAGCCACCAGGTCGCACCCCGGACCAATTATATCCGGCTTTAAGATGTTGTTGGTGGGGGTGAACGGCGGGTAGAGCTTGAATCGCGGGCTGATCACCGGGCCAGCAGAGGAGAACGATGCCACGACGGGAGCCGTCGGATCGATCGCTGTCCACGATGCGGTTACCACTGCCGATGGGTTATCCGTGGATTCCAGATATTTCCGCAGAATCTCCCCGTGCTCGACAGATAGGACGATTGCCGGCCGGCCGGCCGCTCCTGCTGCAACCTCTTTCAGAGTTGCAAACATTCCCGCTTGAGGCGTCTTCCTTTTAAGCTTTAAAGTGCTGACTGTGCCAGAGGGAGAGGCGCTGTTTCCCACCACCAGCACGGCTCCTGCTGCTGGTGCCTCGGCGGTGCAGGCGGAAAGAGAGGAGGTGGAGGAGGTATCGCTGCAAATTACCCACGGGACAGAGTCTTCGACAGAGGGAGGGGGGGCGTTGATGACTGGAGTAGAGTCGACCCAACCTCCTTCAGTGGAAGCGTTTTCAGTGGAGGTTGAAGGAGAGTCAGGGGAGGGATCTGGGATGAGGGAATCTGTGTCTGCTGCTGCTGTTGACGCTCCGGACCCACTGGTGCTGCTGCAACTGACGATGGTGGTGCTGCTGCTGCTGTCGCTGCTGCTGCTGTCACTGCTGCCACTGTCACTGCTGGTGCTGTTGCTGCTGGTGCTGTTGCTGCTGGTGCTGTTGCTGCTGCTGCTGCTATCGTCTGCAGCAGCATCACCACCAGTGCTGCCATCACCACCACCAGTAGCATCGACACTATCAGTACTGTTACTGTTGCTGCTATCACTGCTGTCGGCACCGCTGCTGCTGCCATCACCATCACCAGCAGCATCAGAGCCAGCAGTGGTAGAAGCTGTGTCCCCACTTCCGCTATTGTCACTCCCACTGTTGTCACTCCCACTGCTGCAGCTTACACCAGAGTCCCCCCCATCAGTTCCCGCTCCCTCCTCTCCTCCCATACTGCCATTCCCTGCTCCCATCCCGGTGCCTATGAGAGCGAGAGAGCCGTTGGAGCCGGTGGGAGGAGGGGTAGTTCCCACGCCGATGATTTGCGACCCGTCTCCGAGGGTGATTTGCAGATTATAGTACCGGCTTATGGAACTGGAGGAAATGGGGTGAGAGGGAGAGGGAGTGAGGGAGAAGATGAGAAGGGAGGTGATAGGGAGAAGAGGAGGGAGAGGGGGAGTGAACAAGTGAGTAAAAGAGAGGGGGAACTGGAGATGAATAATTCTGAGGGTTGGGGGTCAAACGGGGCAGGAAAGCAGACTAGCTCAAATAATTACACCCACTGCCGTCAGGCAGTTAGACCCTAGTGAGAGCCACAGCACAGGCCCATCCCCATGTCCACGCATACGCGTATGAGGTGACCCCATGCGTATGTGAACCTCGCCCTTGCGCCAACTGTGATGTTGTAGGGCTAGGCATTTCCAATCGTGCTGAACAGGCAGCTGGGATATACAAATTAGCCTCGGAGTCACACCCTTGCTGTCAATCTCCTTATGATCACGCTCACCTGGCGCCGACAGTGAGATAGAAGGGCGAGGCATTGCCAATGGTGCCGACCAGTTTCTTTGGATTTGGGCGCCCCGCATTCCCCGCTGCCATCACCACAAACACCCCGGCCTGAATAGAGAAAAAGAGAAAATTGTGATAGGGAAGAGGGGGTTTACAAATCTGGGATACGCTTCGCTGAATGTGTGACATGCGCAATGTCGAAGAAATAGCCAGTCACACCCACACACCAATCCCTCACCATAGCTGCATTGATTTGCACAATATCCAAGAAGTAGCTCGGAACGTTCTGAGGCAACCTAGGGCGTGTTTACACCAATGCACGCATCCTCTTCGAACTCCATCCATACCTTGGCAGCATTGATGTATGCAATGTCGGAGAAGTAACTCGGAACGCTCCCTCCCAGGGAGATCGAGAGCACATCCACACCGTCGGATACGGCCGCATCGACGGCTGCGCGGATGTCAGAGTAGGTCGCAAACGACTGCCCATCGCTCTGCTTCCACAGGACTTTATATATTGCCAGACGGGCCCGGGGAGCCATGCCACTTGTATTGCCGTAGGAATAGCCCGTGCCCGCTGCATACTGCACATGGCCGTTGCCTGCTGCCGCCCTGCAAGGTGGGGAGAGAGGTAAGGAAGGGGGGATTAAATTGGGGGCGGAGGGGTGTGTGCCGATGCAAGGGGTGTGTTCCCCTTGGAACCAGACCATAGGAATAGGAATAGCCCGTGCCCGCTGCATACTGCACATGGCCGTTGCCTGCTGCCACCCTGCAAGTGGGAAGGCGGGGAGGGGGTTATGGGGGGAGATAGAGTGAGGTGCAAGAAATGCATACGGGAGGGGAAAGGGGGAGAGGGGGAGAGGGGGAGATGGATTCTCTCCTGTTGCCGATCAAGAACTCAGAGTCGGCTGCATGCAGCACAAGGTAAAATAGACCCAAAAAAAGAAAAGAAAAAAAAAGGCTCTCCTTACCCTGCACACCATGTGCCGTGGCCGTCCGCGTCGCGAGCCGAGAGGTAATCCACGGTGCTGCTGATAGACCCCATGTTCTTCTTAAAGCCCTTGCTGAAAAACCGCGCTCCAATCACCTTCCGGTTGCATGCGCTGAAATCCGCCCGCTTCTCACACTTTCCCCGCCACCGCCTGGGGGGTCTGCTGTAGGGCTTGTAGGCCTGGGGGGAGGGGGGAAGTAGGTTGGGGGGATGGAGGTGATGGGGGGGAAGAAACCGGGAGAGGGGGAGAGGAAGCTTGGGATGGAACCGCGCTGCAATCACCTTCCGGGTGCATGCGCTGAAATCCACCCGCTTCTCACACCTCACCCCCCCATCTCCTGGGGGGTCTGCTGTGGGGCTTGTAGGCCTGGGGGAAGGGGGAAGGGGGGAGGGGGGAGGGGGGAGGGGAAGGAGATTGGGGTGGGGAGGGGGAGTGGGGGAGAGTGTGGGGAAAAACAGGGGCAGGATAAGGGAGGAACGAGGGGGGAAGCAAGGATGAGGATGCAACAACCAATCTCACTTGCACCATGCTGCACAGCAAGACGCCACATACTGGCTTAGCCTTTAGCGAGGTCATTTCAACCACCTCAAGCTTACCAGGACAACTACTAACGAGTATACTCACCGGGTCAGCAAACGAAGGGTGCTCGGGCCAAATGCCCGTGTCGACAATCCCAATGACCATCCCCTCCCCCGCGCTGTCCTGCCCGCCCGTCGCGGGCCACAGCGTTTCGGGCAGCTTCAAAAACCTCGGCGAATCCGTGGTCAGCTTCGTAAACAAAACATCCGGCTCAATTGCAGCCACCGCGGGATGCTTTTTCAATTTCTTCACCTCCGCTGCGGTAAGCGTCGCGGCGAAACTGTTAGCAGTGAAAGTGGAGCTTTGAAATATTTTCTCCTCGGGAATATTCATGCTCGAAAGAATTCTCCGCTGCGATTGCTCCAAGAATTGCTGGAAATCTTTAACAGGCTGGGATAGTAGATCTGGGATGGTTCTAGGCCGTTGCGACCAGAAATTTAACTCCGCTCGCTGCTCCGCTTTCTGCTTCGCCTCCTTTAACCGGCTCGCGACCGTCGCAGCTGCCGACTCGACTTTCTTCAGAATCGCCTTTGCGATCTTCGCGGCGGAATCGACGGCGGCGGCGGCGCTCTCCAACGCGTCGGCGACGGGCCCGTCGTGCGATTTAAGGACCTTGCCCATGACCTCCTTAAAGGCGCCGTCGTTCGTGTCGTCGTCGACGCTGTCGTCGTCGTCGTCCCCGTCGTCGGCGATCGCCGTGGCTTTAAAGCCCAGGAGGCCCCCGCGGTAGGTTAGGACCGGGGGAGCGGAGGAGAGGTGGATAATGTAGGATTTGGTGGCTTGAGCAGCGGCGGCGGCAGCGGCGGCGGCGGCGGGGGCGGCGGAAGAAGAGGAAGTGGAGGAGCGAGAGCGACGGACGGACGACGAGGAAGAGGAAGGAGAAGAGGAGGTGGAGGAGGAGGAAGCAGACGAGGAGGAGGAAGAGGAGGAAGAGGGGGTGGAGAAGGCAGAGGAGGAGGAGGAGGATGAGGAGGAGGATGAGACTACTAGAGGTCGCGAAGAGGAGGGCGCAGAGGACGTTGAAAACGACGACGACGGTAACGACGACGATGATGACGTGGAAGAGGAGGGGGATGACGTGGAAGACTCCTCCTCGTCGTCATCGGTGATGTCGGGCACGTCGGCGTCCGCGAGTGTGATAACGGTGACGTCACTGCTGTCGTCATCCCATGCGTCTGCTCCCCCTGCGTCTGCAGATTCTGCTGCTGCTGGGGAAGGAGGGGGCGGAGGGGGGGAAGGGGGGGGAGGGGGGTGGGGGATGGGAAGGGGGGAGGGGAGAAGAGGGGGGGAGGAAGCGTGGAGAAGCTAGTAGGGAACAAGGGACAAAGGAGAAATGTTTTGAGGCGCCTCAAAACTGGAACAAGGGAAAAAGGAGAAACGGGGAAAAGGAGAAATGGGGAAGCGAGGATGGCGGTATGTTGTGCCGTGACGCACGCCGTTATGCTTCTCCACTTCTCCGCGCCATTCTCCAGCCCTTCCCCCTCCTCCCTCCCCCCCCCTCCCCTGTTCCCCTTCAGCAGTCGTGGAAGGTGTGCTTCCCCACGACGGACCTCCCCTCGTCGTACCTCCCCTTGCGCTTCGGGGTGCTCGGGTGTTACCTTTCAGGTATCTCTGTGCAAACTTAAACCCCCCAACGACGGACCACCCCCACGACGGACCTCCTCTCCTCCCCATTTTCCCCGCCCTCCCCCCCCCCCCCCCCCAACCCCCCACCCCCCCCTCCCCCTTTGTCATGACTCCCCCCGGTCCCGCCGTACTCCTGCTCAGCTATTCCTTCCGCAATCCCACACTCGTACCTCGCTCCCAGCTTCGCACCCAGCCTCGCTCCCGCACAGCTCGCGCCCAACCTCGCTCCCCCGCATAGCTCACACCCGCCCCCGCTCACAGCATACCTGTAGTACATCGCACTTGCGACGCGGGAATCACGGCCAGGAGGAGCAGCACGAGCAGCGGCAGCGACAGGGGCGGCCGTCGCAGTAAGGAGCATAAGTCGCGTGCACCCGTCCTCCTCCTGCCGCGGCTTAGCTGTCTCCTTATAACCATCTCCCCACACTAGTTTGAAAATTCCAGTACTCCGTTTGGACCTAGGGGTCCCAGTCTGGGAGAATATATACTTAAATGCGCCTACTGAAGAGCTTGCGACCTTGCTCGGACCTACATGTCTGACGCCGGAGAGCTGGAGGGCCTGATGTCTATTTGAGTTGAACAACAAGCTGTAAGCTAGGCGAAAACGGGGCCACTAGTAGCGCGGCAGCTGGGCGACTAGGAGCACAGCGGGGCAATAACGCAACGGGGTAGCTAGGTGCGCCTATTTTGCAATGCCGAGGGAAACGCGGCGGTGTTTCAGGGAGGGTCAGTGACGCGAATGCGGGGTATAGAAGCGAAGGCCCAAACCTGATGACCTACTAGGTGCGAGGCCACGTCTGGATTCTATAACCCTACTGCCACCTAGTAGCGCCTTCTCAGGATAGACCCTGATTGGCTCGTTAGGTGTGCTGCAAGTTGGCAACGTGGCGAAGATACTAATTATCTCTGGACACGACGTCTATGCAGCGATTCGCCGTGGCTTGCTGCTCACCAAAAGATTTCCTGGCTATGCTGTGCAATGCCTTCTGCAGGAGAGGGAGGGGAGAAGGGTAGGCGAGGGGAGATTTTCGGCGGTGGCCAAAACCTGGTAAATTTTGGTTACATCTTCGCAAACGTTGAGAGGGTGTTTCGTGCCAGGCGTTTTCGTCGCCAAGACCGGTCCAAGTTCCGGTTTTGTTACAGTAGCGGAACTTGGACCAGTCCACGCCCCCTAATGCAGCTCCCCTGACTTTCGAAATAGGGATAGTGTACGGGTCGGTGACTTGGTGGTGTTTCGTTACAGTATTTGGGGGATCATGGTGGTGGGTTCAAATTTATCCCGAGACAGGAACCTGAACTGTGGAGGTGGGTTATTTTCAGGTGGGTAGGGCAGTGGATGTGATGGTTTAGCAGCTGGAAATTCGCCTTGCTGCGACCGCGGTTCGATGACATGGGGGGGAGGAATTTTTGCTTGAGCACCTGGGCAGCAGAGCGGCGCGGGGTGTGAAGTAATGCGACAAAACGGGCCTCCGCAAGGATGGTCCAGATCAGGCAGCTACAGTTAGCTGCCATCAGACAGAAGGAAGAAAAAACCTATTCGCTCGGTATAAGCTATCGACAACAGTAGAAGCTGGAAAGTAGGTACAGTTGTGAGTCGCCTATTACAACGAATAGATGCAATGAGACTCGAAAACAATGATCAAACATAGAGATAATGGTGATGACTCGCACTCTCCATCATCCAGGTTAGCATGATGTAGTATAGGATAATTAATATGAAAATAATGATTGAAAGCGATATGTAGGCAGATGATGACTTCCATGGTTGGGTGCAGGGCTTCAGAAGTCATGACAAAATGCTCTGAAATTCTATATAGCAGGGCGTTTTTTTAGGGTCGTCCTGTTTTTTCAGCTTTCGATTTTTCCCAGCCCTGAATTTTAGGGGTTCTCATTTGAGCAGGCCTGAAATATTGTATGTTATTGTTTTGGTCACCCTGAATTATTAGCCTTCACGGATTTCCTGCCTGAAACAAAATCCTATCTGACTGGTCGAGGCGAGCTGGAGCAGCTGTGAGGGGCGTGACTTGTCCTTCGCCAAAATGACGCAGATGATGCAAGCTGGAGCAGATGTGAGGGTCGTAATTGGTCATTGGCCAAAATCATGCAGACGTTTTTATCAGAGTAGAAAAGTTGACTAGAATGAGCAAACAGGTTGATTTTGTTCAAGTGGTTGTACCCTTTAAGAGCATGCACCTATCCAGCCTATTATAATATATACAAATATATTTGACACACCCCCTAGGCCAAATGAGGAGCAGTGCCTGGAAAGAGACACACCGCTCAGGGTGGCACTACTAGTCCAACCTCTGAGGCAAGGGTCCGAAGACCAGTCAGCAAGAGTACAAGCTAAACAAGAGCAACCCAGGGCGGTACTACAAGTCCAGCCAATGGGACACGAGCCACAAGGCCAATCAAAATATTATAAAAGGCTTACACAATTAAGGTCCTAGCTGTTGTGGTATAATTCATACTTAGCATTTCTGTAAGTCGTTTATCAGTAGATAGTGTCGAATTCTACTGTAGAATACAAGTCCGTAGGATGACGTCAGCAAATGGCGCTCGTCATGAGGACAGTCGTTTCAGTCACGCGAACATCCCTTCATTAGCATTTAGGGCGCATAGCGCGATAATGACGAACATATACATTAGCGAACAGGTACTTTCCTAGAGCTATACTCAGGTTCACTCTTATAAGACTTCCGCTGTCTTACTAGTCTACCATTCCAGTAAAGATCCTATGCTAACACTTGAGGTTTTCCAAGTGTTTGTGTTTGCAGATTCTACACATAGTTTCGTGCAACACCTGTCGAATTCTTACATGGTATGAGAGCTGTCTGGAATTAAGACTATTGTCAAAATGACCGGAACAACACCAGCGCAATCTACCGGATCTACTTCCGGAAACACTGGAGTACCTGTCTCCACGACCGCCACTGGTCTCTCAGCCTCTGGACCGTTTCCATCGCCTTATGCGCACATCGGCATGCAGGAGCAGCAGCAAAATTCTCCTGTTAACACTCCAGGGACTTCATCGACTACCCCTGCAGCGCAACACCAACAAACACAGACAACAGCACAACAACAGGCATCATTACAACAACATGCAACAGCACAGCCACAGTTTTCAACTCAATCAATATCGTCAGCATTTAGTGGAATGAGTCTTGACGGCTCAAGTTACAGTATATGCGTGGAGCTTCAGCTCCAAGTTATGGCTCGTTTGCCTTCTCATCTTTTGCGCAGCAGCCATAGTCACAGCAGCACCACCCCTTTTACATCTTCGGGCGTTCACCTGCTCAGCAACAACAACAACAGCAGCAACAGCAACATCATCAGCCACAACAATTTCAGCAACAGCAACAACAGCAACAGCCTCAGTAAGGTATCATCTTTCAACCACCGAATTTACTTAACAGCACACAGATCAAGACAACTATACCTTTTAACGGAGCTGATTTTTACTCCTGGAGCTTCAAATTCGAGCTTCTGGCGCAGTCCGCTGGGCTATGGCCGTTCTTCACCGGCGAATTTACCTATCCTGTTACGGGAACACAACTGGAGCAGCAGAGTTTCCTGCACGCCTCTCTAGGGGCGTATACGGTTCTTGTACGAAACTTATAAGCAAAGGAGCAACTCGGCATTCGATCTTTTCATTCGAGCTTTACGCCAGCTGAAACTACATGGAACCACTTAAAGGGGGTGTACATGGCAAAAGATACAATAACAGTGAGTAAGATTCTTTCGCAGCACACAAATGTGCAGATGATGACAAACGAGAATGTCATGGATTACGTCAATCGGGTCCGTACACTACGCGATCAACTGGAAAAGAGTGGAGGATACTTCCCTTGTGAGATGTATCTCACGGTCCTTCTTGCTGGCCTTGGACCCGAATGGCGACAGACGTGCGCCTTCATTCGCATGAACCCGAACCTCTCCGAAGCTGAAATTTCTTCGTATCTTCAAGCAGAGCAGCAAGATCTTGACCTGCAGTCACAACGCAATCAGAAAAAGGGGATACACTTGAGTTTTTTCTCAAATCCAGAGCCAAAACTGCAGCAGAAACTTCAAATCTTCAATTACTACTTACCCGTTTCGTCGAAGGGGAGATTGACATATCGCCAGCTCTTTCTCCTTTTATCATTTCTTCGTTTTATACTAACGCCGATTTTTATCTGCGATCATCAGGACATAAAGCCATAGAGGAAATTTGGCATCAGCGGTTAGGACATCCGTCGCAAGGGATTTTAAATCATTCAATCAGAGCAGCAGTTCTTGATAAAAACAGCCTTCTTTTACCTAACGGCACAGAGATGAAGCCGCAGTCTCGCCCGACGGTTTGCACCACGTGTCCGGTCACCAATCTTACCCACGACCCGTTTCCAAGTCATTTTCCTGGCTCCACACGTTATAAACTGATGCAGAAAGTCTACTGCGATATTCTTAACTTACCTGAAGCAGGACCTAAAGAAGAGCAGTACGTGATAACCTTCATCCAAGCATCTACTCGCTACATTTGGACAGCAAACCGTCCTGCTCGTTATCTCGCTCATTCCGTCTTCGTCGCATGGCTCGCTGTCGCTGAACGAGAGTTTGGCGTGAAACTGCAAGAATTCCAGAGTGATGACGCAAGGGAATACACGAGCAACACCTTCACAGACTACCTCCAAACCCTCGGCATCAAACGGAAGCAGTCACTGCCGCATGCACACCAACAGATGGGGGTAAAGGAAAGGATGAATCGAACTTTGCAGGAGAAGATGCGTGCTCTGCTGACGCAGGCAGCCCTTCCTCCTCGCTTTTGGCCGCATGCGATGGACTACGCAGTGCTGTTACATAACCTTCTTTCTTCCACGTCACTGCCCGAGTTTTCTTCTCCGCACCTGCAGTGGACACGAACAGTGGGAAGTACCGAACTTTTACAAGTTTTTGGGTGTGTTGTACAGTTTCGTCCTCCAACTGCAGCACTCGGCAAATTTTCAGAACGGGCAAAATGGGGAGTACACCTCGGCATCGAAAAACAGTATCACGCATGGAAGATTTTGGACCTTCGTTCCAACCAAATCGTCCCTTCACGTGATTGTCTCTTCTATGAAAGACTCACCTTGCCTGTTTTTGTGCCCACCAGGCAGCAGCTGCCAACCCCGCCACGCTGTTCGCAGGCTCGCGTGCATTTGCAACTGACGAAGCCGAAGCTGATGTCCAGGACGAAGCAATATCTGAAGCCTCCGAAGCTGCCGCAACGGATATTCCCCAACCTGTCACGTCGACAGCATCTCTGAATTTATTCCTCTCGCAGATGCTGACCCAGATGACGTTCGCGAAGTCCACCTCAGTTACGAACGTGATCGTCAACAGCAGCCGATGCCCGCCGTCTCCGACGAAGCAGTTCGTGTTACACCTGACGAAATTGGGGGGGAAGAAGGACAAGAAGAAAAATTCGCAGCTGCAAATGAAGAACGTCCGCGTTTTATAGAAACAGGCTTACAGATATTTGGATTTGCAGTAGCAGTACAGTACAACGACAGTAAAATACCTGAACCGAAAACCGTTCGACAAGCTCTTACGATTCCTCACCGCGAAAATGGCGAACAGACTTACGGCATCGACTACGAGCTGACCTTTTCTCCCGTCGGTCGAGCCACCCCCGAGACCGCCGGGACAAGCCACGACAGGAACCCCAGGAATAACACCCGCAGAACCAGCACCTCCAGAACTAGGGCCCTCACCAGCGCCACCCCCAGAGCCCACGGACAGCTGCTGCTGCTGCGGTGGTGAGGGCTGCGGCTGCTGCGGCGGTTACAGCTTCAGCTGCTTCAGCGGCGGTGACAGCGGTGGAGAAGGAGACACAGAGGTAGAAACAGGAGGCGAGCACTGTGACGTGGGGCCACTAGATTCAGCCGACTCCTCGACCGAGACAACCGAGGGAAGGGGAGTAACGTTGGACACACCAGATGGGGCAGGACGG